TTCCCCACCTATTTGCTATGAAGTGATGGGACACTTAACAGTATCTAGATTAGCAATATAAAGAAGCATAGTGGGATGCTTCTCTGGGGGAATGATCTCTGTTTGTCTCCAAGGCAAACCATTCAGTATCACAGTAATCCAAGTTTATGCCCCAACCAATAATGCTGAAGAAGTTGAAGTTGAATGGTTCTATGAAGTCCTACAAGACCTTCTAGAACTAACACCCAAAAAAGATGTCCCTTTCATTATAAGGGACTGGAATGCAAAAGTAGGAAGTCAAGAAATACCTGGAGTAATGGGCAAATTTGGCCTTGGAGTACAGAATGAAGTAGGACAAAGGCTAACAGAGGTTTGCCAAGAGAATGCACTGGTCATAGCAAACACCCTCTTCCAACAACACAAGAGGTGACTCTACACATGGACATTACCAGATGGTCAACACCAAAATCAGACTGATTATATTCTTTGCAGCCAAAGATGGAGAAATTCTATACAGTCAGCAAAAACAAGACTGGGAGCTCACTGTGGCTCAGATCATGAACCCCTTATTGCCAAATTCAGACTCAAATGGAAGACAGTATCAAATCCCTTATGACTATACAGTGGGAGTGACAAATAGATTCAAGGGATTAGATCTGATAGACAGAGTGCCTGAAGAACTATGGATGAAGGTTCATGACATTGTACAGGAGGCAGTGATCAAGACCATCCCTAAGAAAAAGAAATGCAAAAAGGCAAAACGGTTGTCTGAGGAGGCCTTACAAACAGCTATGAAAAGAAGAAAAGTGAAAGGCAAAGAAGTAAAGGAAAGTTATGCTCATTTCAATGCAGAGTTCCAAAGAATAGCAAGGAGAGATAAGAAAGCCTTCCTCAGTGATCGATGCAAAGAAATAGAGGAAAGCAATAGAATGGGAAAGACTAGAGATCTCTTCAAGAAAATCAGAGATACCAAGGGAACNCTGTATATCATAACCCTGTTTATTTAACTTATATGCAGAATACATCATGAGAAACCCTGGGTTGGATGAAGCACAAGCTGGAATCAAGATTGCTGGGAGAAATATCAACAACCTCAGATATGCAGATGACACCAGCCTTATGGCAGAAAATGAAGAAGAACTAAAGAGCCTCTTGATGAATATGAAAGAAGAGAGTGAAAAAGTTGGCTTAAAGCTCAACATTTAGAAAACTAAGATCATGGGATCCAGTCCCATCACTTCATGACAAATAGATTTGGAAACAATGGAAACAGTGAATGACTTTATTTTGGGGGGCTCCAAAAATACTGCAGATGATTACTGCAACCATGAAATTCAACGCAGCTTGCTCCTTGGAAGACAAGCTATGACCAACCTAGATAGCATATTAAAAAGCAGAGACATTACTTTGCCAACAAAGGTCCATCTGGTCAAAGCTATGGTTTTTCCAGTAGTCATGTATGGATGTGAGAGCTAGACTATAAAAAAAGCTGAGTACCGAAGAATTGATGCTTCTGAATTGTGGTGTTGGAGAAGACTTGAGAGTCCCTTGGACTGCAAGGAGATCAAACCAGTCCATCTTAAAGAAAATCAGTCCTGAATATTCATTGGAAGGACTGATGCTGAAACTGAAACTCCAATACTTTGGCCACATGATGTGAAGAAGTGACTCATTTGAAAAGACCCTCATGCTGGGAAAGATTGAAGGTGGGAGGAAAAGGGGATGATAGAGGATAAGATGGTTGGATGGCATCACTGGCTCAATGGGCATGAGTTTTAGCAAATTCTGGGAGTTGGTGATGGACCCGGGGAGACCTGGTATGCTACGGTCCATAGAGTTGCAAAAAGTCAGACATGACTGAACAACTGAACTGAACTGAACTGAGTGGGATACTCAAATTTTCAATAGATTTATGGGAAGTCCAATTCCATTCAACAGATACTTGTTAGGATATACAATTAATTTTAGAACAAAATTCCAGAATATACAATTAATTTAAGAGCAAAATTGATGGCTCTGCTTTTTACTATGCTTTCTAGGTTTGTCATAAGTTTGTTTTCTTCCAAGGAGCAAGCATCTTTTAATTTCGTGGCTGCAGTCACCATCAACAGTGATTTTGGAACCCAGGAAAACAATAATGAATTAAGCAGTTAATAACTTGTAATGACTTCTGTTCTGGAGTTTCTTTGTCTGATACTGATGCACACTTATGATCCTTCTTTTATTAGAATTTGCCTGGCTTGTTGTTTTCTATTCTATTCATTTCAACCCATCCTTGTTCCTAATGTTTTGGAATATCTCTTTTAAAAAGCAGATAGTTCTATTCTGTTTGCCTAATCGGACAACCTCTGCCTTTTGATAAGTAAATATATATTCCACTCATATTTATTTGTAGTTATTGATATATCTGAATTTGTTTCTACCATTTGTTTCTATTTGCCCTACTCTTTCGTTCTTTCTTTTTTCCCTACATTCTTCCTGTTTATAAGTTGATTTAAGGTCCTGTTTTTAAATTTTTTTAATTGGAGGAAAATTGCTTTAAAATGTTTGATTGAGTGGTTTTGTTGTTGTTGTTGATTTTCTTGCCTATTTTCCTTATTCCATGTTTTCCCTAAAACTGTCTTCAAGTTAAAAACTGCAGTTGTGTGATGTGATTGTCCTTGAAATTATACCATAGATACTTAATGAAACTGAAAATCAGTGTCTTGACCTCCTCTTAATCCATATAAGGAATTAAGAACACTTTAACCAGGTCCTACTCTTCTAACTTGCAAACTGTTATTGTCAAGTGTTAAATTGCATTTTTCTAACACTGTGAATGTATCGTTTCTGCTGGTTCTCACTCGTGGTAGCGTGTCTCCTGTGTTTGGCGATATTTGCATTCTTCCTTTTGTGTTTGCATTTGCTATCAACCAGGGACACATCAGCTCTCTTTGAGGGTTCTGGCTAAATGTTGAGTTCTCACTTTCAATATTTCTCACATTATTCAAGTTCCAAGACTTGCATGGTATTGATATCTGTCCAGGACAATCAGCTTTTTCAATGATCTTGTTCATAGTTCTGTGATTCAGTTTTGGGTCATGCTTTACTGAAAATGGGAGACTTAAAGTTTCACTTACTTCCTGTGAGCCCATTAGTGAACTAAAGTCATACGCTGTGCTCAGCATCTGGTTGCTTTGTAGTGAGACGGCCTTTCAGAAGACCCAGCAGCATCACACCATCTGTATTCTTTTGTCATGTTTGAAAATGTTTTTTTTGTTTTGATTTGTTGTCAAGATTTTTTTCAAGTCATTAGATATAGAAAACTACAACAGGGAAAGTTTCTTGGAAGACATCTGGACATTGGGATATTCCAATAGAGTCACAGACCCCCCCACCCATACATTAACAGGTTGTCACACAGAACAAATAAGAGGTGGGAGTGGTGGTGGCTCTAAACTTACCCTTAAGTCATTTGGGGGAGTTTCGGTCTAGACATAAGCTATAGAACTGTGTCTACAGGTTAAGAAGGAGGCAGACAAGTGATTGAAATACTCAAGGCAGTAGTTGCTCTAGGTTGGTCCTCTGTTCTCTGTGATCAGCTCTGAAATGCTTGTGGTGCCTCCCACTGGGAACAGGGAACTTGTGAATATCTGTGCCATTACCTGCACACTCAAAGCACATCAGAAGGTGATAATAACAAATACATATCAAGATAGAAATAGTTTGGGCTTGAATTTTTTTCTACAGTGTAACAAATAACATCCTCTGAACTAAAAGAAAATTACTCCCTTATGTTAACAAACACATATGACTTTAGCATCTTAATTTATATATAAAAGCCTTCATTTGTACCTATCTAACAAGTATCTTTCTTATGTTTTAGGCTGTTTTCTTGCTTCTGTTTTCTCTGATTAATCTACTAAATTTTAGTGTGAAACACTATTAATTAGTTAATTAAAATATATATATATATATATTTTATTTGGCACACCAGGTCTTAGTTATAGCAAGTAGGATCTTTAGTCTCTGGTGTGATATGCAGGACCTTTAGTTGTGGCATGTGGGATCTAGTTCTCTGACCAGGGATTGAACCCAAGCCCCCTGCATTGGGTTGCAGAGTCTTAGCCACTTCTTAGCAGGGAAGTCCCAATAGAGTGTTGATTTTTCTAATTCATTCTGGTAGGTTAATGTATCTTATTTTTCAATGAGTGACAATCTGTTGGCTATTTACTCTGCTGTTGAGAAACCACCTAACCTCTAGAAAATACGGCATGAATCTGCTTCACCTCACTCCTTCTTTGCTTTTATGTGAGAAGTTATCTAGGAATTGTGAAGGACATGTGAATCTTCATATAAATATGTCTTCTGACAATGAAAAACTCAGAAAACAAATCTAAATAAATTATTAAAAGTTTTTGGAGTTCTGTACAATCTAGACAGAATCTTTATAAACATCACATTTACTCTTCCCACTGTGATATCTATGGGACATTCCCCGTGTTTGTTTGAAATCTTCTAACCATAGGGTGTTTTCCTAATATGTTGGAATGTAATTGATTTACTTTAAGATGGCAAGCAAGCATGACTTTAGGGTAGCCTGCACACACTCAGAATAAAATAGAGAATTTAATATTGTTAGTTTTACCTTTAAAGGGTTAAACTAGTGGTACCTAGTTTTAAGCTTTGGAAAAGCAATAGATTCAAAATCAGGGAAAGAGAAAAATGCTAACATTGATCGTTTATAGCACTAACTACATCTTCCTTTGGACCATGTGCCTTTAAAATGTCTGAATGCATTGCCGTACAAGTGTCATGTGTGTTTAAAAGATGCCATAATTATTAGCTACGGCTCTAGCACAGGGCCTTATGGACAAGCACCCAGGCTCCTGTACAAGGTAAAAGCCCGCGTGTGGCTGCGGCAGCACCATCAAATTGTTGGACACATTGACTCATCCGTGCAGGCTGAAAATTATGCTTCTTAGCTTCCTGTGAACATGTTTCCCCATTTTTTATTTTTTTTTAAAAAAATTGTATCTTAGGATCTGCTTCAAAACACAGATGCCCACAAAAGAGCATTCCATGAAATCTACCGAACCAGGTCTGTGAACGGGATCCCAGTGCCACCTGATCAATTAGAGGACATGGCCGAGAGGTAAGAGGATGTCTGATTTTGAATGAAATGTAGTTCAAAGGCTTGGTGGATGCTTTTTTCCCATGTCTTTTCTTTCTGAATTAATTTTTTTTTTTTTTACATAGACGCTTGCATTTGGTACATAAAAACTGGGTTCCCAGAGACTATGCTAAGAATGTCAACATTCTAATACACAATTAGTTGAAAAGAGTAAACCTGTATGTATCCACAGCCTGAAAAATCACAGAAATGGTTTCTTCAGAGGCTGTATTTTTATTCAGCACTGTGAGGAACATTATGTAATATTGCAAAAACAGCTTCTAAAAGAAACAGATGAGAGCGATCTTGGCAGGAGAAATAACTAAATCAAAGACTTCAATCAATCGTGATTTGCCTTGAAACCCAGAGCTAGAAACCGAACCAGCTTTCCTGAGAGTGATTGATCAGCCACAGTTTAGAAGACCTTGTGCCTGCCTTTTATTTCATACTGATGTGTAACAGGTTAAGTAAGCCCCGTTCTGTTACTATTAGTTACATTCTGTAAATTCTCCCTGTTTTGTTTCTAGGTTTCATTTTGTTTCCTCCACATCAGAGCTACACTTAATGAAAATGGAATTTCTAGAATTAAAGTACCGTCTGCTCTCACTGCTGGTTCTTGCAGAGTCAAAGCTGAAGTCTTGGATCATCAAGTACGGGGGGAGAGATTCAGTGGAGCTCCTTCTACAAAACTACATCGTAAGTCTCCCTGCGGCTCCGACAGAGGTCAGAGGACCCCTGGGTTTAGTATCTAATACCTTCCAGTTTACTGGACATTGTTACTTTTGTCTTGAATTTAAACCTTAAGTTACCAGTGTGTAAAATGGGTTTACTGTAAATCTGTGAGCTTTTCACAGCAATCTGAAATATACACCTGTCTTCTTTGGAGTATAAAATGTTTTTCAGCATTAATCATATTGAACCAATTTTGATGCTTAAAAAAAGAAAGTTTTTGTATTGCATCCAGCTGATTGTGAGCTCACCACTGAAGCTGACTTAAAATACTGAAACATTATTTTAAGCTTTCTAAAATCCAATCATGAGTAGTTTAGGACAATTCTCAATTGTTCAGTGGGAACTTTTTTTTTTTAATTAGTTCAAGCATGCCTTGTTTATGGCCATTCTGTGAGTTTCATTACTTCCTGTGTGCACCTAGGAAAAGTAAAATTTTGTCTGTGAACCTGTATGAACTTAATTTTTGAAGAATATTTTCTACTTTGGGCTATCAGTATAGATAATCCTGTATGTACATAGACTAGTAGCCCTGCATTAATGAGGGAAGTAGGTCCTACTGTAACTAGCAGTTTCTATTTACATGTAATCAGAGAATTATAATTATTAAAAGTAGTTTATTTCTCTTAGTTAAACATGCTCCTCAATTAATTAGCAACACAGATATGCTCACAAAATTAATAGAACATCTCAGTCCTTTGTTTCATTTGTATTTATTCAGAAGTTCTAATCAATAAATTAATTCATTTAAAATATAAGCCTATTTCTAATGTGACTTATCTCAGTGCTTCTGTTACCAACATGACTGAATATTTATTGAAATCGCATTTTTACTGAAGCATTCTAGAACCATAATATATTTTGCTACATTTTAATGTTATTTTCTACATGCAAAATGAATAACATGCATTTAAAAAAAAATTAACAAGTTTTCAATAAAAATCTTTCTCTAGATTTACTATAATTTTCTAGGAAACATTTGTACAAAAATATGAAATATGTGACAATATGTTGTTCCCTTATTCATTTTGAATGATTTTGGAAAGTAATGAGAAATCTGATTTTTTTTTAACTTTGAGCATTTGCATTAGTCCTACAAATATTAAATACAGATATGCATGTATATTTTCAGGTTTAGTCATGTCAAATGATACACTCTGAGCTCAGTAGGTAATTATTCAGGATCCGTCTTTGTTCTCGCTATTTAAGGAGAGCCAATTAAATTGAAATGCCTAATGAGACCATTTCACCAGGTTAATGTTCCAACACAAAGATGTTAATAATTCTCTTTGAACTTCTCACTTAAAGCATATGTAACTAAAGAATTATTATTAATGATAAAAAATCAGTACTTTCTACCTACTTCATAAATAGACATTCACTGAGCTGCTGATTTTAAACTGTTTGGTAATGTGACTCACAAAATTACTTGTAAGATTGCTGATAACTCTATAAATATAGCAGGCTTTAATGAATATTTCCTAATATTCTTGTTCCCTGATGAAAGATATGTATTTATCACCTAAACTTCTATTCCAAAAGAGGTTTAAGATATTTATAGTTCAATAGTTTTAATAATTAGAGGATGTTGGATATTTTCCATGTGCCAAGTATTTGGCATGTGTCGTCTTCCATCTCAATGATGACCCTATGGGCTGGGTATTTTCACACTGTTTCATTGATGAAATGGTACTTTTGAATGTTCAAGTCATGTGTTCCAATTGGCAGAGTTAATAATAAGTGGAATCTGGATTAGATCCACATCTTTCTGCATCAAAAGCCTTTATGTTTATGAATTTTATGGGAATTCCCAGGTGGTGCCCGTGGTAAAGAACACGCCTGCCAATGCAGGAGACATAAGAGGTGTGGGTTCAAGCCCTGAGTCAGAAAGATCCCCTGGAGGTGGCCATGGCAACCCACTCTAGTATTCTTGCCTGGAGAATCCCATAGACAGAGGAACATGGTTGACTACAGTCCTTAGGGTCACAAAGAGTCAGACATGACTGAAGTGACTTAGCATGCCCTGAACTTTACTCTCTAACAGAATTGGCTGGGAAAAAAATTTTTTTAAAAACTGAAAAGTCCAAATAATTGAAATGATATTCTGTAGCTCAGTGAACTAAAGAATGTCATTTTCATAAACATCAGTTTCATTTAATGTTGGTCCATAATTGACAATATTTTACATTTCCATGCTTCAGCCTATTAGTTACTCTCATGTTATTATAGGCAGCATGGTATTGGGTCAGGGTGTGGCTGAATTCTTGGGGAGATTATTGGGACCCTATAGATTATTCTATGTGGCCACCAGTGACATAGGAATGTGTTGAATCAGGACTCAGCTCCTCACTACCTATGTGAACTTATGCATAACTTAATGTCTAGAAGACATAATCTTTTCCACAATTTTAACAATAATAATAATAATAGAATAATAAGAATTTTTCTAAGGAACAAAGACTGGCACTTCATTGTTTTCCTTCTATGTCACACCCCACAGAGCTTCTCTCATTCTTCTGGAGTTTCGGGGAAAATCATCCTCTTTAGAAGAGACTATTTCAAAGTGCATGAAGATTTTAAAAAAATCATAAAATCAGTTTCTTAAATATAATCCTTTACTTGGTTTCTAAAAAAACATTATTGTAATGAGCCATATGCTGCTACATCATCAAATAAGCAAAGTAATATTTGGGATATAAGAGTTCCATAATTATCTTTTCCTTCATCTGAATTCTCAATTCTATTCTACTTATCTGCAAGAAAAAAGGATACTGTTTTTAAGAGTTGGGAAACTAAAGAATGTGTCTCCTCCTTAAAAAAAAGTGCCTCTTTTAAGAGGCATTTAGGTACACAGCCCCTAAATGCTCGAGGAATTCTTAGAAAATATTAATACTTCACGAATGCCTGTTGATTAAATTAGGCCACAGGATTCTGGCAATAGATTACATTCTGTAATGTAAGTAAGAAGATGATTGGTTTGGTTCTTGATGTCAGAACTGTTCGTGACATAACCGTGTTACTTAACACATGCTCCAATTTTAGAGTGGAAGAAATTAGACAGTATTTCATTCTTTAACATAGAAGAAAAGTTCTTGGAGGTGTAGATAAAGTGAATGCAGCATATGTAATATGAACACAGTCTAATATTTGTAATGATTTTGTTAAAGTCAATAGGTAGTTCTAATGAAAGTACTTCTCACATCTCAGTTGATTTTTTAAAACCTTAAATTGTCTGGTTTAGCTCTCTTTGAGTGAAATTGATGAGCTTTGTATTTATTATACTTCTCTTTTCAGAGTAGAAATTTACTTCCTTCCAATACTTTGAATTTTGTAGCATAAAGAAATAGCTTCCTTTTCTTGAAGTGCCATCAACTTTAAAAGTCCCTTGACCAACAGTTTATATGTTGCACTTGATTTCCACATGTAAGCTGTAGTTTTTAAAAAATAAACTAACCCATCACTGGTATTTTAAACACACATTTGTGCTTAATTTGGCATTCTTTTGAAAGACTTTGTCTAGATGGCTCATGGCGAAAAAGTGAGTTAGCAGTCCTCCTGCTGAAGTGATTCTAATAGTCAAAATAATTCATGTTACTAAGTGGAGTTACTCAGGACTCAGAAAGAAAGGGCAGAAGTAAATGAAACAATTTTAAAACTAAAATAACAAATAAGACTTCTTCCTTCAAAACATTATTATTTCGTTTTCCTCGTAGTTGTTCAGTCACTGAGTCATGTCCAACTCTTTGCAACCCCATGGACTGCAGCACGCCAGGCTTCTCTGTCTTTCACTGTCTCCCAGAGCTTGCTCAAACTCATGTCCATTGAGTCGGTGATGCCATCTAACCATCTCATCCTCTGTCGTCCCCTTCTCCTCCTGCCTTCAATCTTTCCCAGCATCAGGATTTTTTCCAATGAATTGACTCTTCTCATCAGGTGGCCAAAGTGTTGGAGCTTCAACTCCAACATCAGTCCTTCCAGTGAATATTCAGGGTTGATTTCCTTTCGGATTGACTAGTGTGATCTCCTTGCTGTCCAAGGGATTCTCAAGAGTCTTCGAAAGCATTAATTTGTCACTGCTCGGCCTTCTTTATGGTCAAATTCTCACATCTGTACATGACTACTGCCAAGACTATAGCTTTGATCATACAGACCTTTGTCAGCAAAGTGATATCTTTGTCCTCATAGGAAAACTCAAAAGTACTTTAATGAATTTCTGTATTTATAATATTTTTAAAACATTCTTCTCCCCACCCATACCGAAAATGAAACTGGAAATAACTTTTCTCTCTTGTTCATTTATAATGAATTTGTAAATCACTCCAGCAAAAGCATGTGTATGTTTTAATGTCCAATGTAGGCACTGTTTTCCATTTATTTGACACTTTGAGGAATTATTTTCCCATTAGCTCCTTGAAATTGTGTCCAAGCTAAATGGACACTATTTTTAAAAACTTTGCTGAATATATTTGTTTCTTCAATTTCTTAAAAGGTCTTGAAAATTAGGTGTAATCATCCATGTTTGATGAAATCAGGACTTACTTATTTGTGAAATTATTCAAAATTTAAATTCCATTAAATTACTCTTTCTCCATTTGGGGAGTAGGCAGAGGTTAAGGGAATAGGACATAAGGCTAAATAATGAGCTAACAAATTCTCATCAAAAATAATAAAGCCTATTTCACTTATTGGGTAAGATAGTCATCAGGGAATTCCTTATTCCAGATAATTCACAGCTTTATTCAATATATCCATCAAGAATAGTTACTATGTAGTAAATGCAAATGGTATGAAATGTATTATATGTAACTTTTAAAATATAGTCATGAAATGCTATAAATTTATATTAATAAAATCTAGGGATGCCTATGAAATTGTTGTATGAATAGTTTTGCATGTGCACACAAGCATTTTGCATCTCTATAGTAAGCATTCATCAACATCCTATTCAGAACTTGAGCTAGTTTTTGAAGACCAATTTCATATTTTATAATAGTGACACAAAGTATTTTACTGAGTTTAAATCATAGGAACTAATTACACTATTAAAAGGAATTAAGAAGCCTTTGGCAATATGTTTTTATCTGTAATTGCTTTAATTTTCTACTTTTAGAAAAGTAGGAATAATTTTTGAAACAGGAATTATTTCATATTTCCTGGAGTTAGCAATAATAAAAATGCATACGTAAATTGCATACAGGCATATTAGATATAGGGGCTCCCTGGTAGCTCAGTGGTAAAGAATCCACCTGCAATGCAGGAGACATGGGTTCAATCCCTGGGTTGGGAAGATCCCCGGAGAAGAAAATGGCAACCCACTCCAGGATTCTTGCGTGAAGAATCCCATGGACAGAGGAGCCTAGCCGGCTAGAATCCACAGGGTTGCAAGAGTTGAACATGGCTTAGCAACTAAACCAGCACTGTATTAGATATAGACGTGTCTTACCTGTAATTTTTATACTAGGTTAATATAAATATGAGAATGTGAATAACAAGGATAGAATGTATGATTATTTAGCAATTTTCTACTTGGAAATATTTTTGTATTTACTTTTTAAGACAGTGTGGCCTTGTGTCAGTTATTTATACTCTGAAGTACTTCAGAATCATCCTCCACCAGAATTATTGTTCAAAGAGCAACAGAATCCCACAGCTAAGACCCAGTGGGACACTTTCAAATGTTGTTCCAAATTTAGTGCTTTCTAAATGTTAGCCCCACATACTCTGGAGAAGCTTCTGTCTCTTCTAAAAACAAACCCTTGGGTGGAGAAGAAGTGTAATATTTTCTCAATCTAGGGGTGAATTAGAAGCTAAAATGGGGAATAAAGTTATATTCTCAGAAATAATCAGGTTATTTATGGCCATTGAATTAAGTTGATGTTTTGAAGAAGAGTGAGGTTGGTAAATTTGGGTAACATATCCACATACCTGCACTGCAGAAGACTGACTTTGGCATGTCTGCATAAGCCTATATTAGTTATCATTTAACCGTTCTCTCTTTTTTTCTAGTCTTTTATAGAAAATAGCAAGTTCTTTGAACAATATGAAGTGACATACCAGATCTTGAAACAGACAGCTGAGATGTATGTCAAAGCTGATGGTTCAGGTAAAATACAAGACAGAATTTGTTGTAGTATTGAATACAGTATACTTTAGAGACTACATGTTTCTGTATGATTAAATCATTTTTTCTCAGCAGAATCTTTCAGGCCTGAAAAGCTGTATTGGATTCAGTTCCCTTGACTTTGTCTTATGCCTCCCCTGTATATGTGTGTGTGTGTGTGTGTGTGTGTGTGTGTGATTTTCTAAGAAAAAGGAAAATAAGTTTTCATTTTCTAAATTGTAATTTTCAAACCTATTTTAATTCCAATGGTTAAAGGCAAACTAGGACCAACCTGAATATTATAATAAAATAGATGAAAACTTAAGTTCGTGGAAAGACACAATTGTAAAATGTGTCTGTTTCATTTTGCAGATATATTTCTTATATTTGCTGAAAATGAACTATAGCATTTATGATTGTACTATATATGTGTCTATCTGAATGCATATAAATGCAAAGAAATATGTGCCATCTATTATTAAAATATATCATTTATCAGAAATTTTAAATATTCATTGTCTTTAATCTTTATAAATACCTATGAATAAGATAACGTATCCTCAACGTGAGCTGAATGTGATTCTAACATTACATCTGTTAAATTTAAAATCCTAGGAGGAATTATGAATGCACTCCAGTAGACCCTAGAAAAAAAGGTGTGGTGGTTAAAGTGTAAAACAGGGATTGTAACTTATCTGTTTCAGTGGAAGAAGCTGAGAATGTGATGAAATTCATGAATGAAACCACTGCGCAGTGGAGGAACCTCTCGGTGGAAGTCAGGAGCGTGCGGAGCATGCTGGAGGAAGTCATCGCCAACTGGGACCGATACGGCAATACCGTGGCTAGTCTTCAGGCTTGGCTCGAGGACGCTGAGAAAATGCTCAATCAGTCAGAACATGCTAAAAAGGTAAGACTGCTACTTAAAACAGGAAGCAGGCACAGGCGAATTTGGAAATAGGTGACTTTCACAGCAGAGTTCTCTAGGGAGTGTCATGTGTTTGCATATGTGTCACGCAAATCCTGACTTTGCCTTTAACGCTGCACTTTCAGGTTAGTAAATTATTTTAGACCAAGAAATGTTCTGCTTTTTAAAACTTAACGTTAAGACAGTATTGGATTTTTGCATTCAGAGAGCCATATCTGATGGAGGGGCAGCCAAACCCAATGGGCAGCAGAGGGCGCTATACACACAATAAGGTCTATGACTTAAAGGGCGCAGCCTCTGTGGATTTCCTAATTTAAGAGAGAGGTTGAAAAAACTTTGGGCTTCCCAGGAATCCACTCGCTAATGCAGGAGACGCAGGAGACACGGGTTCGATCCCTGGGTCAGGAAGATCCTCTAGAGAAAGAAATGGCAACCCACTGCAGTATTCTTTCCTGGAAAATTCCATGGACAGAGGAGCCTGGTGGGCTACAGTCCATGGGGTCGGAAAGAGTCGGATACGACTGAGCAACAGAATGCTGATAATTTAAAACAATTTTGGCTAACATAGCCCTAAATCTGTGTGATGGCATTATGCGGATTCAACAGATGGGTCACCACATGTTTGTCTCTCTGGAAGTTTGTTTTTGGATTTTATCAACTGTCAGTCAAGGTCTTCTGGGTAGGAGTGATTTTCTTTCCTCCAGTTACAGGTGTGTGCAAGAACTGCTGTCTTTAATATCACTTACATTAAAATATCACATGAAATGGACTGATTTCTGTGTATATACTTCTCAATGGGAGTCTGGTATTTTCTCATGGAAAAACAACTTTTATGTAAAGCATTAAAATGCCAGATCCCCATTAAGAGGTATAGCACTTATATTAGAATTACTGCTTGTCATTCAAGATTGGTTCCTTGATTATTATGTTATACAAGCAGATGTATAATTTCTATATGTTTCCCATTCTATATTTCATATAGATTAAGTACTTTCATGTACCTGAGCAACTGTAACCCAAACAGATTTTGGCTTTTCTGATTAGACTGGCAGTGCCTAGCAGATGTCATATGTGTTAATTTCATCCAAGGGGATATAACCACCAGAAACGGAAGTGTTCTCACCAGTTTATGTAGGAAGTCCTCCCTCACATGACTTGTGAAATCGATTTGAATTATGGTGTTCTTGGTTTTTACCATGGTGTGTACATGTGTGTGTGCACATGCACGCAATTTGAAATCCAGTGGAAGCTGCTCCATCATCAAATGTGTAACCTTAAACAAGGAAGGATGTCATTGTATTACGTAGTCTTGGCCCAGATAATTACTTTTTAAAATTTTCCTTGAAGAGTTTATCTCCGTGATTGTTAATTATCTTCATGGACTATATATATATATATATATATATATATACACACACACACCCGTGTATATATATATATATATATACACCCTAAAGATATATATATATATATATATACACCCTAAAGCTATATATTCCCTAAAATATTATACCTCTTATATGACTCTGGCACTGGTATTTACTTGCCTGAATAACAAAGGCACAAGTCCCTTACGTTCATAGAAATTCAGCTTTTTCACCTGTAAAACAGGAATAACAAAGCATGGTCATCAAGTTTTGTTTTGTCTTCAGCAAAAAGATATGGCATACATGTTCTAATGAAAAGACACAATTTCTAGCTTACATTTTTTAACTTCTTTGTTAAAAATTTCCATTTTGAAAGAGAATTAAAATTCACCTTAAAATTTGCACTAATTTTAGAACCAAGGTATTTCTCATGGTCTGGTTACTTTTATATCATTTATTAACTTTTGGTTTATGCTTTGCAATAGTATGTATTGTTTCTTGTTTAGGATTTTTTCCGAAATTTGCCTCATTGGATACAGCAGCACACTGCCATGAATGATGCTGGCAATTTTTTAATCGAAACGTGTGATGAGATGGTTTCCCGTGACCTCAAACAGCAGTTACTGTTGCTAAATGGGCGATGGAGAGAGTTGTTTATGGAAGTCAAGCAAGTATGTTTTTCAAATATGTTTATGCCTAGAACATGGGTGTGTCATAAATGTTGTGATAAACAGTCTGTTTAGAGACTCTTTATTGTTTTAGCATGGGCTTATTAAGGCAGAGTACAGATGTGTTTAGAACTGTTATGTTTCTATTTGATCCTTTATTCTTTCCAATTTGTAATGGAGGAGCATAACAGAAATGTATAGTTTGATTAAAGATTAGGTTGACATATGGAGCTTGCTTACATGGAATGATTCATGCTTTAAATCATAATTTCTTTGCTTCTATGCTAGCTCCTTTCTTCTTTTCACAGTAATTTAACTAACTTCAAGTGTATCTAAAATAAGAATCAGGAATCAGAGGCTTTCCTACCACCTAACAATTCCAGATAGAATGTAGAAGTGAAAGTTACAAGCTTCCTGAGTCTTGGCTTAATGGTTTTCTGTGTTGCCCCACTCCGTTTTCTGAACAGTATGCTCGAGCTGATGAGTTGGACAGAATGAAGAAAGAATACAATGATTGTGTTACTGTCTTGTCTGATTTTGCAACTGGAGCCCATAGGAAACTTTCAGAGCCCTTAGAAGTCTCTTTTATTAATGTCAAGTTATTAATTCAAGACTTGGAGGTGAGCTGGTTTTCTGGAACAGAAAGTGAAAAACCTATTCTATTGTGTAAAGAAAGATCAGTGAGGTTACTTAGGTCATTACAAGAACTGTTTCTGTGTCTCCTTGGCATCACTGTGACATGTATGCATATTCTGATTTCTGCCTCTCATGAAAAAGCTATCTAAATTTTTTAAGATGTGTATTGACCATAGGGTAACTTCAAAATAGTTTTTTAATATAAATTTTCATTTTCTATGATCAAATTATAAAGTACTATGGAGAAATAGATGTCTTGAGATACCTCTACATAAATGCCTGCAACAATAAAGGATTTACTAAATGAATTGTGCTATTTACATATTTTGAATACCCTACAGCTCTCAAAAATGAAGCAGTGGAAGAATATTTAATGATACAGAAAGACTTTTCCAATACATCATTAAGTAAGAAATGCAAAACAAAGCATCATCCTTTTTTTGTAAAAATAAAAAATAGGTGTAAATACACACAGGAAAAATATTAATTTTGTTTAATTTTAGCAGAGCCTTGTGGTGGTAGGGGTGTTGACTCTGGTGTGAGAAGACCATCTTAAAGTTTCATTATTATCTCTAATTTATAAATTTCTGCAATGACAATGTGTTACTTATTTTAAAGAAGTAAGTTGTTTCATTTTTAAAATCAGAATTGCCCCAAATTGTTAACATGCATTTACCTGATGTAATATTTACAGATTACATTAATATGTATTTTGAAAGTGTAAAGATTACTTCTGCTTATCTTTATGTTAACCTAAGGATTTATGGTGATATTTAAGGAAATTTATTTGTTAAATTCTATTCATTTTATTTATTTTCTTATATTTAGTTCTATTTATTTTCTTAAATCAATGTATCATATATTAGTAATGAAGGGAGGTAATCATTGGACTCTCCAAAAGATTATTACAAGTAAAGAGTTTTATTCAGTACATACTGATTTGTATCCATTTGTGAAATCTTGAAATTAAGAGTAAATGTATCATGTGTTAACATAGCTGTTTCAATGATTCATGTAGGATATTGAGCAGAGGATGCCTGTGATGGATGCTCAGTATAAGATGATTACAAAGACAGCGCACCTCATTACCAAAGAGATCTCCCAAGAAGAAGCTAATGAAATGTTCGCAAACATGTCTGGGCTCAAAGAGCAGCTAACCAAGGTGGGAAAATATTTTTAAAGCATGAAACTCCATTTAGGACCAACATCACTTTCAGCTCGTCTTACTATTCTGTCACCGCAGGCAACTCATTCACTTGTTAGCAGATCCTGTGTTTATTTCTTATTGGGATTCTTCATCTAGTAACTTTGTCATGAGCTTTAAAAAATGAAACTATGGAGCTGATAACTAAAGTCTTGCCTCTTTCATGTAGAAGTACTAGTAGGTGTATCTTAATAGGAAGATAAGCCTCCTCTGGAAGAACGGAGGACCAGTTAGAAGTGATGAAATGGGAAGCAAGGGGAGGAGAGGAGGAGGAAGACATCATATATTTAAGTGAGAAAGAATTCCAGTGTACGCTTTAATTAAGGTGTATTGATATTGGACATACTTACATGCTTTTTATTACACCATTTCTTTTCACTTGCACAACCACAAAATAGTGAAATTCTGCCCTCTTCATCTCACAGAGCTCACTTTGGACTTAAGATACCTACATTTATGCCACTTCTGTGCAGGAAACTCAAAGAATACCAAATGACCCATAAGTCATTTCTATTCTATTGAGGGGTTTTCCTTAACAGCTTTGGAAGTTTCATTAGGATGTTTTATCTATCTAAAGTTGCATTTTGTAAAGATGATATTGTTTTCAAAGTCTATTTAAACTGGGTAATTAATACCTGTTTTTTTTTTTCTTAAAAAAAAGGCGTGATTAAGGAAGTGAAGAGAAAATTATGTAATGAAGAATTGGAAAACAAAGGGAAATAAAACAGAAAATCCTGTTAATTAGGAAAGGAAATTTAGAAAGAGAAGGACCAATATGAAAATATGAAATCAACTGGGGAGAATTCATTTAAAAAAGGAATAAATGAGACAGGTAGAAGAAATAGGAAGAATCAAGGCCATGGAAAGAAGAGAAAATTTTGTCAAACTGGTATACACGAGAATGCTAATTTTAAATCCTTGCAAATATTCAAGATTATTTATAAGGATTTGGTACAGTTTGGAGTCAACATTGTCAATTAGATAACTTTCAAGCAGCCTTTAGAGCTGTGTCTTAGGCTGGCACATCTCAGCCTAGCTTAGGTTTAGTGATTTAGGGCAACTTCTGAAAAAGTAAATTGCTCCTTTAGACACAGGTAAGTCATCACAATTCCTTAACTGCTGTGTTAGATGTAGCATCTTGGTAAGTTTCCTGTTGTGTTTGGAAAGCATACCAATTATTACGCATGTCAGCAGATTCTCTTTATTTTGTTCAGTAATTTTAACAGAGCCCTGTGGCAACAGGACAGTGGATTTCTTTAGATGAATTTCTCCTTCATTCAGTATATCCAAGAACATGAGAATAATTACAATGTAAAGAAAAAATAAATGGTCTACTAACAGATACTTTATTTCCTTTTCTTGGTTTCCAAAAGCATTGGGTTAGCCAAAAAGTCCATTTGAGTTTTTTCATACCTTCTTAGGGAAGATATAAGTGGATATTTTGGTCAACCCATAGTACTTTGGGAGCAACTCTAAATAAAATGGGGGGGGGGCAGGAACTTCTTTGCAAGATTGTATGAGTTCCTGGATTCCAACAGATATGACAAAGCAGACACTTGATGGAGATCTTCATCTTCAGGACCTCATCATGAAGATAAAGACAATGCAGGTGTATGAGTTAATAACATTTATTTAAAAGAGAAGTAACAGATGAGAACTGGGCCAATTCAGATGAGGGAGAATCAGCATGGGAACCTTTGTGAAAAGATTGGTATATGACATGAGTGTTTGGTGTGAGTGGGATGTCGATGGGGAAAGACTGGCTAGGCATGGAGCTCGAAGGCCGTTAGGAGAGTCACAGGACCTCCCCAGAAGGAACACATCAACAAGTTTGTAATTTTTTCTAGAGTTAAAGGGTCAAGTAGCGGAGTTCTTGAAAATAAAGTTCAAAAGTCCAGGTTGGCTTAGATAATGATCATTCATGACTGTCTTAGGTCAGATTTTGAGCCCAATGTGAAGATGGGTTGCAGAGTTCATAAAATGGAATTTTATGTCATCTGGCTCACTGACATAATTTAGATGAGCAAGACCTATCCAGATGGATGATTTAGGTGTATTTTCATGAGAAAGCTCCGTAGCATTTACTTGTCTCAGTGGTACAATAGTAGTGCTTTTTTTTTTTTAACATCAAAATTTAACAATACACAGGAAATATCATTAAAGAGTATCTCTGGAGATCTGTAAGCACAAAACAACCCTATAATGAAGAAAACATTCCTGAGAGCTATGAATAGTGCCCTGAGCTTATGGTCTTTCTTACGGTCTTCGATGGATTTGGACTTAAGATACCTACATTTATGCCACTTCTGTGCAGGAAACTCAAAGAATACCAAATGACCCATAAGTCATTTCTATTCTATTGAGGGGTTTTCCTTAACAGCTTTGGAAGTTTCATTAGGATGTTTTATCTATCTAAAGTTGCATTTTGTAAAGATGATATTGTTTTCAAAGTCTATTTAAACTGGGTAATTAATACCTGTTTTTTTTTTTCTTAAAAAAAAGGCGTGATTAAGGAAGTGAAGAGAAAATTATGTAATGAAGAATTGGAAAACAAAGGGAAATAAAACAGAAAATCCTGTTAATTAGGAAAGGAAATTTAGAAAGAGAAGGACCAATATGAAAATATGAAATCAACTGGGGAGAATTCATTTAAAAAAGGAATAAATGAGACAGGTAGAAGAAATAGGAAGAATCAAGGCCATGGAAAGAAGAGAAAATTTTGTCAAACTGGTATATACGAGAATGCTAATTTTAAATCCTTGCAAATATTCAAGATTATTTATAAGGATTTGGTACAGTTTGGAGTCAACATTGTCAATTAGATAACTTTCAAGCAGCCTTTAGAGCTGTGTCTTAGGCTGGCACATCTCAGCCTAGCTTAGGTTTAGTGATTTAGGGCAACTTCTGAAAAAGTAAATTGCTCCTTTAGACACAGGTAAGTCATCACAATTCCTTAACTGCTGTGTTAGATGTAGCATCTTGGTAAGTTTCCTGTTGTGTTTGGAAAGCATACCAATTATTACGCATGTCAGCAGATTCTCTTTATTTTGTTCAGTAATTTTAACAGAGCCCTGTGGCAACAGGACAGTGGATTTCTTTAGATGAATTTCTCCTTCATTCAGTATATCCAAGAACATGAGAATAATTACAATGTAAAGAAAAAATAAATGGTCCACTAACAGATACTTAATTTCCTTTTCTTGGTTTCCAAAAGCATTGGGTTAGCCAAAAAGTCCATTTGAGTTTTTTCATACCTTCTTAGCGAAGATACAAGTGGATATTTTGGTCAACCCATAGTACTTTGGGAGCAACTCTAAATAAAATGAGGGGGGGCAGGAACTTCTTTGCAAGATTGTATGAGTTCCTGGATTCCAACAGATATGACAAAGCAGACGCTTGATGGAGATCTTCATCTTCAGGACCTTATCATGAAGATAAAGACAATGCAGGTGTATGAGTTAATAACATTTATTTAAAAGAGAAGTAACAGATGAGAACTGGGCCAATTCAGATGAGGGAGAATCAGCATGGGAACCTTTGTGAAAAGATTGGTATATGACATGAGTGTTTGGTGTGAGTGGGATGTCGATGGGGAAAGACTGGCTAGGCATGGAGCTCGAAGGCCGTTAGGAGAGTCACAGGACCTCCCCAGAAGGAACACATCAACAAGTTTGTAATTTTTTCTAGAGTTAAAGGGTCAAGTAGCGGAGTTCTTGAAAATAAAGTTCAAAAGTCCAGGTTGGCTTAGATAATGATCATTCATGACTGTCTTAGGTCAGATTTTGAGCCCAATGTGAAGATGGGTTGCAGAGTTCATAAAATGGAATTTTATGTCATCTGGCTCACTGACATAATTTAGATGAGCAAGACCTATCCAGATGGATGATTTAGGTGTATTTTCATGAGAAAGCTCCGTAGCATTTATTTGTCTCAGTGGTACAATAGTAGTGCTTTTTTTTTTTTAACATCAAAATTTAACAATACACAGGAAATATCATTAAAGAGTATCTCTGGAGATCTGTAAGCACAAAACAACCCTATAATGAAGAAAACATTCCTGAGAGCTATGAATAGTGCCCTGAGCTTATGGTCTTTCTTACGGTCTTCGATGGAATCTGTGTCTTTGTTTTTTTAAAGGTCAAAGACTGTTACTCCCCACTCCTTTCTGAGTCTCAGCAGCTGTTGGTACCGTTGGAGGAATTAGAAAAGCAGATGACGGCCTTTTATGACTCACTTGGGAAAATTGATGAAATTATGACAGTTCTTGAACATGAGGCACAATCTAGTCCTCTTTTTAAACAGAAACATCAGGTAAGGAAAATTTTCTTTCAGGAGACCTAGTTAATTGAATGCATAGGCAGTCACACTGAGGTGCATATAATGATAGAAATTCAGTGATAGGAGAAGAAAGCTTTTAATAGAATAGTACTGGCAACTCAAAACAAAAACGCATGGCTAAAGATGAAAACCCTAGCCACTATAGGTAGAATCAAAACTGTTATATCTCTCTATACATTTATATGTGGGTGCATTTACATGGGGGCTGCCCTGGTGGCTCAGTGGTCGAGAGTCCGCCTGCCAAATGCAGAAGCCAAGGAGATACGGGCTTCGTCCCTGGGCTAGGAAGACCCCCTGGAGGAGGGCACGGCAACCCACTCCAGTGTTCTTGCCTGGAAAATCCAATGGACAGAGGAGCCTGGCAGGCTACAGTCCATGGGTTGCAGAGGGTCAGAAACTACTCAAGTGACTTAGCATACCTGCATATTTATGTAGATACAAATTGTATAGATAAATTTTAAATTGTATATATTTAGCTATGTACAGAAATAAATAATCACATTCCATTCTGTCCAGTGTCTATCATTGGTGTCTTATGAGATCTTTTCCCGCCTCTAGGACCAGACCAGTCGACATGACCATAGCATTCTGGAAATGTATTTGGAGTGAGAATCATTCTTCTTTGTCTCAGTTTTAGTAAGCAAATCTGTATGCAGAACAGCCTCCTACTGAGTGTGACAGTTAATTGGCTTATTCAGTTGGTTTATTATAAATGAACTTAAGCAACAGAGGGTAAAACTGATGGGCAAAAGGTTTGCCATTGTATTCATCAAAATAGATTCATGGAAGGAAGGCAGCGTCACTTAGCAGAAAGAGCAGAGAACATCTGAAGTGAGTCAGACAGGTATTCAGATCTGATACAGCAAATTACAAAGCCTTGATTAGCTTTATTTCCTCACGTTGAAATGGGGGTGGTGGTACCTAAGTTGAGAACTTGTTGCAGAGATTACATTAAATGTCCTATAATATGACTAACACATTAGGGCATATACTCTATAACTGGTAGCAATTAACATTATTATTATTATTATTAATGATAAGTCACAATGATGATGCCAATGCAGGAGATGCAAGAGACGTGGGTTCAATCCTTAATCCAGGAAGATTCCCCTGGAGATGGAAATGGCAACCCACTGCAGTGTTCTTGCCTGGAAAATTACATGGACAGAGAAGCCTGGCGGGCTGCATTCCATGGGGTTGCAGAGTCGGACATGACTGAGCAACTGAGCATACACGCAATGATTATCCCGTCAAACCCTATTCTAATGGGTTCTCATCATATTAGTTAAAGACTGTTTCATCTTGAAATCATAGTGCCATTTCCTGTGTTCCCAAATTGCTATATGTTTCCATCAAATAATCCTTTCACAATTAAAATTGCATTTACTATTCTTAATGATAAAATTTGAGTAAGATTTTCTTTTTTAGGGCTTCCCTGATAGCTCAGTTGATAAAGAATCCACCTGTAATGCGGGAGACTCCAGTTTGATTCCTGAGTAGGGACGATCCGCTGGAGAAGGGATAAGCTTCCCACTCCAGTATTCTTGGGCTTCCCATGTGGCTCAGCTGGTGAAGAATCTGTCTGCAATGAGGGAGACCTGGGTTCGATCCCTGGGTTGGGAAGAACAGAAGACCTCGGTTTGACCCCTGGGTCGAGAAGATGCCCTGGAGAAGGAAATGGCAACCCACTCCAGTATTCTTGCCTGGGAAATCCCGTGGACAGAGGAGCCTGGTAGGCTGCAGTCCATGCAAGAGTCAGACATAATTTAGTGACTAAACCACCAACCAACCTGGGGTCCACCATTTTATTAATGAGGTTGATAGTTTGTGGCCCTTAAGAATTCAAATGTTGTATATCTTAGGATACACAAATGATTTATAATCTACTTCAACTAACTCAGTAAAGTATAATATGCACTGGTATTAAATTTATTGAGACAGATTATAGCCTGATACATGGATTGATTTCATTATTGTTTTTACAATAAATTATGGACCTGTTAGTTGGTAGGAGGAAGGCACGCACCAGGCAGATAATAATTTTGATGCTCTGTCATTCTCTTGATATTAATAAGGTAGGCATGAATGTAAAAAATTTCAGAAACCTCAGCATGACATTTAAATGCCTTATATAAAAGGCACTGACTTCAGTGATTGCTTAAAATTGTGCTCTTCTGAAAAGCACCACCTCTCTATACTTTCGGTTTTACTTATTGCAGATTAAAAGCCTAAAAGCTCTATAATGCTGTTAATGTTTTGTAATGGTTACTCTCATTCTTTCTTGCCCTTTCAAATACTATTGTTGTGGGTTCCCTTTCCTTGTAGGAACTATTAGCTTGTCAAGAAAGCTGTAAGAAAGCCATGACTCAAATTGAGAAAGGCAGTCAGAGTGTTCAGAAGTTTGTGACCTTGAGCAACGTGTTAAAGCATTTTGATCAGACGAAGCTACAGAGAAAGATTGCAGATATGCATGTTGCTTTTCAGGTAAGTTCTCTGCCTGCTTTCGAGATGTGAACCAGGAAAATTCCAAGAAGACTTGTAATTACCACATTTCATGTCTTCACTCTTGACAAACGGCTCATCTACTGGTGTTTGGAGACCAATCATTTTACTTCTTCTTTCTCTGATATTGTACTTCTAAATAGCTCAGTTGGTAAAGAATCTGCCTGCAATGCAGGAGACCTGGGTTCGATCCCTGGGTCGGGAAGTATGCTGGAGAAGGAAATGGCAACCCACTCCAGTACTCTTGCCTGGAGAATCCCATGGACAGAGGAGCCTGACGGGCTATAGTCCATGGGATCACAAAAAGTTGGACACGACTATGTGGCTAACTTTTTTTTTTCCTCTGATATTGATTAATATTTAAAAGGGTTGATTATTCTCATCATAGTGACATGTATTCCTTACAAGTGTTTTTTGAAAGAAGCACTACTCTTTAACAAATGACATTTGCAATGACTGGGATTGATATCCCATTATGATTATTATTATTTTTTTGAATCAAGAATATGGTAAAGAAAACTGGAGATTGGAAGAAACATGTGGAAACCAACAGCCGCTTGATGAAGAAGTTTGAGGAGTCGCGAGCAGAGTTGGAGAAGGTGCTGAGGGTCGCTCAGGAGGGCCTGGAGGAAAAGGGGGACCCAGAAGACCTGCTGAAGAGACATACTGTGAGTGCATCCCACGTGGGCCCTTGAGGACACGAGGACATGAGCAAGCCATCTTAGATGAAAAATAAAAAGTGTAATGATCTAATACAGAGAAGCAGAGAGAGACAGGAAGAGAGACGCAGAGGGACGGAAGAAGAAGAAAATGCAAGGATAGGAGGAAGGAGGGAGGAAGGAGGGGCAAAAGAGAAGGGGAGAAAGGGAGGGAGGGGGAAAGGGCGAAATGAGTCAGGAGAGCAGGAACTTGTTAGATAGGAGACCCCAAGAAATGACAGCAAAAAGAACCTCAGAAGCAGTTGATAAGCTGCCCCATAATTGGCCATTCTTGAGCCCCTGGAGTAGCAGAGAACCACAGGAGAGAGAATTCAGACTCTCCAAACTACTAATTCATTATTCAGCTGAAACACTCTTTCATGACCAGCGTATGCTTCCTAAGAGAGCAGTTTAGGGGGATGGCTGTCTTTGTGCTTATATCATAGCTCTGCCATATCACTCATGGTATAGGTGCCATGTCAGTTGAAGTTTGGTAGCTGATCTACAGCTTGGGCCAGTATTGTGAAGCCATCTCCCTGTTAATCATACTTATTTAAATTATATTGGTATTGAGAATATGAGTAATCTCTTAAATGGTGTATGGAGATGATTCCCTCTGACAATGTATACTTTTTTCCTGAAATTTCAGTGGATATTTATGTAAGCCATGCTCTCAGATGATGAATGCAATGCATTTTCCATGCAGCTGATGGATTTAGGTTTGATGTCTATAACCATCCAACATCTTCTTCAAATTTATACACCCCTATTCTGCTGTTCTTTCTTTTGAATCACTGTGGCTTCCCAGCATACATAATCCTAAGACTTTGTGAGACTTAGCCATGTATATTTGTGCATGTATTGTATTCATCTGCCCAGGCTACCATAAAAAAAATACACAGATTGGGCGGCTTAAGCAATAGGAATTTATTTTCTCAGTTCTGAAAGCTAGAAGTCTGAGATTAGGGGACTAGCCTGGCTGGGTTCTGGTGAGGACTCTTCCTGATATGCAGATGGTTACCTCACTGTGTCCTCACATGGCAGAGATAGGTAGATGGGAAGATCTTCAATGTCTCTCCTTGAAAAAGGGCACTAATTCTTTCATGAGAGACCCACCCTCAGATATCATCACACTGCAGGTTAGGGCTTCAGCATCTGACTTTGGTGGGATGGGACAGTGGGGAGAGGGCAACACAATTCAGTCCACGGTTTGTATGCTTGGTGTGAATGCAGAAGAGGCTCGTAAAGAGCCAGCAAGGCCTGGAACACACCGCAGTCAGGGAGTGAGGGGTTGTGAGGTCTAGGCCTGGCTTCCACTCAGCTCTCCTGACTTTTGCCAAAGAGGAACTAAAACTCTGTTCCTGTGGGATCAAGTTTTTAAGATCTCCCATTGGCTCTCTAGAAGATTCTATCAAATTTGAAAACTGCAGACGTTTTTCTAAAAAATAAAAAAGTCCTAGTTGAATTTCAGATTCAATGGCTTCTGGTTCATCACTGTGGATAATTATAGTTTGTTCCTGAAAACAAAATGGCAGTCGCCCGGAAGGTTTGAAGAGGGCAGCAGCTGGCTAAGAGGCTTGTTTAGAGGCGTGACTGCTTCACTGTCTGGTGTCTGATACTGCCTTTTATTCTGGCTGACACTCGTGACCACTCTCCCCCTCATCCACGCCAGGAGTTTTTCAGCCAGCTGGACCAGAGGGTGCTCAATGCTTTCCTGAAAGCCTGTGACGAGCTCACTGACATTCTCCCCGAGCAGGAGCAGCAGGGCCTGCAGGAAGCCGTCAGAAAGCTCCACAAACAGTGGAAGGTGAGTCAGGACCTCATGGGAAGGTCGTGCGTCATGGATGAGGGGAGAGAACATGAGGGTGTGAGGGTTCAATGGTCAGAGAAATTTAGAAACCAAGGACCGTTATCATAGTTTTTCATCCCTTTCCCATGAAAAAGTGGAGCTTGAATAAAACGGGATAAGATATGATAGAATTTTGCTTTTCCTATTTTCTTAAAGATTTTTTTAATTTATTTTACGTGCGGTTGCCCTGGATCTTCTTTGCCGCAGGTGGGCTTCCCCAAGTGGCGGTGAGCGGGGGCTACTGTCTAGCTGGCCGTGCGCCGGCTTCTCACTGCAGCAGCTTCTGTTCTTGCAGGGCTCAGGCGCCAGGGCACTCTGGCTCGGTAACTGTGCACACGAGCTTAGCTGCCTAGTGGCACGGGGGATCCTCTGGACCAGGGATTGAACCCATGTCCCCTGCATTGGCAGGCAAAGTCTTCAACCTCTGGGTCACCAGGGAAGTCCTGCTTTTCCTATTTTTAAGTATCATCAATTTCATTATATTACTTGAGTATGCTTTATTTTCCTGATTGTGGATGGGAACATCAAGGCATTTAACTTTTTCAGTGACATTTCATAAACTCTTTCCATCTTAGTTATGTTAGGTATGCTATTGAAATGACAAGAAATGTTCCTTATAATTTCAGTAGCATAATATATGTATAGTTATATATACATATAGGTATATGCATATAGGTGTACATATATATTACATATAGGTATATATATACACCTATATGTTTAAGGTTTTCAAGGATTTTGTCATCTGGTTTAGCTTGTTATGATCTGAGACATAAATAAAAACAGTTTATTGGTTAAAGATTCAGTGATGAACAAAGAATAATCCTTTCCCCCCAGAGAGCTTAGAGTCCAGTAAGGGAGATAATTCGTTGCAAAATAATAAAAGTACAATACATAATAAGTTCCAAAAAGTGTAAGTAATACATTGATGAAAGCTTTGAAAGAGAGAAGTGGACCACTTGGACAGCAGAGAAGAATAAGGCAGGTAATTAGTTTTAAGCGAGGACCTTAAAGAAACGGCAGGGATCAGGGGGCGGCAGGGAGGAAAAAGGCAAGCTGCAGGGTGTGCCGGGGCACACACGTTCCACTGGGCTCAGTGTAGTGTCTTGCGTGGGCTTGTCGCATGGAAACCGACTTCAGAATCTGCATGTCAGGGGAAGCAGCTGTAGGTGACGGGGCCCTTTAAAGATGTCATCCTCGGGGCAGACTGGAGGAAGCAACTCCAGCAGCAGACTCACAAGTGATGCTCAGAGGGAATACTAAGTGGTGAATTTTATATGTGTTAGCTGAAGGAGTCATGAGATCCAGAAGACAGGCAGCTGGAACACTCTCCATCAGGTGGTGTCACTTTCTGGATTTTGTTTTTCTGGCCTCAGTAACACAGGATAAAAAGTTCAGCCTTTTGCATAAGAAAAACACAATTAAAGAAATACCTTTTTATATAGATAACCAACAAGAACCTGCTATATAATGCAAGGAACTATAATCAATATTATGTAACCATCTATAAAGGAAAATAATCTGAATACATATATTTATATATATATGTGTGTAACTGAATCACTTTGCCGTACACCTGACATTGTAAATCAGTTATGCTTCAATAAAAAGAAAAAAGAAATACCTTTTTACTTGCTAAATTTGATTTTTTTTTTTAAAAAAAAGATGCTTAAAGAAATTCAAGCTTTTAAAGTTGTCTTTTAGGTTTAACGTTATCAAAAACATACTGTGGAATAGAGACTATAATTGAAGGCTGTATTTTATTTTACATACACACATACATTGAGTTCTCTGGGATATAATCTGTCCTAGTCTTTCCAAAGCCTTAACTCATTTTTCTCATCAGTTAACGCAGTGTTTTATTTTAAAGGTAATCTTTTAAAGGCCATAGGAGACAAGTAGGCTAAAAATAAATTGTACAACTGAAGGAAATGATGAAGCTTATACTTGTATCGAAGAAGAATGTAAAAAGCTTCCCATTCTCAGGGTGCCATTATTTGTGTGCTGGCTTGCTTGTTTTCTTAGTGTATGCTCCGAGGAAAAAAGGACATGGCAGGTGGTCGGAGCCATGGGCTGCTTAATCCTGGCTTTTTCACTAATGAGGTTTCCTTGAGCACCCCCTCAACCCCTGTGCAGTGAGCATAAAATCTGTCCTTCCTACCTCATAGGGCTGTTGACAAAATTTAAAAGGACACATGCCAGGGGGAGGGTATATGGAATCAGTGTGTGATTTAAAATCAAATCCAGCTTTTCTACTTAACCTTGAGCCTTAAGGGGGTGATCTTTAAAATAGGAATATTAACACTGCCTAGGGCTACTGTAAAAGTTAAATAGGATAATCACCGTGGAAACACCCAACTCACAGCAGGCTGGAAAGATTGGCTGTGATCCTGGTACATGGAAAAGTACAAAGCACAGAATGCTGATGATAAGGGATTAAGTCACATTTGGGCTAAGCTGTCAAGGTGGCCCAGTGGTTACAAGTAAGCCTGCCAATGCAGGAAAGGCCAGAGAAACAGGTTCAATCTCTGGGTCATAAAGATCCCCTGGAAGAGGAACTATCTCATATTTTCTCCCACTTCATTGGGAAATGTACATGATCAGGAATGGTATCCTATTTTTCGGACTCTTCCTATGGCATGCAGGATCTTCAAGCAGAAGCTCCATATCATTTGCTTCATCTGAAGATTGAGGTGGAGAAGAACAGGTTCTTAGCTTCTGTGGAAGAGTGCAGAGCTGAGCTGGACCGAGAGACCAAGCTGGTACCCCAGGAAGGCAGCGAAAAGGTCATCAAAGAGCATCGGGTACGTCCCAGAAGTGCCAGTGTCCCTTCAAGTATATAACTGATGCTTGCATTTGGGTCTGAAAACACTCAACAGCTTCATTACTTTATACTGTTAGACTAGATGGGAATTGGCCATGAAAATATGGCAGTCTTGTGTGGATTCTCACAGAGATTATGTAAATGTTTATTGCTCACTAGATCTTCTTCAGTGACAAGGGCCCTCACCACCTCTGTGAGAAAAGGTTACAGCTCATTGAAGAACTGTGTCTGAAACTTCCAGTCCGGGACACAGTCCGGAACACACCGGAGACCTGTCACGTGACCCTCAAGGAGCTCAGAGCTGCTATTGACTGCACCTACGCGAAGCTGGTGGGAGACCCAGACAAGTGGAGGGACTACACGAGCAGGTAGTTGTGGGTGGCTCCCAGAGAAGGACGTGGCCTTTCATAATTCTTTTAATTCAGACACCCTTGCAAAACAAGTCATGAAATATGTTTCATCTTATGCAATGAAGAAAATCAGATGGTATGATTGTGTGTATGCTCTTGTACAAAAATGCTTCATTGAATTTAAAGAATGAGTTTCAGTTAGAAAACCAAAACAGGGCTTCCCTGGTCGCTCAGGTGGTGAAGAATCCACCTGCAATGCAGGAGAGTCCACTTTGATTCCTGGGTCAGGAGGTTCCCCTGGAGAAGGGATCGGCTACCCACTCAGTATTCTTGGGCTTCTCTAGTGACTCAGCTGGTAGAGAATCCACCTGCAGTGCAGGAGACCTGGGTTTGATCCCTGGGTTGGGAAGATCCCCTGGAGAAGGGAACGGCTACCCACTCCAGTATTCTGGCCTGGAGATTTCCATGGACTATATAGTCCATGGGGTCGCAAAGAGTTGGACACGACTGAGCGACTTTCACTTTCAGTCAGAAACAAGAGGGAAGCACATTATTTCCAGGTGACCCAGATGTTGTCTCTTTGAATCAGAATTAGGCAATCTCTTTATCTCTGATTTCCTCATGTCACCGCGAAAGGGACTTCTGCCTCTTTGGGTTTCTGTCTCTGGTGGAGATGCATGAGGTCAGACCTCGGGTGTACCTTCCTCACTTCCATGTGCCCAGACTCTGAGATGCATCTTCCTCCACCACTGAGCTCCATCTGCTCTGCTTTCCCTTTGGTTCAAGTGAGTGAGCCCAGGGGCAGCCTCTTCTGCCTTGAGCTTCATGTGGAAGGAACCGTTGCCAGGAAATATGTTAATCAGTTTGCTAATGAGTTGAATGCAATGTGTGAATCCATTTTCTCATCAGTTGATTATCAAATTTTCATGCATAAATTCAAAATGGAAAATATATTCTAACCCTGGGCATATCTTCTCCCTTTAATATGAAAATACCTGTGTTATTTCAGAATTTCTGAGTTCTCCTCTTGGATATCTGCAAAGGAGACCCAGTTAAAGGGGATCAAGAATGAGACCATTGATACTGCTAATCAAGGAGAAGTTAAATGTGCTGTGGAGGTAAGTTCTGGGTCACTTTTTTTGTTACTAGAAAATAACTATTAATAAAAAAAAATAATGGCAACAGTCTAACTGATGTCTTGTTTTCTTTCTATAAAAAAATTGACTTCCTGAAAATTGTCTTAAAATAAGTCTCCCCCTGTTTCTGTGGAGAACTGCAGGGGTGTTCTTTGTGGAATCATTGTTAGCTCTGAGATTTAGTCATGTTCAGTGGTACCTCTAATGCCTCTTTAGCTAATGGGGAATCTAGCGAGGAAAATTGTATGCATGGGCGTACAACACAGTGGAGATCAAGAATAGTCATGAAAAACAAGAACACTGCAGGTTTTTGTACCTTTTCAGCCACTCAAAAGCTGGGTTACAGAGGATGAGAGAACTGGGCATGGTCTCTAAGCATCGTTTCTGTGTCACTTGCAGCTTGGATTGGATCAGTCCCTGTGAGCATGGGTGCTGCCTGATAAACCCAGCCAGGGCGACAGAACCTCAGGCCTGAATCCAGTTTGCAGTCTGTGAATGGCACACAGCATCCCTCTCCCTCTTATCTTGGCTCTTGGCTTTGTAGACACATGCTGTTGTGAATGTTATTTATCTTTCGGTACTTTGAACCACTGCAAGTCACAGAGTTGTTGATGAGAATATATTGTGTTACTTGGTTGCGAAGTCGTGTCTGACACTTTTGTGAGCCCAGGGACCTTAGACCACCAGGCTTCTATATCCATGGAATTTCCCAGGCAAGAATACTAGAGTGGGCTGCCATTTCCTTCTCCAGGGAATCTTCCCCACCCAGGAATTGAACCTGAGTCTCCTGCATTGGCAGACGGGTTCTTTACTGCTGAGCCCCTAGTGAAGCACTGATAAGAATGTATTTCCTTTCTCTTCCCATCCTCTGGTTTTCATTTTTCCCTATTAAAGTTATAATCCCTTGACATGCTAAAGGTACTCAACAATACCATGTCTGTCTGTAGACGGACGTCTATATTTTCTCTTGGTTGCTGTTATAGTACCAGAAAGTGCACATCTTGGAATGAAGAAACCACTTGCTTCTAAAACCAACTATTCCCTCTGCAGGTATTGGCCCTGTAAGACCCTCTTGTAGCAGCACAAGCAGTCAGAGGACACAGCTCTCAGCTACCCAGAGCAGGTGCAGGAGGGAGAGGCAGCCCCAGGCACCATGCCCCCGGCCCCCAGTCCTACAAGGGCTGATGCCTGGAGTCTTTCTGGTATCGTCTTGGCCAGTCAGCCTTCTTTCCTTCTCTTCCTGGCTTAGAGCTGAGCTCCTGTTTGTGCACCTTACTATCTGGGGTACTGACTTCCAAAAACCAACCAAAGTGAAACATAAAATATGAGCTAATGAAGTTAAAATAGATCTTTGTGCTCAGACGCTCAGTCGTGTCTGACTCTGCAGCCCCATGGACTGTAGCCCCCCAGGCTCCTCTGTCCGTGGCACTTTTCAGGCAAGAATACTGGAGTGGGGTGCCATTTCCTACTCCAGGGAGTCTTGCGGACCCAGGGATCGAACCCACATCTCTTGTGTCTCCTGCAGTGGCAAGTGGGTTCTTCACCACTAGCACCATACATCTTTAGAGCATCCATAATAATATTCACCAAGTAAATTCTTCAATGAAAGAAACCCACTAATTTAAAAAAGGACTCTGTCAACTTCTTTTTTTTTTTCCCCCAAAAATACAGTGTTCCTTCCAGCTCACAGAAAATGAGGTGAAAAAGTATATGTTATAATTCCCAGTTCTGGTGTCACATATTCTACAGTACTTTTGGAAGCATCTTTGTTATGATCAAGGAAATATCTGTAAATATGTAGACATCTAGTTACAGAGGGAATTTTTCGGCATAGAGAACACTGATTTTACACATTGGGTTTTGGCATTGGGGAAACAGTTCCTCCTAGCATTCATAGACTTTGATTAAAGACGTGAACAAAAAGTGAAATAAGTAGGCACTGTGTTGATGAATGAATGTCTGGCTTCTCTACCTCCGTGTTACAAACCTTCTTAGGTTGAGTTCTTTGTTGCTGGAAAGTTATGATTCACAGTTGTATTTTGCTCATCAAAAGTGTTCTTTCATTCCAGGAGATAAGAAGTGGTATTACCAAAAAAGGGGAGACTCTCAGCTGGCTGAAATCCAGGCTTAAAATTCTGATTGAAGTTTCTCCTGAGGATGAAGCCCAAAAGCAAGGAGATGAGCTGGCAAAATTATCTAGTTCTTTCAAGGCTCTCGGGACTTTGTTGTCAGAGGTAAACTATTTATTCACACTCTAAATGGAAGCTCTGGATGAAGAGTCTGGAAGGTTCCTTTGGGTTTCAGTCTAACATAATTTTATTTGAAATGTGTATTAATAGTTTAAACCAAATGGTTATAACAGACACTTATATATATGAAGATTGGTGGGGAAGATGAGCAGAATCTTTACTTTGTGGTCTGTACCATTATTGGATATGTTATTAATAGTTCAGGTTCATCACTTATATTTAAAGGGCAAAGCTTCTAAATCCATACTTTTACTAGAAGCATTATTTCATGGTCAGTTTCAGGTAAATTGCAGAGGTTAAGAACCCAGGTTTTAGAGTCAAAGCCCATGGGTACAGTTTAACTCTGATACCCCATTTCCTACATCACCATGAGCTTAAAATGGATAAAAATACCCCAAAAGTTAACTTCAGGAATTGAATGCAATACTGTATGTAAAGCACTTAGTAAAGTGCCTGAAGTGAAGTAAAAGTCACTCAGTCATGGCCGACTCTTTGCAACCCCGTGGATTATATAGTCCCTGGAATTCTCCAGGCCAGAATACTGGAGTTTGGGGTAGCCTTTCCCTTCTCCAGGGGATCTTCCCGACCCGGGGATCGGACCCAGGTCTCCTGATTGCAGGCAGATTCCTTACCAGCTGAGCCACAAGGGAAGCCTGTACAGTGCCTGGAACAGAGTAGATAAGTGACGCTGTGCTATGCTTGGTCATCTCTGACTCTCTGTGACCCCATGGACTGTAGCCCACCAGCCTCCTCTGCCCAGGGAATTTTCCAGACAAGAATACCTGAGTAGTATTTCCTCCATTTCCTACTCCAAGGGATCTTCTTGTCCCAGGGATTGAAACTGCATCTCTTGCATCTCCTGTGTTGGCAGGAGGATTCTTTACCACTGAGCCACCTGACAAGCTCAAATAACTGATAGCTAATAATAGCAACACATTCATGTTGAGCCAGTAGGCTAGTAAAATCTCTTTTAGGCAAGATCTACTCACTTTAAACTTCTTTGTATACATTTCAATGTTATAGTTCTTTGTATACTATACAAGACCATCTATTTCATTTCCGGTAAGGCCGCATTTGGCTTCCCTGGTGGCTCAATGGTAAAGAATCCGCTGGCAATGCAGAAGCTTCGGGAGATGTGGGTTTGATCCCTGAGCCGGGGAGATTCCCTGGAGGAGCGCATGGCAACCCACTCCAGTATTCTTCCCTGGAAAATCCCATGTACAGTGGAGCTTGGCAAGGTACAGTCCAGAGGGTCGCAGAGTCAGACATGACTGAAGCAACTTAGCATGTACACACAAGGCCACATTTACGCTTAGCAAGAATAGGTTTACTGACCAAGTTGTCCTACGGATCTGATGACTTTGTATTTGGGAAGATAATGTAAGAATGTAAAGTACAGCAAATAAGTTATCAGGATTTCTTGAAATCATTTACACACTTGCATAGAAAAAATAATCATTTGGATGACTTATAGTTCCCTAATTCTGAAAGATCTGAAATTTTCTACAGATATTCCTAATCTAACAGTTTGATTGATTTTTCATGAAAATCTAGGTTGAAAAGATGTTAAGCAACTTTGGAGACTGTGTCCAGTACAAAGAAATAGTCAAAAGTTCCCTGGAAGAGTTAATCACTGGCTCTAAAGAAGTCCAGGAAGAAGCTGAGAAGATCTTGGACACTGAAAATTTGTTTGAAGCACAACAACTACTCCTTCATCACCAGGTAGAATGCTGCTTTACTCTGGGGCATTTATGCAAAGTCGATTAGTTACTGAGTACCAGACAGATGAAGAGTAAGGCTTTCCACTGACTTGAGCAGGGAAGATGGGGAGCTTGGGAAGGAACTCAGTCAAATAGTTAAAAGAACTTGGCACGTCTGTTCTCTTTATTAAATATTTAATATTTCAGAATATCTTGCAAGAAAAATCCTTAGCCAGCATGATTTGATGATACAAAAATGTTCAAAGAATATTGTGGAAGGAAAATTGATTTAGCTATGAAAACTTTCATAAAACACTAAATTAGCCTTTTCTTAATAGAGAAGAAAAGCATAAATGAACCATCTCATATTTGAGATGACTATTCTTTTATTATGTTATAATCTTTTATCTTCAGTTTACAACTTTGAATACATCCTGGTTTGGGAAATTATAACTAACATGAAGTACCAGTCCTTTCTAAAAAGTGTGCTCCCACAAAGGATTAAAACTGGAACTAAAGAAGTTCTGGAATGTGTATTGATAATTAACAATTTTAATCAGCTTTACTTGTCAAATTCGACAGAAGTGAAAGTATGATTCAGATTAATCTAATGGCAGAATTTTAGCTAACTTAATGTATAGGAAAATGTTAAGTAATTGTCAATGTAATAATATATCAAAATGGAAGTTGCATTGAAGTAGTTGTAAAAGAGCAGCCTTTAGACTTCAAAAAAGTGCTTAGTGCTATATTGTTCTCAGTCACTGGTAAAAGTGTTGTTTGGGTTTCAGTTTACTTTAAATCAGAGAAATATGAAATTACAGATATTCACAGAAATATGTTAATATTAAAACTCTTCATTTCTTGAACCAACTGCTTGGTTATATGGTGTGTTTACTTTGTGAAAATCCATAAGGTGTATTTTGAGATTTGTGTACCATTTTTGTTTGTACATACTTCAATAAAATATTTATTTTGAAACACACCTTTCCTCAGATATCTTAGCGTATTAATAATTCTGAATATACCCTGGACTTAAATCTCTTCATATTAGCATTTTTACAGCATGATTGATTTTTAAAAATTGGAATTAGGGCTTTGTGTTTTTAGGCGGAATATAGTTCTTCAAGGAGAATTATGTCAAATGAATAGTTTTGCCAGATTCCATCTGGGGTATTGCACAAAATATTACATGTTGTCTAAATCTGCACACAATTAAAACACTCAGGACAAATTAATTATGTTGTTTCCCATTAAAAAACATAAAATATTTGTAAATAATGCCCATCTTTGACTATCACAGAGCCTTCATTACCATCTTAACTCTTCATCTTAAGTTTAAAATGCAGTTTAGGTCCCTGCTCAGGAGATTTTACCTTTCTGTACTACCATTATAGCGTGGGTGTTTATGTCCCTACTTAGTTGCTTAAGAGAGTTAACATTTCGATCCATCTGTTGAACAAATGCTTCCAGCAAAAGACAAAGAGGATCAATGCAAAGAAGAAGGACGTGCAGCAGCAGATCGCGCAGGCTCAGCAGGGAGAAGGTGGGCTGCCTGGGCGAGTCCAAGAAGAGCTGCGGAAGCTGGAGAGCACCCTGGACAATGTGGAGCACAGTCGGGAGAAACAGGAGCGCCGCATCCAGGTAGCAGGCCGGAAGTTACATCATAGGCTGCACTAACTTCCGGGTCACAAGTTACCTCTCCTACTAGCGGGAGCAAACATTTATTATTCTTGCCTCTGAGGTGCCAATATTCTGTTAAACACTTACATGAGTGATCCCTTTTAATCATAGCATCAGCTTTGTGAGATGGGTACTGTAATTAGCACATTTTCCAAGAGTGGATGCTTAAAAATAGAGAGTTTGAGGATTTTCCCTGAAATCAGAAAGTAGCGATCAATAGTAAAGCTAGGATTTGAATCCACTCTTGTCTGAATCCAGAAATTTGCTACTGGATAATTTCACTTTTCTGGACAGTGTAACAGTCTCATCTTTATGATTTATTGTGCCTTTAACACATACAAGTTAATATGTTCTTGGATTTTTATTTCCACCTACTGACTGCCCACTCCTCTTCCTGTGTCTCTCTCTCTCCCTTCTTCCTGCTGCCTCTCCCTTCTCTCTTCTATCCTCCCTTTAATCCTTTATTTTCTTGAGACATATTGAAGGGTTTCTTTCCTTTGTCCCCTACCTACTGTTAAGTAATATCCTTAGATTCATGGGACTCTGTAACAGATAGAAAATTTCGAGTCCTAGGCCACATATCCTCTTTTTGAAGGTGAACTGAGACTCAAGAAGGGAAATTCTTACAGAAGGTGCAAGGATGATCTTTAATCCATGTAGTCATTTGACATTGGAACTGAGAGTTAACTGAAAGTTCACAGCCTAACAAATAAATGAAAATGTGACTGTATTTTGTGAGGCATTCTGATAATTCTTAACATGATATATTGTTTATTTTTTTCAAATTCAGGTCACATTAAGAAAATGGGAGAGATTTGAAACAAACAAAGAGACAGTGGTCAGATACCTTTTTCAAACAGGTTCCAGCCATGAGCGCTTCTTGAGTTTTAGCAGTTTGGAAAGCTTATCTTCAGAATTGGAACAGACAAAGGTATATTGGCAAGACCATATAGTCCTTTGGTACCCTTAATTCCCATGAATAGCTGTTTCTACTTCATCATGTCATTAATTATTGTAATTATTCATTCAGTCAATTCTTATTGTTTATGGTTCACTCTTCAATACATTGGTCAGGTTACTCTGGGGAATGAAAAATAAGATTTAAACATCAAGATGTAAGAGCAAGTTTTCATTAAAGTGAAAATGATTAGTTTCCTAGTAGATGGAGAAAGTTCTCAAACCTCTTTCTGAAGGCAGTGATATTTTTAACTGAACTTTGAAGGGCAAAGGAGACAGAAAAACAGAGTATGGGGCAGAAAACCAGCATTCCTTGTAACAGGAAACGCCATGAAGTATTAAAGTGTGAGAAATGGGAATTTGCTGTTGTAAAGCAGAAACAGGGAAGTGAAGTTTTAAAGGAAATTTGGACGACATCACAAAGACTCTTGAAGGTCTCTAGCATTACTTTCTACCCTTAAAGGTTTGTAAGAAAGAGAGTCACACCACCAAAAGAGCTGACTTTAGGGAGATGAGTTTTTAAGCTGGTGTAGAACTTTGAAAGGGTAGAAGTCTGGAGTCATGGGTTCTAATTATAAAGTCATTCATTGCTTGTGTACATGAATAGGAACATGAATTAGGGTAGTGGGGATGGCAATGGATATATAAGGACAGATGTAAAAGGGACAGAGGGAAGGAAGAGAGGATGATACCCAAGGTGCTGAGCCTGACAGAGATAATGGTAGCAAGATAGGAAATTGGGTTAGCTGTTAGTAGAGGAAGATGAGAAAGTCACATTTACTATTTGCTGATCTAATTAGTTGATGGCTATCATTTTCTTTAATCACCAAAATAGTCCTTAGAGATAGGTACTGTTATTAATCACTTTGTATAAATGAGAAGATATAGGGTACAAAATTGTTACTGAATTTATCCTAGATCTTGGGATTACTAATTGGTGAGGTTGGGATTCAAACTCAAGAGCTCTGAGTCTAGAGCCCATAACTTCATATATAACTGTATTATATTTTCACTAAAAAAAAAAAACTGAGCTACTTTACTGATTGTTTATATATGCTGCTGCACAAGTGTATGACAGCTGGAACAATTGTTCTCTATTTCTTTGTATACTTATTGTTAACACAGCTTTCATGCCTGTTGTAATCCTTGAGTATGAGTGGCTATGCTGAGGAACTTGAGAGTTTTCTGTCTGCCACTGTGTGTTTATAGCAATGTCATGTTTAGTCTTCATAACAATGTTTTACTGTTGAGGAAATGGGAATTCAGATTTATGTGGCTCAAACACCTAAGAGTTATATGGCTGAAGACCTAGCTGATGTCAAAATCTGTTATCTCCTCCTGCTTCCTGCCACCACTCATGTCTTCTTGGGATTTAGAGATAAAGCCTTGTAACAGTATTCTAGTTTTATTTAATTTGTTTTTTGTCAGCATCATTCTGTTCTTCAGATTTCTCTGCATTGTGCTTTCCCCATATATAGTTCCCACAAAATGCTCTTCAACTGAATGTGTATTTTTGTTGTTCAGTTGCTAAGTCTTGTCTGACTCTTTGAAACCCCATGGACTGCAGCATGCCAGTCACCTCTGTCCTTTACTATCTCCCGGAATTTGCTCAAATTCATGTCTACTGAGTTCATTCTGCTGTCTAACCATCTCATCCTCTGCCACTCTCTTCTCCTTTTGCCTTCAATCTATTCCAACATCACGGTCTTTTCAAATGAGTCAGCTCTTTGCATCAAGTGGCCAAAATATTGGAGCTTCAGCTTCAGCATCAGTCCTTCCAATGAATATTCAGAGTTGATTTCCTTTAGGATTGACTGGTTTGATCTCCTTTCAGTCCAAGGAACTCTCAAAAGTCTTCAGCACCACAAGTTTTGAAAGCATCAATTCTTTGGAATGTATATAAGCATTTTCAAACGTAACTCTGCTTTCTCCATTTTTTCTGGGTTCTGAAAAACACTAGGGGGAAAAACACTATTTTACACTTCTGATTTTATGCATGGGGTTCTGCTCTTATTCACAGTTTCACAGTTGAATCTGCAATGACTCTGAATTCACATATAGTGATAGCATTTAATAATTTAATAGATGCTTATAACCACAGAATTTAATGTTGTGACAGTACATACTGTATTTTAGGATATTATAAATGTCTCTGCCATAAGGAAGCTGTAACTTACTGGTTTTTTATTCTTCAAATTGCAGGGCACTTCTCTGAAGTAATGTTGGTAATTTCTATGAGGACATTAAATCTTTCAAACATGAAGATGCAATAGTATTATGTAGTAACTATTTTATATTGCATTATGTAATAATTCTGAGAGGTGCTATGTAAGAAAAGGCAGCTATCAGAAGTTTGATTTTTCTAAATAATTTACATTCCTTATTTAAGAGAGAGGAGTTTATGATCAAAATGTAAACCTTCTCTGATATAATCCAGGAGAAGAAATGAGATGCTAAGTTACTCAAAATTGTCTCTGGGTTTACCTTTCCTAATTCAGTATTCAGTAGATTTACCTGGCAAAATTGCGACAACTAAAATTTACTGGTACCTCAAATATATTAATTTTTGAATTAAGGTAGTTCACTATTATTGAAAATCAGTGTGTGAACTTCATAAATGATTTTGTCCTCAACTTTATGTGATGGACATAGAAAAAATGATAATAGGTACATGTCAGAGTGCCAGGTACTTAAAAATGAAATTACTAGTGAAATGCTAACAAGGACCTTAGTGAGAATAGTTTTACTATCTAAATTTTATATAAAACAGCCTGAAAAATAATTTGCCAGAGTCAAACAACTAGTAATTAGCAAATCCAGAATCCTACTTTGGGTTTGACTGGTTCAAAATTTTTCTTCTTTCCCTTGTGTAGTGTGTGGATGTATGGTAGATAAGATTTAACAGCATCAAGATCAGTTTATAGCTCTTTTCCGAAAGCTAGTTAACAAAATGTTTCTTTAAAGATCAATGATACCCTGTATTGACCAAAATATCCTTCAGTTAAATAAACAAGTACTCATAGGCACCGGAGAAGGAAATGGCACCCCACTCCAGTACTCTTGCCTGGAGAATCCCATGGACGGAGGAGCCTGGTAGGCTGCAGTCTATGGGGTCACTAAGAGTCGGACATGACTGAGCGTCTTCACTTTCACTTTTCACTTTCATGCATTGGAGAAGGAAATGGCAACCCACTCCAGTGTTCTTGCCTGGAGAATCCCAGGGACGGGGGAGCCTCGTGGGCTGCCATCTATGGGGTCGCACAGAGTCGGACACAACTGACGTGACTTAGCAGCAGCAGCAGCATTCATAGGCACTGGTCTAGAAGTCTGTTATCTTTATGACCAAAAAAAAAAGCAATCACTGTTGACCATTGTCTAACTAGCCTGCAATAAGCTGATATAGGCATGTACAAGTTAATTATTATCATGTAGCTAAGAATTTTAAACAGTAAACACAAACCAAGTGACCGTTGAGTCAATGTTTTTTTGGGAATTGTTGGATAAATATGAAAGTAGTTCTCCAACTACGAAGGTCTGGTTGTGTTATCACTTATATAAAAGGAAAATAATTTAACAAAGGGTCTATTTTGGCCATAATGAAAATGTCTGTTTTATTGATAGAAGTATCATATGCCAGTATTCATACATGTTTGAATCTATCTATTCATCTCTCCATCTATTCTGGTGAGACTGTTCAGTTTATTTGAGGGCAGAGTTTAACAGAAGAGGCTGCCTTTACAATTATAATATCTTTTTTTAGGAGTTTTCTAAACGAACAGAAGGTATTGCAGTCCAGGCTGAGAATCTTGTAAAGGAAGCTTCAGAGATCCCACTTGGGCCCAAGAATAAGCAGCTGCTTCAGCAGCAGGCCAAGTCAATCAAGGAGCAAGTTAAAAAATTAGAAGACACCCTTGAAGAAGAGTATGTGCTTGACAAGTCCTAGACTTTCTTCTCTGAGATTGTTTCATAACACTCTTTCCTGTATATTGTATTCAAAACATTCTTTCAAAATCAAAGTGTTTGTGTATTTCAGCATGTTTTGAGGAAGCAACTTGCAGTTCAAAAGAAAGCACCGGCAATAGAGAATCCAACATCTATAAGTGAAGGAACATGGTTTTTGCATTGTAAACTGATTCTGTTCATGAGAAAGCCATATCTATAAAATTCAAGTGGCCTTCGTACACTGGAAAGGAGAATCTCAAAAAAGAACCAAGATTTAAAATATTTTTTTTTTACTGTGTTTTTCTGCTGTCACCAGTTAGAGGGAAGGGTAGATTTTTGGTTTTGTAGATTCTAGATCTAAACACATAGACCAAGCGTCTTCAACTCCAAGAAGCTCACAGAGCTTACATACAGTGCCTCAATGTTCAAATTGTCACTGATTGTATACTATTTCCAAAAATTAACTCCAAAAATATATTTTTAAACATTTAATGTTTAACTTCTAAAAAGAAAGAAATTGTAGTTTGGCCTGTGGTATCCTGTTAGGTACAAAACAGACACACACACAAATTTGAAGGGGATAAACATATGGCCAATAATCAAAATAATACGACTTAGCAGTTCTATTTGAAAGGTTATTTAGTGGCATATCACCAACATGTATTGCTTTTAAGGTATAGGGCATAATTTCTAAGATGGGTTTAAAATGCAAAATTTGTTTTTAATACCATGAATATCTTAAAATTAATGTTGTACATTTATCTAAACTTTAAAATTTGTTAAATAATTTATTTAAAACAACTTATGACTTAAACTTTAATATTATCTATTGGGTAGAAATAGTAAAACAATTTATTAGAAAGGAAACTACATCTATCTATATTAGAAATATCCTTTTGAATCTGTATTTCATTAAAAAGTTGCAATATAATATAGCTTGCATTACCTGTGCTAATGAGAACATAGGTATATCCAGGGTATACATTTGAGATTGCAATATTATTGAATTTGACAATCATTGACGCCATTGTATTTTCCTTGATGTCTTCAAGTGCCTTTTGGTAAACAGGGAAATTCTTTTTTTTAACCCAAGGACTTAATAGTTCAATGATATCCTCTTAGTTTCCTAGTCTTTTTCTAGACTGAAAGCCATAATCTCTTGCTTAGATATGTATAACTACCACCTGGTTATATATACATAATTAATACAAACTAGGAACCTATAGTTGAAATTTTATTCACTAGATTTATTACAAATAAAACCCAAGATGTCTAAAAGCAGTTAGGGTGCTCATGTACAAGAATTTATAAAGTCTTTTGGAATCAAGATATCCAGACTCTAAGAATAGCTGAAATTGTGATAGATAATGGATTGCAGGCTTCACTCTAATAATAGAAACAGTTTCCTGCATGACAGCATGGGATTCAGACTACAAGGTCTATCTTGATTCATAGAGATGTATTTCAGAAAGATCTTTGAGTATAAAGCATCACTAAACGTCTCTCCTCTAAGAGCAAAAGGACCATGTTGGCAAAATTGGGACTGTTAAAAACATTATGTGCACTGTAATCAAGGCGGGCAATTTACTAAAATAAGCCTTGGCAACTACTGGTCACGTGCAGTGTTTAACTAGATTATACCTGGATTTAAACCATTTGAACCCAGCAGTATTTTCTTCAAAGCACAGTTCCGTTCATAATATAGAGTAGTGCTACCTCATTCTCAGAGGAGACAGGAAGACTTGAGGACTGACCAGTTCAGGTCAAAGGTGCATTTTTTTCCCCTGTGCTAATAGTTTCAGCTTCGATGTGGTCACAAATGTCTTCACTATCCTTTCACTTGGTGATTTGGAGGGAAATGTATTTTTCTCTATTAAAATACTGCATTTTATTTACTTAATTTGGTTAATTTTAGTATTAAAACCATGGAAATGGTGAAAAACAAGTGGGATCATTTTGGCACTAACTTTGAGACCCTGTCCGTCTGGATAACTGAGAAAGAAAAAGAACTCAATGCCTTGGAGACGTCATCATCTGCCATGGACACACAAATCAACCAAATTAAGGTGACCTGCTCACAAGTTACATTTATAATCCACCTCTAGCTTTTAAGAGCACCTTTCTTATGTTTCATCAAATGCTATATGACCCCAGGACAAATCTTTCATTGCTATGTGACTCTATTAAAATTAAATTTACACAAGATGCCGAATTAAGAGGTCTTGACTGATAACTGGGCAACGCTTAATAGATGGAATTATGTATTAATACTGATTGACTTATGCTTTCAAAGTCATTCTTGTGTGCAGTATCATTAAAATGTTTTTATGGTTACATTATTCTTTTCCTTGATTTTGAATTAGCGCCATTAGAGTCCCCTGTTGATGGATTTATATGCCATGAAATATATTCATCATCTACAACCTTACTTTGTAAGAACTAGTCTAAATATCTAGCTTAAGTATTAGTAGCATTTACCCTCACCAACCACAAAGAAGGGTTCAAGAAACTGCTTTCCTTAGGTGAAGCAATCAGATTCCATTGCTTTAAGGCTGGCATTTATGACACCTTTGGGGGCTTGGACCGAGATGTTCTGATATGCTATCCCACAGTTCTCAGATAACCACGTGTTTAGACTATCATCATCCACTTCATTCAAATAGCATATGAAAAAAAAAAAGAGCTGAAAGAAATGAATTCTGAGTGTTCATTTCTCTTTCTTCTGTGCTATTTTTACACAACACATTTTCAAACTCCAGCCACTTCTTTTTCTGTCTCAGCTCATTTTTTTGGAATGGGAAAACCCTCTGCCATTTCATTCGATTAAATATAGTAAAATGAATAACAAGGTGAGGGAACGTTTCACATTATGACTCAGAAGAATTCATTGCCATGTGCATGGTGGGAGGTGCAATATGGTTTAGCTAAGATTACATGCCGGACAGATTGCGTATCAAACATCTTCTGCAGTCAAGGGTACATGGAGTTTGGTGTCTACAGTCTAGCTTACATCCTGTGTGATAGACTAGGAAAAACAGATACCCAGCCAGTAAGGAATATCCAAGAAATATGTTTAATTTTTAAAACTGTTTATAAAGTTGTCATTTAATCATTTTCACTAAATTCTAAGGAAATAAACAATAGTCCATTTAAAGTTTCATCTGAAAATTTTTCTTTCAAAAAACTTTGACATAAACCCTTTTAACTTGTTTAGCTTTTCTATAAAGTCACTTTTCTATTTTATAAACCTTAATTCCACAACTTCTGAACTGCATCAGTAATCGAAAGTATCACATTGTTACTCTTTAAGAAACAATCATGTATTTTATTTTTAAGTGTATAAGCATTCAATTGTGGATGGCCGTGCCATCAGGCTGGAAATACACTTTTAATATTCTGATATGGCACTTTGAAAACTATCTAAAAATAAATAGGAATAACAGGAAAAAAATATATTTGCTAGAAATAAGCAAAGATAAGAGTTGAATTCATTATACAGTGGAATTGGGGATCATAAGTTCATGTTCTATTTCCAAACAGAAGACTGGGTTATAAGAAATATTCAAAATATGTTAACACTTGTCATAGTATTTTCACTTTAAAACAGTTTTAGGATTAAAATTAATAATGCATTTGCATGTTACCATGAAGATATCTATAATCTCATTTTTGTTCTTTATTACATGCTGTTCCAGATTGACTAATTTCTTATTCATTCCTAATTGATAACTCAAAAATGATAAGAATATTCACTGGGTTCATTTCCCATCTTCTCTTTTTGGACTGGAATTTTTTCTGCCACAACCCAGCAATATAATTATATAGTTAGCATCTATGAATTTGTTAATGGCATGTATTATTCTGAAAACTAAAAATTTTGATCTTAACTAAGATTATTTCACTAAGGTGTTGGAAGAGCCTAGTACAACTATTAGCACATAAAAAACTCAAAATACATTTGTTGAATTTTTGACTAATTTTTCCAGAAAAATTATCTTAAAAGACAGCAAAACAAAGAAAAACTGTATCAATGCTCAAACAACAAGCATTCATTAGCGATATCACTTTAGTCACAAACATACAAATACAAACACATAAATGATGTATCCCTGGCACTAATCTGATGCCAGTTATTTCTGACTGTCTTATCTAGACAGAAGTTATTTCTTACTGTGTTGCTTCACCTGAACAGAAGTCATATATTTTTCTGGGGTAACAGTATTTTCTAGTTAAACTATTTGGAACTGAAACTTGTCTGGATGTTTGGCTTTATTTTGATAGAATTATTTGGATTTTTTCTCAGAGAAATAGTTTTTCTCTTAAACATAAATAAACATCTATGTTTATAAGAAACCTCTGTCCCCAACACACACACACACACACACACACACACACGCACACGCACACACATACACACAAAAACACATTCAGTTTTTTGGCAGTTTTCAGTCTTTTTCCTGTGTTGACTCATAGATAAAATGCCCTCCTGCCCCAAACAGATATCATAGTCTGTAGGTTCTTGACCGTCAAGTCCATAGCTAGTAAATAAAGCAGTGATTCCCAGAGTGGATTCCCTGGGTCAGCAGCAGTGTATCACCCCACCTTAGACCCAGTGAGTCTGAGTCCCTGAGGATGGGACCAGTGACCCTAATATATTCCAAATTTGGACATCATTGGCATAAAGATGAGTTGGTAAACTTTAGAAGACTGGGTTTAAGTAGGAGCAGAATCAGAAAATATTTTAGTTTGGTAACATATGAAAAACTAAACTATATTCTAGGAAAATTAAATGTATGTCAATATTAGCATTCCTTTGAGTTTGGGAACATACTGCTTCCTAGGCCAGTTGGTCAAAACTCTTTGACTCACAGGATAAGACGAGACCTCTGTGTATATTCAAACAGACAGTAAGAGTTCCTGGGACATGTTCCTGCTTCCTTCACTTCAAGCAGGGTAGATATTTCTTACTTTCCATCCAGCGAGCATGGCCACCATCAGGGTGTACCTGTCCTTCCCGAACAAGGTCGGGAAACCCATGGTGTGTATTTGTAGCTGCTGTACAATGGTGCAAATATGTTGAAACGCCAGTCAAGGAAAATTTTGCTGATTTTCTCTCTCTGCAGATGATTGTATCATTTCAAGGCAAGCTTGCTCAGCCTACCTTGTCATTTTTCTTGTTTTAAATATTAGGTCATGATTAAGGAAATAGAAAGTAAGGTCAGCAGCATTACAGGACTAGAAGAAGAAGCTCAGTCTTTTGCTCAGTTTATTACCACTGGAGAATCTGCTCGCATCAAAGCCAAGTTAACCCAAATAAGAAGATACTGGGAAGAGCTCCGAGAACATGCACAGAGTCTGCAAGGAATAATCGTGGGACATTTAGCTCAGCAGAAGAAGTTTGAGGAGAATCTTAAAAAGGTAAGAATTGGCCCGTGCCTGCTAAAGTTACCTATTTCACATTGCATTTTATAAATCACCCAGAAATAATGGAATGAGGGAAGAAGACACAATTTGCCAATTCCTTACCAAGTTGTCAATGATGATTGAGTTTATAATTTATATGTAACCTTTTTGGGGGTAATATAAAACTGTCATTATATATTGTGTTCAGAAAGATATTATGACTTAATTACATTTCTTTCAAATAGTGGGATACATTGATTTTGAGATTTTTAAAAATTTATTTTATCATCATGTTGAAAGTTATCCAAAAGAAATAAGCATGCTGTTTCCCCTGCCTTGATGTATGTCTTCCCCACCATATTTTCATATTTTACCAATGTTTTAGATCCAGCAGTCTGTGTCTGAATTTGAAGATAAACTTGCTGATCCAGTTAAAATATGTTCTTCAGCTACAGAAACATACAAAGTTCTCCAAGAACATATGGTAATAGCATGTTTCAGCATTTCTTATTTATCTGCTCAGAAATGTGATGATTCCTGTTTGAAAAGAAAATAGTAAATATTTTTATGACAGTTATATTTGAAAAAAATTGTATGTTACTTGAGGAATAATATGATAAAAAATATTCATTAACACAAGAAATATAACTATATAAATAAGTTTTAATTAAAAATGTATATTAAAAAGTAGTCAATTAAAATATATTTCTCTCATAATTAAAGCATGTAGCTTTTTCCTGTAAACAGGATTTATAGCTTTAATAAATCCTGTTACCTCTTGCCAGCATTATAAAAAATGAAATGTGCAGAAAATATGCATAACAGATTTCAGATTTTAACCCACTACAGTCAGATGTGCAAAGACTATGTACTCACTGATCTTTTCCTCAATGGCTAGCTTTTTTGGTCTGGTCCCTGAACTGGTAACCACGGTGAAAGTGAAGTTGTTCAGTCATGTCTGACTCTTTGCGACCCCATGAACTATAGCCTTCCAGGCTCCTCCATTCATAGGATTTTCCAGGCAAGAATACTGGAGTGGGTTGCCATTTCCTTCTCCAGGGGAGTCTTCCCTACCCAGGGATCAAACCTGGGTCTCCTGCATTGCAAGCAGACTCTTTACAGTCTGAGCTGCCGGGGAATCCCAACCACTGTGAGATACGTTGCAAAGCAACAGATGCTTCTGGCAGAATTTAGAGGAAGGAGCAAAACAAGGGAACGTAGGCAAAGAAATACTCAAAAGAAGTGTGTTAATTAATACACAAAATATGCTGTGGTTGTTGTTCAGTCGCTAAGTCACGTCTGACTCTTGTTGACCTCACGACTGCAGCACCCCAGGCTCTTCTGTCCTTCACTGTCTCCCAGACTTTGCTCAAATTCATGTCCAACAAATATATATATATGTGTATATATATGTAGCACATATATATATACATATAATCCCTATCATGCATACATGCATGAAATGTATATATAAATGCAGAGAAGGGGATGCAATAATAACAGTTGACCAAAGCACAACTGGAAGGGCAACTGGAATTTATATCACTTGAATTTTTAGGGTAAGAAATGCATTATTTTGTTACTTACACAATTTTTTAAGAAATAACCCCCACATGAGGAAAAGTAGGAAAATTGGATTTGATGGAATTATTTTAATAGGCAACTAAATTAACAATTGAGTGCCAGAGAGAATAATGCATTTTTTTTAACATTGGATTTTCCTAAACCAAGTTGTTTTTCTCTGTCTTGACTTTTTGAGCTATAAAATGGGGGCTAACGAAAGAGCATACCTCTTAGGGTTCTTCTGAAGAGTAAATGAGTTAATGTGCGTAACGTGCAGAACACAGTGCCTGCCACATTCTCAGCTACCCTAATTGTTGTTATCATGGATTCTTGACGTCAGCTATGTCAGTCATAACTTCCCATAGATATTTTTAAATAAAATTGCAGTATGTTGCATGTAGCTCTTGTAAATCAGGAATAATATTTTTAAATACTTGTGCTGTAACATGAATAACAATTTTCACATATTACCTAAATCCTTAAGGGAAAGTTAAAATTATCCCAATAAACAGGGACAATTTCTTATTTGGGAAATAGTTTCCATTCTCATCTTTGGCTTCTGCATTTGTGAAGTAATTGTCACTCTGTCTTGCTGAAAATCACACACAGAGACATTTTTTAGTACCACAACTGTTTATTGTGACATTGGGGAAATGTTTGGTGATAACTGGTCTCAGGGGAAAATGTGGGTCTCCTTTCCTGATGCTGGGACTTTATGGCACTCTTTGGCCTTCACATCAGGATCTCTGTCAGGCCCTGGAATCACTGACCAGCACGGTGGCCGCCCTATCAGCCAGCGCCCGGAAGGTATCCAACAGAGACTCCTCCATCCAGGAGGCTGCAACCGTGCAACAGAGCTATGAGGGTTTGCTGGGTCGGGCGAAGGAGAGACAGAGAGAGCTGGAGAAGCTGCTGGCCTGCTGGCAGAGGTGAGCGGCCTTCCTTCTCCTGTTGGCAGCCAGGGTATCAATAGCTACTCTTTAGTGGAAAATTCTGAACGTTGAGGGATGAGAAGTGATTATCCCACATGTAAAACTCCTCAACTCGTGTGCCTACCATGGGAAGACAGCGATCTTCATTATAAGATGAAGTCCCCTAGTTGTGGAAAGGATGCGTGTCTGTCTTTACACATGGCACAGATCTAAGCACGTGGACGAGCTCATACACAAATACCAGAGTTTTTGGACGTTCACACCCAGAAAAAGACAACCAACACTGTGGTGTTTATTGTGGTTACTGTTGAACTCCCCGACTTCAGAAAGGTTTAGTTTTCAAGTATGATAATTTCACAAGACTTTGTTTCTTATCTCTGCTTTCTGTAGGCTAGAGAAAGAACTGTCGGCCTTTTTGACTTGGTTAGAGCGGTGTGAAGCTATAGCCAGTTCACCAGAAGCCGACATTTCTGCTGACAGAGTCAAGTTGGAGAGTGAACTCCAGTCAATACAGGCAAGTTCAAGGAAGCGTGAGGAGAAGGAAATGTTCTTGTCATGGTTGCATTGTAAAAGCAAAATCAAGAACCAAACCTTCTCTCCAACTTAACTTCTTTTCGTTTCATGGTCCTGAAGAGGAGAACAGCCCTGACCTGAAAGACAAGTCACGGTGAACTTTGTGATGATCAGTTTCCACAGTACATTAGAAAATCCTGTAGCATAATGTCTGGCACTTGACTATAAATTCTCTGGCAGGGGAGTTGAAGGAGAAATGGGTAGAAACATAGATGAAACAAGTTTGACTCTCAGTGAGTAATTTTTTTTTTTTTTTGTCTGCACTGCACAGCATGTGGGATCTTACTTCCCCAGCCAGGGATCAAACCCTTGCGCCCTGCAATGGAAACCCAGGGTCTTAACCACTGGAATGCCAGTGAAATCCCTCAGTGAATGGTTTTTGAAGCTGGGTAATAGCTATAGTCTTTCTACTTTTGTATTTGTATAAATTTGGGATAAGTTATTTTTTTGAACAAAAAAAAAAAAAGAGACAGAGAGAGAGAAAGAATACAATGTAGAAAGAAGTCACAATAGTGATTATTTTCAAGCAAGACACCAAAAAGTGAATAAGCAAAGTACAGGAGGTAGAAAGACAAAGAATTCTAGCTTATTAGATCCTTTAAGAAGCCAACTTTTTAAACTTTAAAGAATCTCTCAGTCTTATTGAAACTACAGACAATGCTACTGATTTCTGGAGATTAATAACTTGCTTTAAGTGATGCTATCTGTGCCAGAAAATTCGACAAGCAAAATTGCTTCAACAAAGAGATTTATTATGTAACAGGATTTGCACCCCAACTTTCTCCCTTCCCCTTTTGTAAAACACTTAAGAGGAAAATGGATTTTTTTTACTTTTCATAATTTCTTCTCTAAAAACTCCATCAGTGCGCATCTGTAGCTTCTGTTCCTATTCCCCCAACTTCAGATGTTCTCCTACTTTGAATTTGAGAGTTTCCTGTACTCTTGATTCTGCTGCCTTTCTAGTTTATTAAACACAGTTTATTGATGCAGTAGTTCTGCATTAATCTCCCCAAAAGTCCCTGCTCAGAAGTATCCGGTGACTGTCCTGTCTGAGGATAAAGGGCAATCCACAATCCACAAACTGGTGTTTATCTTCTTACAAATAGAGTGTAGGGAGTCCTCAGAGGGGAAGCCATTGGTCCCTGCCCATGTCAAAATGTGTTCTTATGTTCTTATGTGTCTCTAAATGGAAAACAGGTCTATGCAAGTTAGAGAACCACAAAGGGGGCTGCAGGCACACATCCAGGAACTGTGTTAACTAAGCTGCTCCCTGCCCCAATCTGAACCTTCCTCGTATGTTCCGACATCCTGGCCTCATGTCCTTCATCTTGCTCAGATTCCGCTTTGTTATCTTACCTGGCTTCCATAGGCAGTCCTTCCTCTGATACCTTTAGCAATTTTGCTTTTATCACACCTGTGACCTCCCTACAAAGGGGAAAGAGCATCATCTATGTGCCATGCTGTATGGTGCTTCCTCTTCTGTTGTATGAAAGTAAAATGAAGAGCTGTTAAGCTCCCTGCTTTGGTCTAATGTCATCTCTAAACCCAGAGACACATTGTGGGCCCAGTTCCTAGAATTGCACCTCTTCATTGTTAGATATGCATTGTTTCTCTTCAGCAGTAGTTATTCTTTGATTCTTTTCCCCTACTCAGTTTCTTTATTCTGAAAGAAATTCTACAGCTTCTAAATTTGCCTAACTTAATATAACTCAGACTGTTGGAAAGTTAATTCAGGTTTCAAAAGCATTTTTAACATTGCATTAGAGGTTGTGCTGTGCATGCTCATTCGCTGAGTCGTGTCCGACTCTTTGGGACCCCATGGGCTGTAGCCTGCCAGGCCCCTCTGTCCACGGGATTTTCCAGGCAAGAATACTGGAGTGGGTTGCCATGTCCTTCTCCAGAGGATTTTCCCAACCCAGGGATCTAACCCCTGTCTCCAGTGTTTCCTGCATTGGCACATAGATTCTTTACCCCTGAGCCACCTGGGAAGCCATGCATTAGAGGTTAAGTGGATTCAGTTCTAAATCAAGGGATAAAAATTCTTCTTAGCCTGGTCCTAATGCCCTCCATTTTGCAAGAACACAAAGCTGTTGGACCACAACTACCTTTCATGTGGTCCTTCCCGGTCAGTCTTGTTAGGATGAGATCTGTAATCCGTTCTGTTTTTCTCAGGTGCTGCAAAATGAAGTTGTGGCCCAGGCTTCCATCTACAGCAACCTATTGCAGCTAAAGGAATCCCTCTTCTCAGTGGCCTCCAGAGATGATGTGAAAATGATGAAACTACAATTGGAACATTTGGATGAGAGATGGAGAGATTTGCCCCAGATAATTAGCAAAAGGTTGGGTTTCAAAAAAACTTTTAGTATTGCTCATTTTTTAAAACAGTGAGCATATAAATTAAGAAAGCTTAGTTTTGTTTACTTTTACTTAACCCCATTATTTGAGCATAAAGAGAAGAAAACTAATCACCATTTATAAATCAAAGTGCTTTATATTCAATAAATCCATTAATGCATTAAAGTGCATTATAAATCAAACTAGTATTTCAGATGACCCTAAATTCAAAATTTTAGTCTTGCAATCAAGGAAAATGATCAAATTAGTTGAATGATATTAAAGAATGTAGGATTACTCATGTTTTAATTATTATTGCTCAAGTTGTTTATATATAGGAGAAAAATGGTAAATAAAATTTTACCTCACATGATATTTCTCAACAGAGGATATGTATTTTTCCCATTTCATTCCAGTATTATAGAGAACAGGAAAATCATTATTATCATATTAAAAGGAAACAAACATGAATTAAATCTTAATTGACTGGATGGTTAACATTGACATCTACAAATTTTTTAATATGCCAGAAAACAAGGTTTTATCTTAAATTGGTATTGATTACCCATGTAATCCTGAAAACAGCAGTTAACCTTTTTAGTCAATTTTCAGTCAATTTTTAATTTATTTTTTCAGCAAATATTTACTGAGTTTTAATGAGTAGTGTACTTTTCTATGTGCTGAGGTTAGCAATGTAAACAGAGTTCCACTCTACCTCTGTGGGGCTTGTATTTGATCCATTGTCTACTCCTTCATATATTCAATTAGCAAATGTTTACTGAGTACCTGTTGAGTGTGAGACAACATATCAGACACTGAAACCATAAAAATAAGTAAAACCTGAGGGCAAGTATTTTATAGATCAGCGTGGGAATAACAAGAAACCCAATGAGAGGGGAGCACAGGATATTACAGAAGCCAAGAGAAAGGACATTTGAATGGGTTCATGAAAGGCTGACGAAAGGTTTTTGGTGCCAAACTCTTGAAAGATGAGTAACTTGCTACAAAATACAGGAGGATCTGCCCTCCACCTCCCTCCCAGAGAAAAAGTAAAGGATTTTAAAAATGATACAAATGTATGAAAGCAATCAAAGTATAATCTATGCATGTAAAGATAACAGGTAGACAATTTTGTAAGGATTAAAGCATGAAAGTCTGTTTAAAGAGTTGAACTCTGGATATGAGCCACTGTAACAGATATATTTTATTAAGATGCTATTCTCTTTTAATTAGTTCGCTACTTAATTTTGGTTGCACTGGATGTTCACTGTCGCCCGAGGGCTTTTCTGTAGTTGCAGTGTGCCGGGGCTACTCTAGATGCGGTGTGCGATCTTCTCACCGCGTCAGCTTCTCTCGCTGTGGCTCTCGGCCTCTTGAGCTCAGGCCCAGTAGCTGTGGCGCAGAGACTTAGTTGCTTCACAGCAGATGGAATTGTCTCAGATCGAAAGCATGTCCCCTGCAGGCAAATTCTTATCCACTGTACCACTATGGAAGTCCTAAGGTGTTATCCTTAATGCCAACCTTGGGCTCTGAACTCAGATCACCCTATTGTTTGTCCATCTGGTTCATTCATTACACAAGCAATGTTTGATCCCTGACCCTATCCCAGGTACTTTTCTGGATCCTGAGTTTATAGCAGTAAGCAAAGCAAGACCTATCTATGTCTTACTGGGTGAGGGGGAAGATAAATAGATCATTAATCAAGAGAATGAACCCATTTCAAGTGGTGTTCAGTAATATGAAGACAACAAAATAGGATGACATGGGAGGGGCCGTAGACTGGGTGGCCAAGCAAAGCCTCTCAGGGGACTTGACATCAGATTAAGTTCTGAATACTATGTATGAGGCACGTTCACGGTCCTTGGGGGCAAAGCATACAGGCAGAGGGAGCAAAAGGGCAGAGGCTCTTGGGCAGGAATGAGCCGGGATATTGAGGAGACAGAGATGAGTGAAGCGTGGGGCAGCGCTGTATCAGATGAGGTCAGAGAAGTTGATTCCCTGGGATCCCTTGCAGATTGCAGTAGGAAGCCTTGGCGTTTCGCCTTCTTGTATGCAGCAGGAAACTGCCCCATGTTTAAGCTTGGCAGGGGATGTTCTGTTGCCTCTACAGTGGACAGTAGGGAGGCCACGTTGGCAGGAAGGAGGCTGGTGTGGGCGGCTGGTAGAGGCAAGAGATGAAGAGATTTAGGCCAGGGTGCAGAAGTGGAGAGAAGAGCACAGAACATACCGTGACGGCGTGCTGGCAAGATCAACACAGATCAGACGGGGTGGTAAAGCGACAAGGGGGTGAAGAGTGACTCGTAGAATCATCTGGGTGGATGGTGGGAACGTAAACGAAAAGGGGGAAAGTGGGAGAGAAATGGGGCTTGAGAAGCAGAAAACATCAAGGGTTCTGATCTGGCCATGCATGACAGCATTACTTTTGCCCTTGATTAGAAACATGTCATTAATTTTTTCTGTCCAGATGAGGGGCATTTTAACATTAACACTTTTACGTACATAGGATTAACTTCCTTCAGTCTGTGGTCGCCGAACACCAGCAATTTGATGAACTGCTGCTTTCCTTTTCTGTCTGGATTAAGCTGTTCCTCAGTGAGTTACAAACTACTTCTGAGATAAGTGTAATGGACCATCAAGCAGCTCTTACACGGCACAAGGTAAAGTGTGTTAAGATTGAAGAAGAATTTATTCATAAAATAGAGTTCTTGAATTATAAAGGGATGCAATATTAAAGAACACTTGGCAACAATTTAACTTCTTATTAGTATGCAAATGTTTTAATAATTGAGTATATGGGTCCAGACAACATGTGATGCAGACAAATTAAACACATAAAGCCACTTCAGATAAAATAGGCAACCACTTTAAGAGACTGCTTCTTCAAAGTAGAGCAAATGATTTCTAGAGTGAATGATATGAGAATGTTCATTTTTAAGCTTCTAGTTTGCTTTGTTATAGTGCTGAAAACTAATACTGAATTCTGATGCTTTAATGATAGAATTTTCCAAATTACCCTTTAGCTTGAAAGTTATTTAAAATTCATGATTTATTTTCCTTATTTATAATTTATGTAAAACAGCTGTTGAGGCATCAAAAAATAAAATATCTAATAAGATTCTGACCATCAAGCATTGGGATAGTTGGACATAAGCTATATAATAAGTTTATAACAACATTTAGTAATAAAACATTTAATATTTGTTGAGTGCTAACTCTGTGCTGGGTTTGCTAATTGATTTTACCCAAAGGAAAAGTACTTTATCGTATCTTCCTGTTACAAGACAGGGGTGCTATCTGCCTTAATGATTTACATTTCAAAGAAATGGCTCCCCCAGTCCCTGAGAAGATATTCTGAGTTGTAAAATTGGCCAGAGGCTTTAAAAATATTTATCTCACAAAGGAGCAGAGAGGGAATTTGTATATTTTCTAGTGTAAATGCTCAAAGAAGCCCTCGAAAGTTTAGCAGTCAAGCTAAGGAGAACAAGTGTTAATGTTCATCTATTCCTATACTCCTTCCCTATAAATTGCTGATATTAGCTCTAATTATAATTATAAATACTATAATTTGTATGTATATATATTACTATAATATGTAAAATGTAAATATATGTGTTATATATAATAGAGCTTAGCTCTAATATATAAATATTATAATTTGCATATAAATGAATTATTATAATATATAAATGTAAATTTAAAGTGTTGGCCAAAAAGTTCATTATGGGAAAACCTGAGTGAACTTTTTGGCCAACCTAATATAATATGAATCATAGATCATAGAGCTCATTCCATAAATTAGTAATTCTAAATAAAATCTAATGAATTAATTCCAAAGTAGAGCTAATTCTGTAAATATTTTAGTTATATTCTGCATATATATATAGGTAAATAGCTTCCCAGGTGGTGATAGTGGTAAAGAACCCTCCTGCCAATGCAGGAGACCTAAGCGGTGTGGGTTCAATCCCTGGGTCAGGAAGATCCCATGGAGGAGGGCATGGCACCCACTCCAGTATTCTTGTCTGAAGAATCCCATGGGCAGAGAAATCTGTCAGGCTCCAGTCCATGGGGTTGCAAAGAGTCAGATACAGCTGAGGTGACTTAGCATGTGGCATGCATGTATAGTTAAAAAAAATTGAAAATTTGGATGATTTTAAAAGTATATATATATATGATGTATTTATATACATACACACATATATATTTGTTGTTGTTGTTTAGACGCTAAGTCATGTAGGACTCTTTTGTGACCCCATGGACTGCAGCCCACCAGGCTCCTCTGTTCATGGTGTTTCCCAGACAAGAATACTGGAGAGGGTTGACATTTCCTTCTCCAGGGGATCTTCCCTACTCTGGGATTGAACCCATGACTCCTCCATTGACAGGCAGATTCTTTACCACTGAACTACCTGGCAAACCCATATATAATTTCTTTTAACTATTCCTGTCCATGGAGTAATTATTTTCCGTGGAATGAATTATTTCCAAATGAGAGGTGTGTTTTATGTGAAACATACAGAGAAGCAAAACAGGAGAAATTTTAAGAATGTTTCTACAAGATTCACCGTAGTCGACTTTTAAGTGCTATGCCATCCGTTGCATTTAAATGTGTCTTGACATCACAAATCTGTATCTGTGTGGGTTAAGCACACTGCATCTGGGAAATCACTGGCTCTCTCTGCTCTTTCAGGACCATGCGGTGGAAGTAGAGAGCAAAAAGGGAGAACTGCAGAGTCTGCAGGGTCACCTGGCGAAGCTGGGTGCCCTGGGCCGCGCCGAGGACCTTCACCTCCTCCAGGGCAAGGCGGAGGACTGCTTGCAGCTGTTTGAGGAGGCCAGCCAGGTCGTGGAGAGGCGGCAGCGTGCCCTGTGCCAGCTGGCCCAATTCCTACAGAGCCACGCCTCTCTGTCCCAGAGTCTCCACCACCTGAGGCAAACAGTGGAAGCGACCCACAGTATGAATAAGCAACAGTCCGACTTATTAGAAAGGGACCTAAACGATGCTATTCGAAATGTGAAAACACTAGAATCTGCTGCCATCAGTCTCGACGGCCTTCTTACCAAAGCCCAGTACCATCTCAAGAGCGGAGGTTCTGAGCAGAGAACGTCCTGCAGAGCCACCGCAGATGACCTCAGCGTGGAATTAGAGAGGATCCAGAACCTTCTGGGAACCAAGCAGAGTGAGGCGGATGCCCTGGCGGTATTGAAGAAGGCCTTCCGAGATCAGAAAGAGGAGTTGCTGAAAAGCATCGAGGACATTGAAGAAAGGACTGACAAAGAGCGGTTGAAAGATCTAACCCGACAAGCACTTCAACAGAGGTGAACGGCGACTGCCTGGAAGCCGGTTGCCAGGAGTTAATTCCTTTGCTTTTCATTTGTTCTGGAATTCACTCTTGTGCAAAACTATAATAGTACCATGTTTAGTTACTTGTTTTTAAAATATTCTGAGGGGACTTCCCTGGTGGTCCAGTGGTTAAGACTCCACACTTCCACTGCAGGGGGCACAGGTTTGATCCCTGATCAGGGAACTAAGATTCCCACATGCCACAGGGCTTGCATATATGTGAATGAGTGAATGAAAGTCAGTCAGTAGTGTCTGACTCTTTGCAACCCTATGGACTGTAGCCTGTCAGGCTCCTCTGTCCATGGAATTCTCCAGGCAAGAATACTGGAGTGGGTAGCCGTTCTCTTCTCCAGAGGATCTTCCCAACCCGGGGATCAAACTGAGGTCTCTCGAATTGCATGCAGATTCTTTACCAGCTTAGCCACCACAGGATAAAATTAATGACTATTTTAACAGTAAAGAAGTACTAATATTTCTTTGTTTTCCTTAAGAACTTTCCTAAGAGTTATATATAAGCCATTTTGAGATCTTATTTACAATAGAGTATATTGATCATATTATCTATTTTTAAGCAGTTTTTAGCTAATAGAAGAAAGGACCCATCTTCTTTAGCAAGAATGACAAGCTGAGGAGAAAGGAAGTGAAGTGGATTTGTATTTCTGGTGGTAAAATATGAGGGACTTTTTCCCAGTGGCTTCTAGCCTCTGAGAAAGTACTGGAGTGAGTTCATTAGTTGACAGTGAGCGATAGGAAACTGTGGGTAGAAAATGCAGCGAGAAATGGAAAGGAAGCCTCTGGCACTTGGTAAATGATATGCTGCCATTTGAGATTTATATTCATTCACTTAAAGAGGAACCAATCAGCCTGGCAGAGTGGTTCTCCCCAACTACTTTTAACAGTTTGCTTAGAAGTGTGGAGAAGGCAGAGAAGTAGGTTTAAGCAAAGTTGGTTGTTTTGTCAGGAAAGTTTAATAGAGACACTAAGAGGTCAAAGGTATTTTTTTACAGTAAATTTTCTAAGTAATATTTTACTGTAGCCTTCCTTGCAATCCTATTTTTCCTTCTTACTAGAACTTCTCCCCACTCATCTCAGCATCACTTTCTCTTCCATTTTTTCAGGGGACAAAGAAACAGCAGGGATGAATCATACCAAGACATCCATAATTGATAAGGATTAGATTGACCCTGTCAAGATCATTGCCATTTGCTTCCTTCTAACCAGAATCAAACATTAAGCTAAAGGCGTTGGTTAGGTGATGATGACTCCTGAGGTTATATTCCAAATGGGCAATAAGCTATCTGACTAGTTTAACAACAAATTTACAAAAAGAAATAAGATTTGGAAAGGGAAAATGGCCTCCAGAGTAGGGATAGAAGGAAGAGTCAAGTGTGACAAAGGAGCCAAGAGTTCACCCAGGAAATGTGCAATAGGGTTGGTGCTGCATGGCCCTCCCTAGCCTGCTCAGGCCAAGCTGATCAGGAGATCCTAAAATTGCTGAAGTTGCCCTGGGTTGCATGCAAGGGCCACCTCAGTACACACAATGCTAAACTTACCAAAGTTGTAGAGAGGCTATGGAAAATGTTGCCTGGACTAGATTGTTTTTTAAATACCAGTCACACCACGCCTAGGTGTTACTGGGTGGCCTTGAACAAATCAGCTCTCTTATGAAATGGAGCTATTGATAATACTTGTTCCTAGCCGTTTTGGGGGATTAGATGGGATAGTGCACACTTTCAGCACTAAACCAAACTGCAAAAACTAAAAGAGTCAATGGCTGCCTCTCTATGGCCACTTTTTACAGATACTCAAATATTAAAGACCCTTTGTAGTGGTAATTAAAAAAAAAAATAGGTGAAGTTTTAAAAACATACTTATTGTAGAGCTCAGTAAAACTATTTTTATTTTGAGTGAAATGACTGTGATTTTTAAATATTACTTTAATATGAATCGAACCTCACAGCATGGGAGAATTTTTTACTGATGACCTTGTGATAATTACTCAACTACTTTACCTCATATGTTGGTCCTGGTCTTGAAATTCTTATATCATCAAAAGAAAATAGAAAAAGAATACAAACAATAGAAGTTTGAAGGTCAATGGTAAAAATGACTTCAAATGTTTTCTAAGGTACAGTCTGAATTATGCAAAATTAACTGTAAAAGCATCTTTATTCATTAATATACATAAAGTGCTGTGTTAAAAGCTTTTCTAGCTATTGATATGCATGCTTTATTTATGGAAGTGAAAGTCACTCAGTTGTGTCCGACTCTTTGTGACTCCATGGACTGTAGCCCGAGAGGCTCCTCTGTCCGAATTCTCCAGACCAGAATACTGGAGTGGGTAGCCTATCCCTTCTCCAGGGGATCTTCCTAACCCAGGGATCAAACCCAGGTCTCCCACACTGCAGGTGGATTCTTCACTGTCTGAGCCAGCAGGGAAGCCCTTATTTACAGAAAGGAAAGAGTAGCTCAACACTTGTAGTAAACTAATAGTAAAATAACATTTTAATTTACAGGTTGAGAGTCTTCAATCAGTTAGAAGATGAATTGAATTCTCATGAGCATGAATTATGTTGGTTGAAAGATAAAGCCAAGCAAATTGCTCAGAAAGATGTAGCCTTTGCACCTGAGGTTGACAAGGAGATTAACCGCTTAGAGGTCACCTGGGATGATACCAAAAAACTAATTCATGAAAAGTAAGTAAAAAACTTCTCAGTTTTTGTTTTTAACTTCCTATTTATTTTGTGACATTGGGCCATTGCCTGTTACTTTGAGTTGGTCTGATCAAGAGTTTAATATATTTTGCCATCTTAGGTATTCGTTGTCTCTTTAATAACATTAAAAATTTAGTCCTACAGAGTTTTACTGAGGAAGTTTTCTTGAGACAGCAATTACATGTGAAATTCGATACCTGGAATTAAGAATTGTCAATGTTTACAGGGTACCAGTAAGAGAGTCTTAACCACTGATTTTCTTTTTTTGTTTTGTTATATTTGTTTATAATTGAGGTATGATTTACATACAGTAAAATTCACCCTAAGTGTATACCCTTAAACTAAAGGAGTTTAACAAACTCATATAGTTGTATAAATATCACAACTATCAAATGGTAAGAGTTACACCACCTGAAAAATGCCCTCATGTCTCATTGTAATCAGTCCCTTCCTCACTTCCAACCCCTGGCAACTGTTGATCAGATTTCTGTCTCTGTAGTGTCTGTGTCTTCTTTCTTAGAATCACACATAAATGGATTCTTTCCAGTTTGAATGATTATAAATAAAGCATCTCTAAACACTCATGCTCCCTTTTCGTGTGTACATCAGTTTTTACTACACTTGGTTAAATACCTTCTTTTACTTAGCACAAGTGCTTTGTGATATGTATCCATAAAGTGCATTCTTTTTTTTAACAGCTGAATGATATTCCATTTACTAAGTGTATTGCAGTTGATTTTTTCACCAGTTGGTAGATATTTGGGATCTTCCCAGTTTGAATTACTACAAAAGCATCTGTAAACATTTATTTTTTATGTGTACATAATTTTTTATTATGCTGTAGACTATTAATGTAGACTTTAAAAAATATAATCCTGCTGCACAAACTTTATTCTGTGTTATTAAACATTCTCTAAATTGTGCTTCGGTAGAGGTTGCATGGTATTCAATTACAAGAATGTATCGCAATTTATTCAGTTATTGGCCCATTTTTAACTTTGGGGTTATTTCTAATTTTTCTCCTATTATAAATAATGGTGTGAAGAATAGAATTGTACCCAAATCTTAGTGCACACCTTTTTTTTGGAAAAATACCTAGATGAAGAGTTGTTTGCTCAAAGGCATTTTAGTCTTTTAAACAAGAGCTATTTCATATTTTAGCCATTCTCAGGGGACTCATAGTCAATGAAAATTCGCGTGAGTTAAATGGAAAAGAAAATCTCATGTGAACTTTAATTATTGAGCAGTAATTTTTGTTTGTTTTGTTTTTTGTCTTTTTTTGTGGCAGGGAGGCAGATGGGTTTTCTTCCCTACAACATATAACTATGAAGTAGTTAAATCATGGAAAAAATCTTTTTTAATTAGCAGATTTTTTTTCTTCACTTTTTGGAATTATTTTATTGATGTCTGATTTCCTTACTAGACTATAAGCTTTTCTTCAAACCTAAATATTTTTATTTCATACTGGGGCATAGCAGATTAACAATGTGATAGTTTCAGGTGAATAGCGAAGGGACTCAGCCATACATGGACATGTATCCATTCTCCCCAAACCCACTTCCCATCCAGGCTGCCACCTAACATCGAGTAGAGTTCCATGTGCTATACAATAGGTCCTTGCTGGTTATATCAATTTTGAATATAGCAGTATGTACATGACCTTCCCAAACACCCTAACTATCCCTTCCCCCAGCAACCTTAACTTCATTTTCTGTGAGTTTCATTCTGTTTTGTAAGTAAGTCCATTTGAAGAAAAATTTTTAAAAATTTAGCAGACTTTGTTTTAATGGCTATGGCTAAAGGTTGTGTGGATTCTTCATTCGTGGAGAACATTTTGGACACTAGAGTTGTCAGACTGACCAGAATGCCTTTGGCCTCAGATTAGTAAAAATATGGTTTTCCCTTCATTCCAGCACTCATCAGATTACAGCAATGCAGTTACATATCAGGTCGGTCATAGGGAACTCTTCCCTATGCTGATATGTGACAATAAATGATCTGTTTTCTTAATTATTACAGCCAGGGTCAATGCTGTGGACTTATTGATTTAATAAGAGAGTATCAGAATTTGAAGTCAGCCATAACAAAAGTCCTAGAAAATGCCAGCAATGTGATTACAACCAGAACTACTGTAAAAGATCAGGAAGACCTTAAGTGGGCTTTATCAAAGGTAATAATTGATAATGTATTTAATTTTTAGACTTCTTAGTAGATTTGTTTTTTACTCATAATGCATTCTCTTTTCAACTCTTGACGGTGTTATTTAGAGATAGCTAATTCATGCTGCCAAGCTCAACCTTTATTTTTTATGAATACTTATATCCTAGGATCCTAGCAATTCGAGAAAATTATATATTTTTCATTATTATCAATGGTTTCTGCATAAGGTCAACCACAAATTAAGTTTCTTAAAGGCAAATGATTCTAAATTCTTGACTTATTACTGGCTGTTTTATTAACTAAGGAAACATTTATGTCCACAGCATGAAGCTGCCAAGAACGAAATGTGTAATAAACAGAAAGATTTGGATAACTTTACCAGTAAAGGAAAACAGTTGCTGTCTGAGCTGAAAAAAATCCACAGTGGTGATTTCATCATGGTGAAAACAGACATGGAAAGCACAGTGGACAAATGGCTAGATGTAAGCTCATCCCCTGCGATTCTATGAATAGTTTGCCTGCATGGTCATTTCAGTCGTGTCCGACTCTGTGACCCTATGCATTGTAGCCCATCAGGCTCCTCTGGCCATGGGATTCGCCAGGCAAGAATACTGGAGTGGGTTGCCATGCCTTCCTCCAGAGGATCTTCCCAACCCAGAGGCTGAAGCCAGGACTCCTGCATTGCAGGCAGATTCTTTACTGCTGAGCTGCTGGGGGAAGATGAATAATTTAAATATTTACATTTTTCAATCACATTTTTGGGCAAAGGATTATTTAGAAATGTGACTTTCATTGTTAACTGTTAATACTAAATTCAAAATCATGCTCTAAAGGAAAATAGTTCACATAGAATTTATACATAGTTAAAAATTTATTTGTTTTGTTAAAACTTATTGGCAGATTTTCTAGAATTTCACGTGATAGCTTCAATCATAACATATTAATAACTTTGTTTTTCTTTTACACACTCTAGGATCATGGGTAAAATAGAAGAATAATTTATAAACATCTTTCAGGATATTAAACCATAATATAAAATAAAGTAATAAGACTGTAATTGTGCATTGAAAAACACTGGAATTTACGTCCTTGGCTTTCAGTTCTTGCTCTGTCATTTGTTAACTGTGTGCCTGTGTTATACAAGAAGATACTTGATTTCTTGGGAGCTCTACATCTCAATCTATACATTTTTTTTTTTATACATGTTTTACATTGTTTTCCAGAGCATAAATCCTGTGATTCTGTTACCCCTGCCCTGTTATTTCAGTATCTCGGTTCATAAGTTTAAGTTACAGTGGATTCCCTCACTTAAGCTAAATTACTGAAGTTAGATATTGATGTTTGCATATTATAATGAAATAATTTAGCGACTTGGGAAAACTTTATCTGCCTCCACTTTTAAAAAATGGCATTCTTAGGACTTCCCTGGTGGTCCCAGGGTTAAGACTCTGCACTTCCAATACAAGGGGCATGGGTTCTATCACTAGAGAGAACTAAGATCCTGCATGTCACATGGCATGGCCAAAAAATTAAAAATAAAATAAAATGGCATTCTTAGTATGACAAGATTGTTAAACAGTAATACTTTAACCATACAGAGTGGGTTTCTCTCTTATGTATTTACTTATTCTATAAATATATCCAAGTCTAATTATGCACATTTTTATATCTCAGCATTACAAGTAATAGCAACAACAAAAACAGCAACAAAAAATTTTCATAAAACTTTGTTTTTCTGTCAGAATAGGAATGACGCATTGGCATATTTATTACTTCAGTTGCCAGAGAGTGTCTTAAAGCCTTGGATTTAATGATATGGCCTTTATTTTCTATCCCAGATATCAGAGAAGATTGAGGAGAATATGGACAGGTTGAGGGTAAGCCTGTCTATCTGGGATGATGTACTTTCAAGTAAAAATGAGATCGACGGGTGGTCAAACCATTATGTTCCACAGCTGACTGAAAGCATCAGCAACCTGAATGACAGCCTTAGAGCAGAAGAATTCCTGAAAGAATTTGAGGTAAAATGATTATAACCTTCCTGTGTGAGCTCATGGTACATCATTGACCAGAGTATGAAAAAATTGTGTCTTTTGTAATTGCTTTCAAGACACCTACTATACTCAATATTTTGTAATAATCTATATGAGAAAGTAATCTAAAAAATAGATACATATGTATGTACAACTGAATTACTTTGCTGTACACTTGAAATTAACACAACATTGTAAATCAACTGTACTTCAATTTTTTAAAAAAGAAAACAGACCACTGGGGAGAAAAATAAAGTTAATTCTTCCTTTCAAGGCAGATATGAGTGTAATAAAACTCTTAGCTATCTTTTGTTGTTTACTTCAATGTTGAATAGACTACTGATAGGAGAGGTGTTTTCTTTTTTGTGTCTTTACCATTTCTTAACTGGGGCTCTTCTACTTAAAGTATTAATAGACTAGTAAAGATTCATAGAATCTATATTTTGTCCCATTCTTCTGAGATTATGGCACCTTCCTATCAGAGAATCAAATGAAAAGTGTTTGGAACCTAATAATATTTATTATGTATTCTTTCTTCATTCAAACAAAATGTTAACTGAAAAGTCACCACGCCCCGACCACCTATATTAGGTGCTGGATTCTTCCATTGGCTTTTCAGAAATGGAAGAAAAGTGGAGACTGGAATGTCACAGGCTTCCATGAAAAGTAGGCTGCTAAAATTCTAGTCATCAATTTAATAACTCATTTTATTCCCATTTCTTGCATTCATGTATTCATCCCTTCATCAGATTCCCAATGAGCACCTAAAATATGACAGGCACTGTTTTAGACATTGAGAATTTACTAGTAAAACAAAGTTACTGCCCTCATGGTATTCACGGTATTTGCATTACAACATATATCATATGTAAACTGTCAAGCAGTAACTGGGCCGTGATGAAAAATGAAGCCGGGTAAGAGGAAATAGGGTAATCAGAGATAACGTGTCTCAGAAAGCATGGGACTGACCGTGCCCTTGGTGAGAGAGGAGACTGTTCACATTCTGTCCTCAGGACTCCAGCCCAGGGCCTGGCACATGGTTGGAACTTGACAGATGCGTGAAAAAGTGACCGCTGTTTGAATGAAATGTAGTTGAATCATCTGTATGTTCTAAGTTAGCAGCTGTCTTTGACCCCAAGAACATTCTATAGGCTATTCCTATTTCTAAAACCAAACAAATAGAGGAAATTACTCAGACTAAAAGTAGCGTCAGGAGAGGGATCGCACAATCTGTTTAGGTGTTATCTTTGTTGTTAAATTAACGTAACAGCTCAGACAGTGGTGTGTGATAGAGTACAGCTTGCACCAGCTCACAAAAGTCAATTGTTACATTTTCAGGAATTTTGCAAGCCAGTGCTAAACACAATCATTATTTAAAATTAAGCTGTAGGGACTTCCCTGCTGGCCCAGTAGTTAAGGTTCTGCCTTGTAGTGCAGGGGACATGGGTTTGATCCCTAATCGGAGAACTATTATAAGATCCCAAATGCTGCGGAGAAACTAAGCCCAAGAGCCGCAACTACTGAGCCCGAGTGTTCCGGAGCCCATATGCCGCAATTAGTGAGCCTTCAGGCCACAACTAGAGAGTCCATGCACAGCAAGGAAAGATTCTACATGACGCAACAAAAATCCCATGTGCAGCAACTAAGACCCCCACTCTGCCAAATAAATAAATATAAAAAAATTAAATTGTAAATAGCTATACCAACCTCAGATATGTAGATGACACCACCTTTATGGCAGAAAGTGAAGAACTAAAGGACTTCTTGATGAAAGTGAAAGAGGAGAGTGAAAAAGTTGGCTTAAAACTCAACATTCAGAAAACTAAGATCATGGCATCTGGTCCCATCACTTCATGGCAAATAGATGGGGAAACAATGGAAACAGTGAGAGACTTTCTTTTCCTGGGCTCCAGAATCACTGCAGATGGTGACTGCAGCCATGAAATTAACAGACACTTGCTCCTTGGAAGAAAAGTTATGACCAACTTAGCATATTAAAAAGCAGAGACATTACTTTGCCAACAAAGGTCCATCTAGTCAAGGCTATGGTTTTTCCAGTGGTCATGTATGGATGTGAGAGTTGGACTGTGAAGAAAGCTGAGCGCCGAAAAATTGATGCTTTTGAACTGTGGTGTTGGAGAAGACTCTTGAGAGTCCCTTGGACTGCAAGGAGATCCAACCAGTCCATCCTAAAGGAGATCAGTCCTGGGTGTTCATTGGAAGGACTGATGCTGAAGCTGAAACTCCAATACTTTGGCCACCTGATGCAAAGAGCTGACTCATTTGAAAAGACCCTGATGCTGGGAAAGATTGAGGGCAGGAGGAGAAGGGGACGACAGAAGATGAGATGCTTGGATGGCATCACCGACATGATGGACATGAGTTTGTAAGTAGGATCCGGCAGTTGATGATGGACAGGGAAGCCTGACATGCTGCAGTCAGTGGGGTTGCAGAGTCGGATACAACTGAGCGACTGAACTGAACCGATATCAGTAAAGACACTGTATTAAAAATGAAAGGAGTAAATTCTCAAAACTTATTATTTCTTCATTACTTTTCAACAATTGCTGTTATCTAGGCTCTGAAGTGACTGACATTCGTTATATGATGAAAATACTGTAGAATATGTGCAGCTACAAGCTACTTCCAGTTCCTTGTGCTATGGCGTCATGCTGTAGCTCAAAATGGCGGTAAATGCAATAAGTCAGGGCCAGTTGTGCAACACATCTGGAGGATGCCCCTGCTGCTCACCTCTGGGATAGAAGGAGCCAGTGGGCATCAGCCACATTCACAACATCAGGTCTGGTCACTCACAGAGTCGGGTTCTTTATGTTACTCTCTGTGGTGCACCAGTTAATAAGATCAGTGAACTGGATTCAGCTCAGCGCCTAACAGTTTCGTTGCTGCTGCAGTGCAGGAAATGAAGGGGAGGTGTGTATGTGTGACCCCTTAATTGCCCAGGCTGCTCCTGGGGAAGGCCATGGGCCTGACAAGAAATTCATCACTTCTTCCTGGATGAGGAAACTGCTTTCTAGATTGAAGATATCAGGAAGTTTGTTAGTGTCTGTCTACAAAGCACCGCAACACCAAATTTCAGTTGAAAGGGACACTTTATTAAATGTTCCTTCATGGGTCCATTGCCTGGAGAATCCCATGGACAGTGGAGCCTGACAGGCTACAGTCCATGGGATCACAAAGAGTCGGACACGACTGAGCGGCTAACACTTTCACTTTCGTGGGTCCAGATAAATAATGAAGTTTCCAAGCATCTAATTTGTTCCATAATGATCCTCTGGTTATTCTTTCTTCTTCTTGTGTTAGTGTTGACGGGAGGAAAAAAAAGAAGGTAAAAGGCAGAATGTTAGATGTCAATTCCTAATTAACCTGAATTCTGTTTTAACAACCTTGAAATTTCTAATTGAAGTATTTCTTCAATTAGAGTAAATATTTCTTCAATTACTGTAGACTGTATTGCATATATTATACATACTATATTACATATATATTACATTATATATGTAATACATAGTGTATTACATATAGTCTACAGTAATGAGGAGGCATTCCTGATGTGTATTTGTTTTGAAATGCTTCCCCAAGACTTAAATGCTGCCATAGTAGCCAGTGATATTAATGCTAATAAGTAAATGACAGTTAGTCTGCTGAAAATTCCCACTGACTCAAGACTTTCGGTTAGTGTTTAATTTTTTCCAGAAGTTTTTATTTTCTCCAATAAAAGAGGGTGGGAAGAAAGTACCACATACTCCCTCACATTCCCAGTGAAAGTTAATGGTGCTATTTTTCCACATACACAAATAATGAGAATCCTCAGAAAATGGAGCAGAATTTTGGTTTTTGTTTTGTTTTTACCCTGGGTTAAAGTTGGTTCTTTTTGACAGAGTTAATGCTTGAAATTATGAAATGCCAAGTAAAAAATGTCATTGGATTAGTTATGTTTGTCCCCTTTGCCTTTTACCTGGCAGTCTGAAGTTAAAAAGAAAGCATTGAGATTAGAAGAACTTCGTTCCAAAGTTATTGATCTTAAAGAATTAACTAAAAATCCAGAAACACCTCCAGACCTTCAGGTAAGCACTCCATCAAGTTTGTAATAACTCATATATACTATTAATATAAATCCTCAAAAAAGTGTGTGTGTATATATATATGTATGTGTATATGTATACATTCTACATATTTATTTATAAGTTCATGTATATGTATATGTGTGTGTATATTCCTATTATTATCATTGTCATAATTCCAAGCAGACACATAGACCTTATCAGACATGAGAGTTAAAATATAGCATCTTTAGAATTCCTGGTGCCAGTTCCAACCCAAATATTATAATAAGATTAGTTCTTTCTTCCTTACTAAATTTTGAAAGTCGTAGCATTCAGCTTTCCTCAAGGACCATTTTAAGTCTATTCAGAAACAGAAACCATATTTATTTATTTATTTATTTTCCATTTATTTTTATTAGTTGGAGGCTAATTACTTTACAACATTGCAGTGGTTTTTGTCATACATTGAAATGAATTAGCCATGGATTTACATGTATTCCCCATCCCGGTCCCCCCTCCCACCTCCCTCTCCACCCGATCCCTCTGGGTCTTCCCAGTGCACCAGGCCCGAGCACTTGTCTCATGCATCCAACCTGGGCTGGTGATCTCAGAAACCGAAACCATATTTATGAATATTGATGTCCTAATTCATATTTTTCTAATCCTTCTTACTGAATAATTGTGTTTGGAGGGATTACCATCACAATGTCTCCCTTCATTCATCAAGGCTCATTAGATGGCATAAATCCACAGGTACTGGAGGCAGGCCAGGCAGACAGGGTTTCACCAGGAACCGGGGATGCTTCAGTGAGGGAGCTTGGGCACAGCCAGCCCCGGTTCTTAGGGCCAGGAGTTCTAACTCATTACTTTAAGCTATTTGTTGCTGCTTTCATTTTCTCTACATTTTCTTTCTTCCTATATTGCCTTTCTCCTTTATCTACTGTTTCTTACTAACCAATCAATCTTGTTTGATCACCTATACTTTTGCTCTGGCCCAAGACCATTTATCTATCAGTTAGTTACATCAGTGGATGATATACTTGTACCAGAAGGTTAGCCGCTTCACCTGAAGCAAGAATAGGCAAAAGAGGTGCTGATAATCGGCAAAATTAAATCGGGGAGAGCTTGTGCTTATCAGGGGCATAAATGGACAACAGTTGGATTTTGGCAGAGTGGAGATGGAGGCAGGGTTTTGAGAGAGAGCTACCGTTGTGCTATTCTCTCTCTCTCTCTCTTTCTCACACACACACACCCCTCCCCATGCCCATGGAGGAGGTGTGGAGGTCCCTGCATCTTACCTCAAAATGGAAAGGATTTCAGTGATACTGTCTGGAGAGCATAACACGTGTCCTGTGCAGTTGGCAGACTCAGGAGACTAGTATCTAATTCCCCACCGAAAAGCCTTAAGGGTGGGAGACAGGCTGGCTGACTGCTGATGTATTTGCCAAGGATACGTGATTGTTTTGAGCAGCCTGCATCTCAGAGTCAGCTGGGGTGAAATGCCAGTGTGTGACCTCTGGCTGGCCCGGAAGTGAATGATGAAAGGAAAGGTAAGAGGAGAGCTGTGGTGTGGGCATCTCAGGGTCCCTAAGAGGCTTGTTGGGTGACTCACAGGCCTTGGCAGCAAGGAGTCAGAGATGCCCTCAGGCTGCATGAGAAGGAAGTAAAGAATCTGAGAGGAATGTGTTGCCTGTCTCTGGGGAACTTCAGTAGGAGGGGGCAGCAGTGAGGGGAGCCTCAGAAAGCCCCCCACACAAGGCCTGTGACAGGAGTGACTGTGAACTCTCACCCAGCCCAGAAAGCAGAGAGGCCAGCTCCCAGCGGTGGTCACCCCCATCCTACCTGTCCAAGCCTGCAGGTGTCAAAGGCTGTTGAAAGTCGGGGAGTAGGGAAGAAAGATAAAAAAGGCACTTGGCCCCTTTTTCTGCTAAAGGCTTCATGTTTGTAGCAGGTCTGAGTAGAGAATAAGGAAAAAACATCTCTAAGTTTACCTTCCAAGTTTTGATTATTAAATCAGCCTGGATGTTCTCAGTGTGGAGTTGAAACTGCTTTGCAGTTGATCAGGATTATAAATCCTTTTATTGTTATGTGTAGGAAAGTCCAGGGCTTCCCAAAATCAGTCATCTAGGGAGGAGAGAAGATTTAACTTCAGTGAATGTTTTAAACGGGAGACAAAAATAACATTGCTTCATGATAGAATCCCAAAATGGTGTTTGTTCAAAGTAGTGGCTATCTCAGGGTGAAAAATACGTGTTTCCCTGGGAGAACGAAGAGCAGGTTTTCGGTCACCAACTTGGTAACTCTGCGTAGGTCTAATTCTGCTTTGAAATGAGATCTTGTGGATTTCCTGGAATCTCAGTCAAAACTTCCACTTTAAAAACCCAGTATTAACTATAATCCTCACTCTTTCCATTTCCCCATTACTCAAGATATTTGGCAACTTGAACCCACTGATTTTCCTCTTAAAAAGTTGAATTAGTATCCTTGGTGAGGCTTCTGTGATTTTTACCGTTAAGCTGCACATGAACGGAATCCCTACTGAACAAGGGCTCTAGTCTTTACAGATTTTAATGAAATCTCACTTTATGTTTTAGTTTATAGAAGCTGACTTACGGCAGAAACTGGAGCATGCCAAAGAAATTACTGAAGAAGCAAAAGGAACCTTGAAAGAGTTCACTGCTCAGAGTGCACAAGTGGAGAAGTTTATTAATGACACGGCAAGCTGGCTGACAAAATTAGAAGAATCATTGATGAACTGTGCCCAAACTGAGACTTGGGAAGGGTTGAAAAAAGTGAAGGTAAGTCATAAACTATCACTAAGCCTTTACCTTTCAATAGTAATATTAATTCTCCTGCTTTTCATTGACTATAATAAAAATGTAACCTCTGTTCTGTTACCCATATTAGCAACAAACCAACTAATTCATGATATAGGAGATAGCAAGGTAACAGATGGAGAACTGAATGCAGGTGGTAAGAAGCCAAAGATGATTATTATAAAAATGGAAAGCATGCATTGTTATAGGGCCTCCTCAAAGATTATACATGTTAATATATAATAAATATTTTTTAGCAAAAAGGTGGGAGCCTATAGAAGAACTGTTTGAATTTCTACAAATTTTCAGACTTGAATGCCTAATAGTTTTTCATCACTTAATTATTTTTATTGGTCAGCATGACTGCTTTCATACTGAAAAGGGTCTATGTTTTTAAAACGGTTGAGAAAACAATATATGTAGTTTGTGCTCTTTTAGCATATTTTCTTACTATTCTTGAGACTAAGGACGTATACTTCTAAAATTCGCTACTGGTGCTTTTGATGTGGCCTGTGATCCTGGAACAAAGGCCAAGTAACCCAGGGAAGAGTGTGAATGCAGGAGGGTGAATCTATTCATAGTTTCTAATCAACTAACTAAACCCAAGATTCTGGGCTGGAATCCACAAAAAATCTTTTCAATTTGCTTTAAATCCTAGTCTATAACCCAAATCCTAGCTACCTCTCAACAGCTGTTTACAGGTGTAGACAAAATTGTGTACATTATTGAGTGAATTTCAACAACGTCACTTTCCAAAAAACATTCCAGAGTGTAGAAGGTGGGATATTTCTCTTGAATGTAATGAATATCCTTCATGGCAGACTTTTATTCTTAGGACATACAAAAAGAACTTCAGAGTCAGCAAAGCAACATCAGTGCGACCCAGGAAAATCTCAATAGCTTGTGTCGCAAGTACCACTCAGTAGAGCTGGGGAGCCTGGGCAGTGCGATGACGGGGCTGATAAAGAGACACGAGGCCGTGAGCCAGTCCTGCGCCAAGACACAGGCCAGCCTTCAGGATTCTCTGGAAAAACACTTCAATGGTGAGTTCCGACAGGCCTTCGCATGAGTAGTTTGTTTACAAGACATAGTCCAAACCAAATGCTGCCTAGAAACGGCCAGAAAACTTTCCACAAGAGTAGCATTTTAAATTTGTGTTTGCGTTGAGCTTTGAGCAGTAAGATTATTGTGGTTGGGCTCTCACTGTTGGCAGGATTCTTCCCCTTTCTCCCTAAGAAAGTAGGAGCCGGCCATCTTGAGGAACCTGAACTTCATGTGGATTTTCTACGTAGAGCTCCTTTGTGTGGAAAATGACTCCCACTGCTATGAGGAAATGACACAGTAAGCTTGGACATTGGGAGAGCCTATAAAACAGCAAGCACGTAATTCAGGGACTGTTGGTCATTTATGTCCCTGACTCGGCCTCCAGCACAGCTGCGCCTCTGCTTTGGTATCAATGTGTGATGCCCTACGTCAGCATGGCGGGCAGGGGAGATGGCTCCTCCCTTTGCCGTAGAAATGGCTTTAACACCTCAAGAGCATTGCTCTCTCTCACATAGTCAAGCAATCATCTTTCTTCACCAAAAGACAGAAACACAATGGGAAATCAAATATGTCAGGAATACGAATTTCTTTTCAGTCTTACACCTGAGATAATTTCTCAATTCTACCGCGGGCAGTCATGGTTGTCGGTCATACTGTATTATATTCTATACTATTACTAATATTGTTTTCTTTCTGGAACATGCTGTAAGGCAGGATGTAATGGGCTGATCACCAGAATTAACTTATTGTGGTCATCCTGGAAGCTCTTTCAATGTTTTTTTCTATGTGTTCCTTATTTTTGTTACTTTCCGTAGAGTCTATGCAGGAATTCCAAGAATGGTTTTCCGGAATAAAGGCAGCAGCAAAGAAATCATCAGATAGAACTGGGGACAGCAAGGTTCTGGAGGCAAAACTCCATGATCTTCAGGTATGCATGCTGACGCTACTTTTTCCTAAATTGCATTCAAGTGCCTTTAGGTCAGACCTAAATCATCTATTTCCCCAAACCTTATTTTCTTCTAACTTTTCTTCTTCCCTAAAAGAATTGGATTTCTTGGGTCAGAAAGAGAAGTGTGAAAAGTAAGTTGATAAAAATGTTAAAATTTCATTCATGTTGATGTAAGGCAGAACTCAAACCAATATTGTAAAGCTATGACCCCTTAATTTAAAATATATAAATTTTTTTAAAAGTTAAAATTTCAGAATTTCTAGATCCCGTTCCTCTCTTTTTAGTCTATTACTCATTCTTCAGCAATCTTTCAGAACTAAACCTAATGTTAGTTTTTATGGCAGTAAAAGCATAATTTTTATCTATTTTACATCACTGTCATGAAGTTTTAAACAGAAGACATGGCTTGTGTTTTGTTAAAAACCTATCATCTAAATTTGGAGCTAGGATATATTCAAATAAAAGCAATAGATATTGTAAGTTTTAAAGGTGTGACAGATAATGAAAAATGTATAAATTCTGGTAATGTGCAGCAACATTAAGAATGATTGTCAGGAGCCTAAGTTCAAATTAAGTTCTGGCCAAGTTTTTCAAGTGGTTAATCGGAGCAAAGCACTGTGTTAGGTATTATAAAAATATGTTTTTTTAATTAATGGGGGAGAAAATTAATGAGGAATATAAGGATTTTGTGGCCTAATGGGTGATGTGATGGCAATTATGTAGACAACTCATTAGCCAGGGAGGAAGATCATTATAATACAGGAAGCTGGTTTTGCTGGAGGCATAGAAAATTCAGATGTGGAGCTGGACTCTTTAAAGCTTGAAATGCAGAGGATCTCCATGAAGAAAAGTTTGAGTGACAGTCACAAATGCCTCTGTGAAGCTCAGGGTGGAGGCAGGACCAGAATAGCAGTTCTGGGCTTCTTTTGCTCAGTTGAAGCCATGCCTATGCATATGATCTTCCAAGGAAGAGGTGCATACCAAGAAAAGAAGGCATCTGAACACAGGGTTTTGTGTGCAGTGTGGGTCAGACAAGGAGGCAGGGTGGAGACAGTTAACCAATTGAAAGATGTCACTCTGACCATGTGAAGAGGTGGAGGCTGGACCAGGCTGAGATGGTGAGAATGGAGAGGGACAGAGAACAGACCTTGATGAGAGCATCCTTCTTCCCAGCTCAATGTTGCTTGCAGTTGGTCCTCAGCGGTTCCAGTGACTGGCTGGCACCATCCTCCATTCTCAGTCTTGACTGTATCCAAATGTATACATCATTCTCACTGCATCTTATTAAAAGCATTCTTCCTTTGGGCTATTTTTCTTCTCTTGCTTTACTTTCTCAGGTCAGAGTTGTAATTAATCCCGCTAGGCAGTAGGATCTTTGAATAATAGCAAATGCTTTGTATTACCGTTATTTCCCGAAACAGAACATTTTGGACTCAGTCGGTGATGGGCAGAGCAAGCTTGATGCGGTGACCCGAGAAGGACAAACTTTGTATGCACATTTGTCTAAACAAATTGTCAGTAGCATTCAGGAACAAGTTACAAAAGCTAATGAAGAGTTTCAAGCATTTCTGAAACAGTGCCTTAAAGACAAACAGGCGCTACAAGACTGTGCTTTGGAACTTGGGAGGTAAGTTGTTTCAACAGGTGTAGATTTCATCATGCACGGACTATTTCTTCGGTGATTTAAAGTAAAGAGCCGTTGGGAATAAACAAAAAATATTTTAAATTATGATTTTAAATTATAATGGTTTGACTTTAAGTACATGTTCATACTAGGGCAATAACTGATTGCTCAAACTCTGATGGTATCATTTGGCTTTATTTTCTATACAGAAAAAGAAAGGAATTATATTTACTAATAATTATGAATGACATAAATGTATGTACTTTTTGTCTGTTTGGCTAACTCTAGATATTAGAGTTTTGACACCCAAATTTTTTATTATCCAAGTCCTTTCCTCACTGTGTCTACTTCAGTGAGGTTGGAATTATGGCAGAAAACACTTATTATATTTCTCTGAATCAAGATTTCCTATCGGGAAGCTATATCGACAGGGCTGGATATAAAGTTAGAAAAAATATTCTGTTGCTAGGAAAGGAAAGATGTCAGTATAATCAAAATGTCTTTTTTGGTTGGAGGTCTTAGCTTGACTTTTGTCAAGGTTTCTTAGAGAATTTATATTGTCTTTAAAATTTATGAACCCTAGAGCTCTTGTGCCCTATTCAAATCCCCTTAAGATACAAAGACCCAGAGATGACTTTCCCTTCTCTTCCAAGGGCTTTCGCTGCCCCATTTTTCCACTGGCCCCAATCCAGGGTCTTTGTAGTAAGATACAAAGTTAAGTGCACACAGACATGGAAATGTAATCTTAATTACCAGCTATGATTATCAAGATAGAGTGCTTCTTTTTCTGCTTGGATCTCAAGAAAAATGTCCAGAATTTGTCATTTTGTTACTGAAGTAAGTGATCATTTGAATGGGATTATTGTCGAGGTTTTTTTCTCTACTTGAAAATCCATGAGATCTTAATTGCCATAGACATTGTGACCTCAGATATTAGAATTTATTTATTATAATGAAGACATAAGAATTTCTCTAAGGTGTTTTTTTCTTTTCTTTAGCTTTGAAGATCAGCACAGAAAACTGAGCTTATGGATCCATGAAATGGAAGAAAGATTAAGTACAGAAAACTTAGGAGAGAGTAAGCAACACATTCCTGAGAAGAAAAATGAAGTCCATAAAATTGAAATGTTTCTGGGAGAACTATTGGCTGCAAGGTAGGATGCGGAAGTGGAATAGATTCTTTTCTTACTAGCAAATGTTTGTTTGTCTGGTTGGTTGGTTGGCTGTTTGGGTTGTTTGTTGGCTGGTTAGATAGTTAGTTGGGCTGGTTATGTTTCTATATCTAGCACACAAATGATTGTATAGTGTTTCCATTGCAGTGTAGTAATCTGGAGAGAATATTGGGTTGGAGGTAAAGAGCTGGTCTCCATTACCATTATATCTCCCTTTGTTCAACAAATTGGACAGGCCATTCATTTTCTGTATTTCTTGATATTAGCTTTTAAACATTGAGAAGAATAATAAATATATTTTCCTCCCAAAGGTTATTATAAGGATATAAGGTGATTATAAAAATACTCTTCATTTACAAAAATAACACTATAGACCCCAATTTCCATATATATTTTTCACACACTTCAGCCTCCAGGATTATTTCTAATCCACCATATCCTCATAATATTGTTAGTAACGCAAAAGGTATTATCATGAAGTCTGACTGCCCTAGAGATTCATTTTCTCCACTGCAGTATTTGTCTCCTCATTGATTGTCAACTGAGCAAATGTTTCCGGCTCCTTCTCAGGCAGTTCTCTGGCCTGTACTGTGGACTCTATTTTCATGGCTTTGCTCCCTCAATTCACACTATACCGCTGGCATTTTCAGTTGCTTCATTGGAATTGTTGCACTGGAAGATAGAACACTTTTCACTAGCGGAGGGAAGCCTGGCCCAAAACTCTATCTCACTGTTGTTTCCTACCTCTGTGACCTTTTACCGTGGGTCAAACACGTTGTTGATTTTGTTACTGAATTCAGATTAAGCTGCTCATACTCAAGAATCTAAAAATGAGAGACAAGTATTGAGTAAAAGGAAAGATGGCTTTATTGAGGGAGCTGGAAATTCTGGCAAGAAGGCGAACTCATGTCCCAAAGAACCCATTCCCCACTGCTGATCAGAGAGCAGGTTTTAAAGGAAAACTTCAAGGGTGGGCAGGCAGAGAACACAAGCAGAACAAAGCAGTTAGTTTTGAGAATCATCTTGAAACTGGTCATTTGGTGGTCTGGTCAGCATCATCTTGATTGTTTTAAGCACAATTTATCTTCAGTTCTAAGGTCAGTTTGTTATCAGTACCTTAAAGTCAGTTCCTGGAATTGTGCAAGCCACATATTCACTATTGCTCAAGACAGAGCATCTTATGTCATGACTACAGTCTGGTCATCAAGTGCTGGACTCAGTCACTCAGTCGTGTGCAATTCTTTGTGACCCCATGGACTGTAGCGCACCAGGCTCCTCTGCCCATGGGGATTCTCTCGGCAAGGATACTGGAGTGGGTTGCCATTTCCTTCTCCAGGGGAGCTTCCCAATTCAGAGATCAAACCCCAGTCTCTTTCCATCTTAGCCACCAGGGAAGCCCAGGAATACTGGAGTGGATAGCCTATTCCTTTGCCAGGGGAACTTCCCAGCCCAGGAACCAAACTGGGGTCTCATGCATTGCAGGCAGATTCTTTACCAGCTGAGCTACCCAGGCAGTTATCTTTTTCCCTCTGGTTGTCATTTTAGTGTCTGCAAAACAACTCAAGAATGTGAATCAGATTTTGTTATTTATATCCTTCAGGGAGGAGCTAAAGATTCTGTGACTGTGTTGTCCTAATTGTTAACCGCTTGAGCCTGCTTTTTTGTGACTCAGGGGAGACCTGGGAGACTACAGCTTTTCCACAAACAAGAGACAAGGGATAAAGAAGAGCTTTAGTATCTGAGAAGGCCCCACAGAGTCTTGCTCAATTTCAATTTTTTATAAATTGAACCCAACAGTGGTTCAAATGTAAATTGAAACTCATCCCAACCCAATGGTGAATTTCTCAAAGTCATGGACCATCAGGTCTTTGTGATCCCTAGTATAGTGCCCAAAATAGAAAGTATTTGCTAAATTAATAAAATAGTAGCATTATTCTAACCATAAAACTTTCTTAAAATTACACAGCATTTTATTTACTTTTAAATCTTGACTCTTGTCTAGGTACAATATAACATGGCCAGACCTATTTCTGGCGAAGGCAATGGCACCCCACTCCAGTACTCTTGCCTGGAAAATCCCATGGGTGGAGGAGCCTGGTGGGCTGCGGTCCATGAGGTCGCTGAGGGTCGGACACGACTGAGAGACTTCACTTTCACTTTTCACTTTCATGCATTGGAGGAGGAAATGGCAACCCACTCCAGTGTTCTCACCTAGAGAATCCCAGGGACGGGGGAGCCTGGTGGGCTGCCGTCTATGGGGTCCCATAGAGTAGGACACAACTGAAGTGACTTAGCAGCAGCAGCAGCAGACCTATTTCTCTCCTCCTTTTAAACATTTGTTATTCCTCTTGAGCTGTTGCTCTAATATTCCAGAACCAGATGCTGGGACTTTAGGTATATTTGCTCCCATCTTCTTTCCACCCGGCAGCTTCTCTAGACAATCTTAATGTGCTCTACTTGTATCCCAGCTTCTCCAGCTGAGTCACCTGACTTCTTTCACTTGCTTGCCACTTGCTCTTCCCAGCCCTTTGGATTTTTTTTCATCATAATATTCTGCAAGTACTTTGCATATCTTGGGGGAATGTCCTGTATTTTTAAAAAGAACCTCAGACTTAAGAATCATTGATTTTTATTGTCTATTAAGCATTTCTCCTTGTGGTAACATGTGATATCTGTCCTCTTGAATTATTATTTAACTGAAGTTATTTTTTAAGTCATCTTCATGTCTTACCTTCATGTCTCAAGCAGATTACAAGTATCAGTTCATTCAATCACTTAGTTGTGTCTGACTCTTTGCAACTCAGGGACTGCAGCACACCAGGCTTCCCTGTCCATCACCAACTCCTGGAGCTTGCTCAAACTGGTGTCCATCGAGTCAACCATCTATCCTCTGTTGTCCCCTTCTCCTCCCACCTTCAGTCTTTCCCAGTATTACAAGTATAAGAGATGTATTTTAAAGTATATGTAATGTTGTCTAAGTCTTATATATCTCACTGAAGCACATAAGATTCTGTTTAGATAATGGCTGCTCAAGAAAAAGAAAAAGATGAGGTAGGAAAGAGACTTCTTGTCCTTTTTCTGACATTCACAACAGCTTATGTCACAGCATCTACAGTCTCCCTTCTGATATCCCAGGCATTTCCTGAGAGATATACTGATTCAGAAATGTGTAAGAAAGTATAAAGCCAACCTAGCCATAAAGATTATGTTTTCCCTTGACTTAATTAACATAACCTCAAACTGAAATGAGCAGAGTTCCCAAGATACAACAAAGAAACCCGTAAGTATGCATAAGATGGCCTTTTGAAAGAAGCTTTCTTGGGCACTTTATCCCTGCCAAACATTGTGCTTGGTGCTGGGGATATGAGATGAATGTAATCGCCGTGGCTTCTAGAAGGTGAAAGCCTTATGGATGGAGACAGACAGGGTGGATGAGGTGACAGAGTAAGACGGAAAGAGGATACCCGGAAGGGGAGTCAGCATCGTGCTTCCTGGGGATGTAAGCCCTGCACTGAGATTTGAAGGGCCTCTTAGAAAAGAAGTTAGTGGTTATGGAGGAGGTGTCTTCATGTGTATACCGCAGGGTGGAGCGCTTGGGGAATATCAGGGAGCTGTTTATGATTAGAGCATTAACTCGGAATGAATAAAAGTCAGAGATCAGCCGGGAGAGACAGGCCTGGGCCATTTCCTGAAGTGAATCCCTAACAATACAGAGGGCTGGGATCCAGGCACAGCCCAGACTGAATGAGATCCCTCGATGGGAAGTGACTGCGTACAGATAAACCTCAGAGAGCCAGGTAGCCAGCCCTCTGAGGGCGCCCAGCACCATCCCTGAGGATGTGTCAGCTGTGAGCTCTGGTCTGGCGGCTGCTCCAACGTCAACAACCATGCGTTACTCCCCTGTGCTCCTGACTGTCAGAAATCTCTTTTTTTTTTCCCCCTGTTTTCTTTAGAGAGTCTCTGGACAAGCTGTCCCAGAGAGGGCAGCTGCTCAGTGAAGAAGGCCACGGCGCTGGGAAAGAAAGCCGCCTGTGTTCCCAGCTCCTCACGAGCTATCAGAACTTACTCCGGATGACCAAGGAGAAGCTCCGCGGCTGCCAGGTGGCCCTGCAGGAGCACGAGGCGCTGGAGGAGGCGCTACAGAGCATGTGGTCCTGGGTGAAGGACGCGCAGGACAGACTGGCCGGCGCGGAGAGCACTGTGGGGAGCAAAGCCGCCTTGGAGAGACGGCTGCTGCAAATGCAGGTAGGCGGGGCGCCAGCCTGAGGCCTTCGGAAGACGGCTGGGTTAGACTCAGGTGTTTGGGCTGTCACTGGTGGCGCAGACGGTCAAGAGTCTGCCTGCGACGCAGGAGACCTGGGTTTGACCCCTGGGTGGGGAAGATCCCCTGGAGGAGGGGATGGCTACCCACTCCAGTAGTTCTGTCTGAAAAATCCTATGGATAGAGGAGCCTGGTGGGCTGCGGTCTTGGAGTCACAGAGTCAGACATGACTGAGCGATTAACACACACACACACACACACACACACACACACACACAGGTGTTTGAGTTACGTCCTCATCGTTCAACTATGAGCCTCCTCAGGATTATGTGGGCAAAATGATTTGGAGGGATTGTTTTTCTCTTCTGTCAAAGAATATTTTTGTTCTAATAGCTTTGAAATAATTTTTAAAAAATGTTTAGTAAACATTTGTAGCAAGCATTATGAATGCCTACTCTGCTCCAAGCACCAGGCAAGTTGATTGGAATATAGAGACAAAAATTAGTTCTTGCTTTCTAGAAGTTCCCAGTTAGCGGAAGAGATCAAGTGAATTGTTACTTTCAGGGCAGCCTGTATGGAGGGGCCGTGAATGAAGTACGGAGCAGGCCACAGACCAGCCTGCAGTCAGTGAAGTTTCCTCTGAAAGGCAGAAATTACGCAGGCAATAGAAATAGGGACCTGTCAAGTTTTGGACAAGGGTGACTTCATTTTCAAAATGACTTCTCTTTACTCTGATGCAAAATTCAATGAAGTTCCACTTCTAGGCTTATAGTCCAAAGTTTTCCAAGAACTTAAATCGGGGTTAATCTCTGACTTCAGACTCCCGGACTTCTAATATTTAAGGATGGTGTTATAGGGCCATAGGGTCCAGAGTTTTATATTTTTGGTGTCTTTTCATTTTAAGGTAAGGTGTGCCTTAGCTTGATTCTCATGGGAAACAACACATCAGAAGGTTTTAGTGATCCTGCTTATGATTATTCATTCTTCCTTCACAGGAACTTCTCCTGATGAAAGGTGAAGGGGAAGTTAAGTTGAACATGGCCATTGGCAAAGGGGAACAGGCCTTGAGAAGTAGCAACAAGGACGGTCAGAAGGTGATCCAGACTCAGCTACAGACCCTTAAAGACGTGTGGGCTAGCATCATGGGCTCCTCCGTGCATGCCCAGAGGTACAGAGCCTATTTTTAGTGTGTATTTGCCTAAATCAAACCCAGTGGCTTTAGTAAAATGATGGAGTAGTGCTGAAGGTATCCTGCAAGAGAGTTACCAAGCATGTTATTTTAGATAGTTGTATGGATGCCTGTCTTTGCCTGATTGAATTTTCTGTAACTGCAATGGATGGTTTTGTTTGCTTGCTTGCTTTGTGTGTGTGTGCATGTGTGTGTGATATTTACATCTCCCATAACTCTCATGGAATCTGGCACACATGGGCTTAATCAGATGCCTCCTCTAAATTCATGAAAGAAAGAATATGTGGTCTTTAACAACTTTAATAACTTTTTGCTTTTTAAGGAAAGTTAAGTCATTGGCAACTTTTGAGCTTACATACAAATCTTTTTCTCAACTGAAGTAATATCCCTGACAATGGGGTTGCAGAGATGTTGGGAGAGTATGTGATCACCCCAGTGATTGGGCTATCCTGACATTTAGAGTAAGGCCAGGGGAACCAACCTCCTGCTGTGTGTGAACACCTTCCTTCACATGAGCAACAACCAGACCACATGACCCCATTGCATTAGACGCTGATGAGAAAATAGAGAAGATGCTAATTTTTACACACGGTGTTATTGTTGTTGTGTTATATTTATGACTGAAAGACTTTCATCTCCTCCCTCTTCTCAGAGGATCTACAAATAATCTGACTGGCTGGTTGGACAAATGACTTTCAGTCAGTATTATACTAACACACATTGCAGAAGTCACACTCTAAAGGTTATCTGTGCTGTTCATTCACTGAAGAAGTGTGTGCTCACATGATCTTCATAACTAGATAAACGGAAGATTAGAGCTCATTGCAAAACAACACTCCGGTTACTCACTGCCATGTAAACAGTGGACCGCGGCGACAGCTAAAATTTGCGGAATTGTATTTTGCTTTGTTTCCTTTAAATATGGAGGGTAGGTGGTAACTCCAGAAGTCAGCAGGACTCTGAATCTTCATCACAACTCATGGTCAGCAAAGGAAAAAAATCCAATTCCACAGTTCCCTTATTTTATAGATCAGACTGCTGGAGCATGAACTAAACTCCCCAATGCTTGACAACAGGCTAACTTCATAAAAGTAAATAGGAATACGGGTGAATATTTTCCGGATGTTAGAATAACATGTTAAATACAGGAAGCGGTTTTAAATCCTTGATTCTTCTCTTTCAGCAAGGAATTAACTTTGGCAACTGCATTCTGAGCAGTAGCAGTGCTCAAATTATTGTATGGGGTTGCAGAGATGTTGGGAGAGTATGTGATCACCCCAGTGATTGGGCTATCCTGACATTTAGAGTAAGGCCAGGGGAACCAACCTCCTGCTGTGTGTGAACACCTTCACATGAGCAACAACCAGACCACATGACCCCATTGCATTAGACGCTGATGAGAAAATAGAGAAGATGCTAATTTTTACACACGGTGTTATTGTTGTTGTGTTATATTTATGACTGAAAGACTTTCATCTCCTCCCTCTTCTCAGAGGATCTACAAATAATCTGACTGGCTGGTTGGACAAATGACTTTCAGTCAGTATTACACTAACACATTGCAGAAGTCACATTCTAAAGGTTATCTGTGCTGTTCATTCACTGAAGAAGTGTGTGCTCACATGATCTTCATAGCTAGATAAACGGAAGATTAGAGCTCATTGCAAAACAACACTCCGGTTACTCACTGCCATGTAAACAGTGGACCGCGGTGACAGCTAAAATTTGCGGAGTTGTATTTTGTTTTGTTTCCTTTAAATATGGAGGGTAGGTGGTAACTCCAGAAGTCAGCAGGACTCTGAATCTTCATCACAACTCATGGTCAGCAAAGAAAAAAAATCCAATTCCACAGTTCCCTTATTTTATAGATCAGACTGCTGAAGCATGAACAAAACTCCCCAATGCTTGACAACAGGCTAACTTCATAAAAGTAAATAGGAATACGGGTGAATATTTTCCGGATGTTAGAATAACATGTTAAATACAGGAAGCGGTTTTAAATCCTTGATTCTTCTCTTTCAGCAAGGAATTAACTTTGGCAACTGCATTCTGAGCAGTAGCAGTGCTCAAATTATTGTGCTAAAATAATGAAAGAAAGTAGTTTTTGCCCTCTTAGTGCTCAAAAGCTAGGGTAGGGTACATTTAAAAAAAAAAAAACAAGCCTCTGACTCAGATTGTGTTCCTAAGATGCTGTGGACTGTAGAAGAAAGTAGGGCTTGGGTGGCTTCTGGAGAAGTGAGATGGATTTGGACTTTCCAGAAAATTATTTGCAGAAAGAATAGGGTTTTAAGGCATATATGAAGAGGTTTATATTGGTGCAAAAGGGAAAAATTTGAGCAAAATAAACAATTAGGATGTATGTTCACCACAGATATAACTTCAGGATCATAGAATTATATGCAAGGAAAAAGAAAAAGAATTATATGCAAGGGAGAGTGGGAGGAGTCACTAAAGATAAGTTAGAATAGTTTGCAAAGCTAAATGTTGGAGGTATTTTAAAAATGCCAGTCTGGAGAGCCTTTTAGTTGACTATTGGGAGAGCTATTGACTTGACTATTAACTTAGGTGACTATATTTCTAATACTATTAGCACATTGAGCCTTCATTCCTTCACACATTCAACACAGAAACACTAAACATTATACATTATATCTGTAAGTGAAAAAATAAATCTAATTATGTCATTTACCCAAAAGAATACTTTACATTTTGAATTCCATTATCTTTAATAGGATAAACCAAATCCAAGAAAATACAGAATTGATGTATATTAAATAAAATTTAACTGTACCCCAAGGCTGATATTTTGACAATGTAACATGTATATGTGTCTATTCATTTAGGGCAATTAGCATTTGGAAGACAAATCTCCAGATGCATATGTGACTAAGACATCTTCAAATTGTAGCATAAATTTATTTTTATTTGGAAGAAGCTGTGTTGTAGGTCAGAAGAGTAATGTTTTCCCCTTCACTTAAAAGCAGTGTTTTCATCATTAACAGTACCATTCAGTAAAAGAGCTTACATGGATGCAATGCCCTCATGATTGGTTTTTAGTAGAGACATGACGATAACTTATTTTTGTAATATGTGACATTGATTCTAGCACTTTAGAGTCTGTGATTAGCCAGTGGAATGACTATCTAGAGTGGAAAAACCAGTTGGAGCAGTGGATGGAATCAGTGGATCAAAAAGTAGAACATCCCTTGCAACTACAGCCTGGTCTGAAAGAGAAGTTTTCCCTCCTGGATCACTTTCAGTCCATTGTATCGGAGGCAGAAGATCATGTTGGAGCCCTGCAGCGACTCACTGCAAAGGCCAGGGAGCTCTACCAGAAGACTGAGGATGAGACTTTCAAGGATACGGCTCAAGAGGAACTGAAAACACAGTTTAATGACATACTGACCGTTTCCAAGGTTAGTGCTTTATAGCAAAGGAAAAGCGTCAAGGTTCAGGTAAAGAATACACTGTAGGTTAAATTTTTAGGGGAATTGGTGTGGAGGTTGCAAGGGAGGCTGAAGAGGGAGGGGATATAGATACATATATAATATATATATTATATATACACTATGTGTATATATAATATATATATACACACACACACACGGCTCAATTGCTTTGTTGTATGGCAGAAATCAACACATTGTAAAGAAATCATTCTCCAATTAAAATTTTTAAAAATAGAAATAAAAAATCAAACTATATCTTTAGTGAATATATATATTACATAAAGGGTCATTTCTCACCAATGGATGCCCATGAATTTTTCTTTTTAGCAATTTTGGGATTATTTTTTATTCTTTGTTTTTCATCTTTCTCCACTCAAAATGTTAATCAACCCATTTCTTTTCTTTGTGAGGCTGTCTGAGACTCAATCGTCAGTTTAGAGTTCTTTTGCTTTTGCTGCCACTTATATTTGTTATATTAGGTGCAAGTCTATTTACCTCCCAGATTTCAGTCATGTACCAAGTATCCTATTTCTCATTTTAGTAAAACCTTCATGTTTTTGTTCTCCAAGAAATTGACTCCTTTGTGTAATGTGAAGATTTTCTTTCAATTCTATCTCTGAATCATTACTTTCCTTCATGACTTTTCTTTTGTATATATATATGAGAATGTTAAAGAAAATAAAGGAGAGGATTTTTTTCCCTCTCTTGGCTTCCTTTGGGGAACTCTCTTTGTATTATTAGTACTACAGTTTTTAACATATGTGTTAGTTTATCTTAATTTTTATTTTGGTAATGATTAAGAGCTATGACTCGAGTCAAAAAGACCTACAAATTTGAATTCTGGCTTTGATTCCTTTTCAGAGGCATGACTTTGGGCATGTTACTTAACCTCTATAACCTCTAAAGGTCCCTTCTCATAATATAGTTAAATAATAATATCTACCTCACATAGCTGTTATGAGGATTAAATGAGCAAATTTATTTTAAGTGCTGAGCAGAATACTGTACAGGCAACAGAATACAGTAAAGGTAACACAAATAGTTTCTTGAACAATAAGAACAGTTATAATAACAGCAGTAATTAAGTGGATTATTAGTGAGGGATGTTAGTCAACATTCATTAAGCATAGGTTTTTATTCTAAGCTAAACCAAAGAAAACTTAAACGACAATGATTGCTTCTTCACAGTCTTTCAGTCTAATTAAGATTTTATTTTTTTCACTTTGAGATATTAGACATAGAGAAAATTCAAGAATAAGAAAAAAAAATCTTCTAAGATCATTAAGACACCTGTTGCCTTGTCTGATTTCAGATTCTCAATAATGATTACTGTTAAAGTACTCTTCTTTCTCTACCAGGAGAAAATGAGGAAAGTAGAAGAGATTGTGAAAGACCATCTCATGTATTTAGATGCAGTCCAAGAATTCATGGATTGGCTCCATTCAGCAAAGGAAGAACTTCATCGGTGGTCAGATATGTCAGGAGATTCACCAGCCACCCAGAAAAAATTATCTAAAATTAAGGTCAGAAAATAGACAGATGGTATAACTGCATTGGTTCTTGGGTATCACATTCCTGTGATGAAGATTCTGTGGATTAGATTATTTAAAATAGTTTCTTCCTGTTTTCTATTTGTTGGTATTTATTACTTTGTACCTCATGAATCAAAAATGTAAGTAGGAGAAAAAAGGCAATTCAAAACATTGTACACTTGTGAGAAAAATGGACCACTATCCATGGATGTGTCTGTGTGCAAATGTGCTTATTACTGTAGCATCAAGGCCTATGAAATATGCCCCAGATTGGTGAGCTGGCAAAACCAGATACTACTTACTAGCACAGTGGAAGAAGAGTTTACAAAGTAACTTGGTTAAAAGTATTTGAATAATTCACTTATTTTATTCTGCTTTCTTAGCCAAAAGTATGACAACATAGTAGGAAACAGTAATTTTAAGGGCATTAAAATAGGTTCCTGCTTATAAGGTCTACTTAAAAAGAAGAAGTTCACATATCTGAGGGAGCTGGAACAAGTATATTTCTATTTACTGATTATTAAATTGCATTAATGTCCTCTCTGTGGAAGTAATAGATTTTAATCTGAGAACCAGGAAATGGTGATATTTTCAGTTGTTTAGTTGTACATGAGGAAATGTTGGAATACATAGTATAAATGTGGTCAGGAATAGAAGACTGGGATTGTGTTCTGATACCTGGAAATCAGAATATAAAAATACTCATTAATAATAGCAACAATAACTACATTTTGAAAGTTTACTTTTAAATGTTCAGAAAGTATTATTTAAATCTTACTACAACTGCACAGGTTTTAAATGAGATAATCACAGAAAGTCACTTCTAAAATTCTTATTACCTGTGTGATTCCATAAAATGCTTCGCTATATTATATACTTCACTAATATTTTGATTCATTCGTTCATTCATTCACCCATTCATCTATCCATTTATTCAACGAAAGTTGTACTTGGAAGGTTGTACTCAAGGAACTTGAAGTGTGGGTGGGAATGAATATGCACAAACTGATGCTTATAAAATCATACAGCAAATGCAACCCTAGCTCACGAGTTCAGGCTCTAGGATCAGACCCTGATGCTACATCTTATCTGTACTGCTTTTCTTAGGGCTCTCCTCAAGCCTCAACGTCTTTCTTCATCGGTAAAAATCAGAGTAACAATAGTACCTGCCTCACAGAGTCATTTTGAGGGCTAAATTAGATCATGTGCCTAAAGCATTTTAGCAGTCCAGGAGCTAAGTCATAAATTTGTATTAAAATTAACAAAAATAATAGATCCATAAATGTATAAACATCAGAATAGATTCTATACAAGAATCTATTCTTACCAAGAAATACCACTATTTTACTTAATTAGCAGTACATAAATTTGTCTTATCTTTTGGGGCATTTGTGTGCTTTAAGCCTAAAAGGTGCAGTTAAATGGTTGAGTTTCTAGTGAGGTTCTCAAAAGTAAGAAGAATAGTAATAAATGAATGCTGTGTAAAGGTTATTTTGAGCTTTCAGTTTAAATATGTCTGTGAATGATTTATTTTAGTTACTATAAAAATATTTAGTTAACATGCTGAAAGTGAAAGTCGCTCAGTCGTGTCCGACTCTTTGCGACCCCATGGCCCATATAGTCCATGGAATTCTCCAGGCCAGGATACTGGAGTGGGTAGCTGGTCCCTTCTCCAGGGGATCTTCCCAACCCAGGGATCAAACCCAGGTCTCCCACATTGCAGGCGGATTGTTTATCAGCTGAGCCACAGGGGAAGCCCAAGAATACTGGAGTGGGTAGCCTATCCCTTCTCCAGCAGATGTTCCTGATCCAGGAATTGAACCGGGGTCTCCTGAATTTCCGGTGGATTCTTTACCAACTGATTTATCGGGGAAGCCCACATACTGAACCATTTCATACTGAAAATATGAAAATATTAACATACTGAAGTATTTGAAATTGAGGAGGGCTTATTCTTTTGTTGTTGATTCCTAGTGGATCAGAAGTGTCGTTTAAGCCACCACCTCCGGGAAGGAGATGGAAATGGGGTAGAGACAAGAGCAGAGGACAGTTCTGCCACAATCCTAGTTCACTTGTCTTGATGTCAACCCAGGGAAAATTAAGATTCGCATATTTACAGGAGCAATACACCACAGGCAAACATTTAAATTACTATCCAAATAGTTTCACATATTCAAACAACGCCGGATTTCAGGGTTCCTCTTTAGGCTATTGCGGATTCCTCAGTTTACTTCGCCACAAACCGTGACGCTCACAATGATAATCTCTACTATAATAACTCAGGAGGGGGCGGATGAATTGAATCCGGTTCCTTGTGGCACGCTTGCTGAAACTTCCTAGCAGGACGGGGTCCCCCTCTGTACACATTTGGAAACTTGCAGGCCAAGTGACTCAGAGCCTCCTCGGTTGCCATGGTGATGTTCCATTACAGGAGCTGATGGATTCCAGAGAGATTGGTGCACGCCGCCTAAGCAGAGTGGAGTCTCTGGCCCCAGCCGTGAAACAGAACACGACTGCCAGTGGCTGTGAGCTCTTGGACACGGAGATGCAGGCCCTGCGTGCGGACTGGAAGCAGTGGGAAGACAGCGTTTTCCAAACGCAGACCAGCTTGGAGAACCTGGTTAGCCAAATGGCCCTTTCGGAGCAGGAGTTCTCCGGCCAAGTGGCTAAGCTGGAGCAGGCCCTCGAACAGTTTAGTGCCCTCCTGACAAGCTGGGCTCAGCAGTTAGCCCTCCTGGAAGGCAAGAACACAGATAAGGAGCTAGTGGAATGCTGGCAGAAGGGCCGGGTACACCCTGATTAGCTCTCCTATGTGTGGATTTGACAGCTGTGTTTGAATTAATCCGTTAACAGAACTCCTAGTCATGCTCACCAGTTGCCTTGTGAACTTTTTTTTTTTAAACTAATAACCGCCCTTTCAGAATGTGAGGAAGGAAAACATAAAAGGAAGAGTGAATAATGGGCAGAAGCTTGAAATCTTCTTTCTTTCTTTTACTGTTAAATAGTGTCTCAGAAAGCCTTTCGATAGCAGTTTTAGGGTGCTCTGAATCATGGGGTTGTCCTTAAAAGGAAATTTAGTAAACTTCTCTGTTTCTATTTATGTTATATTCATTTCAAAATATCTCCAGCCAGTAAGAAAGTCCTGCAGTGTTTCCAACACTGTCTTGTTTTAAATCAAGTATTTGAAACAAATATAGCACCCACAAAATAAAACTTTATAATCATCTCTTATACTATTCTATTTATAAGGTTTCTAGGATTTTTGTTTGTTTTTTTGCCTTTCCTATCCTTTAGGCTTAAGCTCTAGAATAAAGCACAGAAAGTAGTTCTGTCAAACAGGGACAAGAAAGTCAGTAATTGTCCAATGTGGTCAATATTATTCACTCTGGTATAAAAAAATGAGTTATAGTGCTTTAGTTCTTTTGTGTTCCCTTTTCTTTCTCTTCCATTAATATGATGAAATTTTTTAAAAAGAAAGATTTGGTTATATTTAGATTGAATTACTATCTTGAGCTATCTTTTTTTATTGATACTACTAATGAAAATAATAGGTAAAACCTATAAAAAATGTACATAATAATGAAAAGAGAATATGGACTTTTTTTTTTGCTTTAGAAGTCCAATTACCTTGAAGTTTGTTTAAACGAAGAGAAAAAGGTCATAATGTTTTCATGAAATACATACTTTGTTCTTTAAGTAACACTTGTGACAAATAACATAAATCATTAAGGAATGCTGAACTTGTGATCCATACAAAACACTAACATTTAGGGTTATACATAATTTAAAGAAACATCCCAAGCACTTTTCAAAATATTGTAGTAGCCAGTACATAGAGGCATGCCTTGGGTGGCCATAGGAATGTAATTCAGAAAATTAAGGGAGGGGGGTAAATGTACTGGAACTACTTAATTTATTCAAAATCACTGAGCAAGAAAACCAACCTTGAACTTCCATACTGATTTTACAGAACTTGTATATAGTGCCTTGACTTAAATTCAAGAGCAAAATTTAAGACTCTTCTCTTCTACTTTTGGTAGACAACTGCATGGTGAACTAAGATAACGTTTCTCCCTGGATTTTACCTGAGAGTGGCCTTTTTAATTTTCTATTTAAAAGAGGACAGGTTTGGCACATTTATACTAATGTTAAACCAATGTTAACATTTCTTGGAATCTCAAGAAGAGAATATAGATTTTTATTTGTGCTGGTAATCCAAAGTTGCCAGCCCTTCGCTTAGATCTACTTCCAGTTTTGGCTCCAGAGTTCATACTTTAGGTGATAATACTACATCACCTCCCAATATTCAGATATCCTTTTATTTTTAATAATGATATTTTAATCTTAAAACAGATAGCATTATGCAATACACCTTAAACTTATACAGTGCTATATGTCAATTATATCCCAATAAAACAAGGAAAAAATAAAAGATAAAAACAGATAATGAATTTTCTCACCACACATTAAAAAAAGAAATGGTAATTATGTGATGGAATAGAGGTGTGAGCTAATGATCTAGTGATAATCATTTACAATATATAAATGTACCTTATCAACACATTGTACATCTTAAGTTTATACAATATTGTTTATCAATTGCATTTCAATAAAGCTAGGAAAAGCTTTTAATTTCAAAAAATAATGATAATAATTCCATCACGAATGGATGCATAGGACATTTTACAAAATAATGGATTTGCCAGGGTTCTTTGACATTGTTTTGCTGTTTGTTGGAGGTGGGGATTGTCATTGTTGAAAATCACAGTAATAAACATAAAATTCCACAAGTGTTTATTCTCTATTCCACAATTAAATGATGAGACTCAAGAAATCTTTAAAAAAGAAAAATGGATCATCATCTATAAATTATGTTAAATCATGTTGCAAAGTATTTTATTCACTGTGTTTGCAAAACTCATATTTTTTTAATTTCCAAGGTTATTAACCTTAGAGATTTAACAATTTTATTAACCTATAGAACCTCTAAGGGGGGGGAAATACATTTTAAGACTTAACCGAAACAGAATTATACAACCTGATATTTATAAAATGAAAGACTGCTAAAATGCTTTAATTTATGATACATTTAGTGTAGTCAAGTTGCTCAGTCATGTCTGACTCTTTGTGACCCCATGGACTGTAGCCTATAAGGCTCCTCTGTCCATGGAATTTTCCAGGCAAGAATACTGGAGTGGGTTGTCATTTCCTTCTCCAGGGGATCTTCCCAACCTGGGGATAAAACCCAGGTATCCCACACTGCAGGCAGACGCTTTACCTTCTGAGCCACCAGGGGAGGTGATTTTTTTTTTTTTTTTTAGTATAACTTTTTAGTCAAAAGCTTTTCACTTTTCATATCATCTAATTTATAAATGACTATTTTGAATCTCTGGCTCTTTTTAATTTTTTGGTATGTGGTAAATTCTTTAGTTCTTATAAAAGGTTCAATGTGGTGTAAAATAGTAGTTACTAGTGTTTGGAGTTTTGGAGAGAAACTTTCTAGTTATTATGTGTGAATTTCATGAATAAAAACATCATATACGCCTCTGTAGCCCAGCCACTAACCTAAATAAAGAATTTTAAAACCAAGGGAACTTGATCCCTCCTCTGAGAATCACGGTTTAGGTGGAAAGGCCAAGAAGTTCAAGACCAGTGGGGACGCTGGCTGGTGATGAGTGCAGACCAGGTGCTGTGTGTCCTCAAGACAATCCCCTAAGAGGTGGGACAGAAAGCAGAGAATCCTTAGAGGAGCCCTGATTTGAGCTGAGTCTTGATTACAAATTGACCAGATGGGAGAGGTGGAGGAACAGTATCAAGATCCAGAATTATTGAGGAATGAGAAAAACACAGGCAACAACTGGAGAACGGGATTCACAATCAGAGAACAATGCCCTTTGGGAGTAGACAGAGGCCCTGAGAGTCAAGAAGCAGAGAGAAAGAGAGCTGGTTAAAAGCGTTAAGACATATAATAGACCAGACCTCATTCATCTTGTGTGGAGTGAGAAGTTTTCTGATTCAGATCAGTGGGAGGACAGTGGTGCCATTTTCTAGGATGAGAAATACAACACAGACCTACTTTGTTGAGAGGCCTGGTTTTCCTACAAATCTAGGCCATGTCTTGATAAATATCTCTGAGAACAATAATAGTAACAGCAACAGCTATCCGAGTAGTTACTCATCTTCTTGCCCCTCCTCCTTAATATTTTTTTTTGTTTAGCTTGGAGATAATATTATCTACATAGTCCCACTTAAATAGCCTACTGTCTTTACTAATTATAGCTTCCCTTGTGGCTCAGATGGTGAAGCGTCTGCCTACAATGAGGGAGACCTGGGTTCGATCCCTGCGTCGGGAAGATCCTCTGGAGAAGGAAATGGCAACCCACTCCAGTACTGTTGCCTGGAAAATCCCATGGATGGAGGGCCCAGTAGGTTACAGTCCATGGGGTTGCGAAGAGTCGGACTCGACTGAGTGACTTCGCTTCACTTTACTAGTTAGGCACTTGATGTGCCAGTAACTGTGCTAAGTATTTGACACTGAAGATCTCATGTGATCCTTGTGACAATGCTATAAGAGAACTCTGATTGCAAAGCATCTTGTGTAACTCAGTAGACCATGTGATTTCAGAGTGTGTCCTTGTCAAGTCCCAACACTTTGCTTTGGATTAAAGATTCACAATATTGTGATTAATCACGTCTTCTCTCTCTCTCGCATCCATTAAATTATGAGCTCTTCAAGTACAAAAATCATACCTTTAGTTGTTTCAAGAGTACCAGAATCCAGCAAAATGATTGATACATACCAGATATTTAGCAGATATTTGATGACTAGATGAATGAAACTATGAAAGGAATAAATTACTAGTTAAATTAGACCTCTGGAATATAATAAATTCTTAATGTAAATGTTAACTGTGTATATACTACATAAATTCAGTTGCTACATGTATTTTTTAATCCAAAATTAGTATTGCTTTGCTTTGAAATGATTTCTCTTCACCTTTAAACAGTATATATGCATTCACATCCTCCAATGGCCTAGACAGAATGTTTTTGAACAATTTAGGCTATTCTTGTTTTTTTTTTTCTCGTTCCACTTTAAGTAACTTGACCACTTGATCATTTGACTATATGGCAGTGCTGGATACTTGAGAACCTAGCTCTTCCTAGAAAAAGACGCAAAATAACTAAGGGCTATCATCTGCCAGGGGGAATCCTGAAAATAGACCTCATCTCTTTACTGAATCTACTGTGTTGGTTCTTCCTTCAGTGATTTATGCATGTATGATACTAGGATGTAGAAATTACCCATTTTAAACACTTGCTTCTCTGCCTTGTTATTTCCTGATAGGAGATACTGGATGCTTTACAAAAAGCAGAGCCTCAGACAGAGAATCTCAAGTCTCAACTGAATGAGCTTTGTCAATTTTCCAGAGACCTGAGTACATACAGCGGAAAAGTTTCTGGCTTGATTAAAGAGTATAATTGGTGAGCATAAACCTTACTGGCATTCAAAATATGTTTACACAAATAAGAAGTCAGAGGTCTGTTTAAGTTGTGAGTTCAGTAATAATATAAATTAATCTTTAAATATATTACCAAATGGTATGAGTACATACTAAGAGCTGTTGATTTTCTGGAACATTATTTTGATCTACTTGACCACATTTTTTCTCCCATTAAATGCTTCAAATCATGGTTCCAGTCTTTGTTTGCAAGCTTCCAAGGGCTGTCAGAATAAAGAACAGATTTTACAGCAAAGATTTCTGAGAGCCTTCAAGGATTTCCAACAGTGGTTGGTTAACGCAAAGATCACAACTGCTAAGTGCTTTGACATACCTCAAAATATCAATGAAGTTTCAACGAGTCTTCAGAAAATACAGGTAAGAGTGTGATCAATTAATTCTAATAATGGTGCTGAAAATTCTCTAGCGGTCCAGTGGTTAGAACTCAGTGCTTCTACTGCAGGGGACATGCATGGGTTCAGTCCCTGGTCAGGGAGCCAAAGTCTCAACAAACCATATGGCCAAAAAAGAAAATATGTAATAACAGTACCTGCAGGTGACTCAGAGATCAAGAATCCACTTGCCAGTGCAGGAGACTCGGGTTCAATCCCAGTATCAGGAAGATCCCCTGATCTTCCTGAGGAGGAGATTTTCGGCAACCCACTCCAGTATTCTTGCCTGGAAAATTCCATGAACAAAGGAGCCTGGCAATCTACTGTCCGTGGGGTCCCAAAGAGTCGGACATGACTAAATGACCAAGTGTGCATCACTGACTTCTAGGTCTTATTATTACAAGGCTATTAAAGTTTTGCTCAAGAAACTCAGATTTCAAGTAAATCCCTGCTTGAAACAATTGATGTGTAGGTGAAAAGAAACTAGTCCGTTCATCTAAATGCATGCTATTTTTATATATTAATAGGGATTTAGGAGATAATAAAAGCTCTTTGTATATGAGAATCATTGAGCTTGAGCATGCTAGTCAGATTTTCTCGTTAATTTTCACAATACCTGTAACAGTTACATAAGATTATTATTAAATACAATACATACATAATACACTAACGCATAAGAGTATTATTGAACAAATAGGGTAAAAGAATCTTAGTCAGTTAATATATGCAACAAAAATTGTTTATTTCTTTTCTTTGATTTTATTGAGAAATAAGTAGGAAATTCATGTATTTTCATGTATAGAGCTTTTTATTGTGCCTAATCTCTTCTTTAAGGAATTTTTGTCAGAAAGTGAAAGTGGACAGCACAAGCTGAACATGATGCTTTCTAAAGGAGAACTTTTGTGTACTCTGTTGCCCAAAGAGAAAGCTAGTGGCATCCAGGCCAAAATGGCAACTGCAAAAGAAGATTGGAAAAATTTTCATTCGAATCTCCACCAAAAGGAGTCTGCTCTGGAGGTATACGATAGCCAACCATGTGGACACGTTCTGTGTTATTTGTTGTTGTTGTTGTTAAAATTCAATGTATTACATCCAGTACATCTAGGTATCCTTGTCAGAGATTTTGGTCATCCCTCTCTGAATATGACTGGATAACCGGATAACCTTAAGAATCACCTCAGTGTTGAAGTGTGAACCTCACTGAGGAATTTAATAGCTTCTTGCATGATAGAGGCAGTTATCACATGCTTGCCCATATACCAGCCCACCAGTAACAACTGGTTTAAGTTTTAGGCAATGTTATTTAATCTTTACTTGAAATCCCTCACTTGTGAAAGCTGCTGTAGGAGAATGGACCAAAAATATCCATGCAGGGCTGAAAAATGCTATGGATGAGACAGAATATTATAACTAATGCAGATACCAAGTACTGAATAGTAGATTTTAGGAGTTCAGCATGCAGAGAGACAAAATAATTTTATTTTATCTAGGGATAGCATAATTTGAATTTACTATAATCATAACATAATTATGCCATAATGCAATTATTTTTTTCTTGAAATCATTTGTTTTGTGTACCAACTCTTCTCTTAGAGGAAAGTTAAGAGTCAGGCAAGTATTTTTTTTTTTTCTTTCTAAAATGCTTCCTAGCAGGAGAGAGCCTTAATTTAATTATGGCCATAATCAATGAAGGATGGAAAACTAATAATAGAGAATTAATATCTGGGAAGAGAAAATGCATGTTTCCTCAGTTCTTCCCTAACCAGAGACCATTGTCATTCTCTACTGTAATAGTGGCTATTATTTCATGGCAGGCATCCTCCATGCAATAGAGAGTAATAACCACTTTGCAGAGGCCTAGACGGCTCAAGTGGTAAAGAGTCTGCCTGCAATGAAGAAGCAACAGGGGATACGGGTTCAATCCCTGGGTTGGGAAGATCCCCTGGAGAAGGAAATGGTAACCCACTCCAATATTCTTGCATGTAAAATCCCATGGACAGAAGTGCCTGGTAGGCTACAGTCCATGGGGTCGCAAAGAGTTGGACACAGTTGCGCATCTGACATAGATAAGAGAACCATCTTTCACTGCCTAGAAATTTGCTCTCAACCCTGCAGGGATCATTAGTGCACTGTGGCCTGAGCATCTCCTGTCGAAAGCAGTGCATATAGTACAGATAATGAGGTTACCTCATTCAAGAAATGTCCAGTAGTACGTCAGGAATTGCTTGCCTTCCTGCTTTTCTTATTTTTCTTCCTTCTTTCTTTCCTTTCCTTCTTCCTTCTTTCCTGCCTATCGCCCTCCCTTCCTTACTGTCTTCCCTCCTTTCTTCCTTCACTTTAATTAAGAATACACACATTAATACACATAATAGCACTTACTATATGCCAAGCACTATGTTAAGAATACGAAAGTGTTAACCGTTCCTTCTCCTCAGGGAATTCATTTTCTAGAGAAATGAATTCATTTTCTAGAGGGAAACAGTATACAAAGAGATGGTTGCAATATAATATAGGTATACGCAGGGTGTGGGAATCACTCAAAGAAGGATGAAACTGACTCTGTTTGGAGAAATCAAGGAAGGTATCCAGAAAGGCGACTTTCTAACTGAATCTGGAAACTAAACAATCTTTGAATTTGCCGAGGCTGACATGCATTTCAGTTAGAAGGAAGTGAGTGTACAGGGCCAGGGTGTTGTTAAATGTCAACTATTAGAGGGAGACTTTGAGATGTTTGGCATTCAAGTGAAATTTTGTGGGAAGAGCAACAAAGATAAGACCAAGGATGAAGATTAGGAGCTGATAGTAGAATGCCTTGTGTACTAAACAATTTGACCTTGACTCTTGGATAGTATTCCTTTTCTGAACCCCAAAACAGCACTTATTTTCTCAATTTTGCCAAGATTGCAACATAACCCATACCATTCTAGATGCATAGAAGAGACATTAGTTCATTACATACAATGAATGCTTTAGAACAGTAGGGCTTAATTCTAAGATTTAAAAAAGCTGAATGAAGAATCTACTGGTCTTTCAGAGACAAATATCTCAACTCTCTGGCCATAATGTAGGCCAGAATGATAAATAGTAAATAGCTGGAAGACCAGAGAAAGCTTTTCAAAATGGCCCAGATGAGAGAGACAAGGGCCTAAATTAAATAAATGATAATGGATGAGGGATTTCTCTCTAAGAGAAAACATGGCAGGATTTGATAACTGACTTAACAAGGGGATCGAGGAAGGAGAAATTAAAGTTTAAGTCTTTAGTTTCTCATTTGGAAAATAGCTTGAATGATGATGCCATTAGGGGAGTCTTGAATATGGTAGAAAAAGTGGTTTGGGAAGAAATAGAGAAATTCATTCAATTTAATATATATTAAATTCGATGGGCCTACAAGATAACCAGTGGGTAATGGCCAGGAAAATAGCAGCGAACATGTGTGACGTTCAAGAGAGAGGCTAGAGCTGCCAAAACAGTGAAGGTGAACATCTATTAGGTGCTATTGTAGGTGCTCGCTTAGCATGTATTAATGTGTTTAGTCTTCATCACCATATTTCTATTTTATGGATGAGGAAATTAAAAGACTCTAGACTTATTATTAACATTTCCTCTGGTCCCTAACACTATCTAAAACCTCATAGAATCTGAAGATCCAAATGAAGGACTTTGAAGTAAGCGCTGAGCCTGTGCAGGACTGGCTGAGTAAAACCGAAAAGATGGTGCATGAAAGCAGCAATCGCCTGTATGATCTGCCAGCCAAGAGACGAGAACAGCAGAAACTGCAGGTGATGCGCCCCAGGCTGGCTGACCCTCCTTCGTCTACCACGCATTCAGATCAGAGGCTTGGGGGCACCCTGGAGTGAGGCGATGCTGTCTTGAGATTGGGTGCACCCTTTCCTGAGTTCAGAGCTCCTGCTTTCCTTTGAGGTGTAATCTGTCCGGTCCTGGAGCCCGACATTGTGTGTAGCTTGGAAATAATAACGCCTTTGGGCCATGTCTGTTACTCTCCAGCGTTTGTTTCCGCGGTCTTGGGGCCAAAGCTTTGTCTGCCGTGTGCTCTGCCCCAGCCTCTTAATCGTGACTTGCTTCTGCTTTTCAGTCTGTCCTTGAGGAAATAAACTGCTACGAGCCTCAGCTCCACAGACTGAAAGAGAAAGCTCAGCAGCTGTGGGAGGGCCAGGCGGCCAGCAGGAGCTTTATGCACCGGGTGTCGCAGCTGTCTTCTCAGTATCTAGCGCTAAGCAATGTAACAAAGGTAACGCCTGCCATGTGCTGTGTGTGAGTGTGTGTCCTGGTGGCAGAGCCGGGGCCCCGGAGCCCCACGGGCAGGGCTCAGGCGTGTAAGCGTTCTTCCTAGCCTTGCAACCCCGGCCAAACATGTGTGCTGCGTCATCTCAACGTGCTTGTCTGAAAACAGCAAGGGAGGTTTCAAACATCCAAGAGACTTCCCATCTCTATGGTTACACCAAGTATTCCCCTTAGTCCTGAAATGGTTCCCCAGAGCTCTTATTTTGAAGACTCAAAGCATAAATAGAAGGCAGACTTCAGAGTACTGGGTCTAAAGATACACAGATTAAGTTACTTTCATAAAAACAGAAATTCAAAGCAGTTTTTAAATTTTAGTGGACTCAGCAAGAGTGAGTTTTAAGGTTAGTTTTTTTTTTTTTTCATTTGTCTCAATTCTTTATATTTTTTACATAGTCATCAAAGCTGTGTTGATTGAGAGTTTCAGTTCAGAGTCTGGAGCAGAGCTCAAAATTGGCAATGATTCCCATTACAGATGAAAGCTCTTTTCTAACAACTTAGAAAAAAAGTAAATAGTATCCCACAGTGACCTCACTTAGAGCATTCAGCAGACCCATCCTGAATTAAAGAGGGCCAGACCACCTTGAATTTTATGGCCTTGTGATGTTTGTTCCCTATATTTCTCTTTTGCATTTCAGATCTGAGAATATAGGGAACCTGCTGGAACTTGGCTTCGCCTGTTTGAGTGTGGGCTTGCTCTTGGCCTGCTGTTTGCATCCCCAATAAAACATCATTGAGACAGTCATATAGTATTAGCCTGGGAATGAAGAGACTATGTTTACACCTAATTTTTTATTACTTTTTTGTTTTTAGAAAATCTGGCATAAATTTAGAAAATCTAGAATAAATTAGGACCATCTTTCTATTCCTTTGCATTTATTTAGGTGCCAAAAAAATCAACAGATATTCAAATGCTTTACGTGCTGAAAATTATATTCATAAAATCTTCATTGTGTTGGATGTTAGCTTTAATTAATAAATAAAACCACATTTACAGTCCCAATTTAAGAGTATTACAAGATCTCAGATAATTGTTTTTTTTAGAATTGGCTATCATGTAGGTCATGTGGGTATGTGGTATTGAGCCGAATATGATATCTAAAAGCAGAAACTATTTCAGTGGGTTTCCCAGACAAGGTGTGAGGAATAAATTAATGAAATTTCTGAAAGTATCCCTAGTTGTCATAAAGAAGAGTAGCAAGTATGTTGAGGGGCAGTAAATTGTCATTGTAATCTTTCTGCTTCTTGACCTGATTATTCTCATATTTTTACTCTTTAGAAAGCCGTTTCCCATCTCACAGATTAATACAGCCTTTATCATATCTGTGCAAAGTATGAACCTATGGCTGATTAGTTATTTGGACCAGGGGTTAGCTTTGCCGTCTGTGTAGCTGCAGGCTGTGAAGCCTCTATGGAAGGGACAGCTGGATGACGGTCTCTGTCATTTCTAGGAGAAAGTGTCAAGACTGGATAGGATTGTTGCGGAACACAGTCAGTTCTCCCTGGGAATTAAAGACCTGCAGGACTGGATGACGGACACGGTCCACATGTTGGACTCTTACTGCCACCCAACCTCTGACAAGAGTGTGCTGGACAGCAGGGTGCTCAAGCTTGAGGTGTGTCTTCTACAGCAAATGTCTCTGATTTACAGAATTTGTTTTTCTCAAAATTTCTCAAGTCTCCGCCTGCCTGGTGTGATAAGGAGCCCGAGAATGGGGGCTTCTTTGGTGGTCCCGTGGTTTGGAATCTGCTTTGCAATGCAGAGGACACTGGGTGGATTCCTAGTCAGGGAACTGAGATTTCACATGCCGCGGAGCATCTAAAAGCCCGCACGCCACAACTAGAGAATCCGTGTGCTGTAACGAAAGAGTCCGCGTGCCACAACTAAGACTCTATGCAGCCAAATAAATGAATACATAACAAAATATTAAAAAGAAAAAAATAAATCCAAGAATACTCTGCTGATACGATCCTGTTGACACAGGGAGGCCTTGCCTAAGCTTTCCCAAATCATGTGAGCCCAGATATGCTCGCCCATCAATACTTTACTAAACAAGAAATAACAACCCAGAGGTGGTTACTTGCTTGATATAGCCAGTGAATAGGCTAGTTTCAAATGATATCAGATATATCTATTCTGAGAAAATACTTCGATGAAACATTTTATCAGGCAGAAACATTTCCCGTCTTGTTCAATTAACTTGCCTGCCTGTATCAGTTAGTCCATTCTTCTCCCATCATAAGAAATTCGTTCAACATGAGTTTACATTTGCGGTAAGGCAATCATTCTACATTCATTCACCTGTCATTTATACACTGAGTGTCTTCTAGGAGACTGGCACTCTACCTTGATACCAAGGATTGAAAAATGAATGAAGTATGGTCATTGTCCTCAGGATTTTATAGTCTGAGACTGCAGGCTGAGGCACAGGAGACAGTAATAGCAGGTGGAGGCGTGCTCATGGAGCTGTGGGCACACGAAGGACCAGAGTTGGGCAGGGACGGATGGTGTTGAGTTGGAACAGATTTCTCAGAAAACCTGAGACTTGAGGATGGAACCCAGTGAACAAAAGCTGAAGAAAACCAGTGGTGTGTGTGGTATATGAGTTGCTGCCAGCACTTCCTTTCTGCTGCGGCAGAAGCCGGTGGCCAGGAGTGGCTGAAACTGAATCCACAGAGACGGACAAGCTCCAGATGAAGGAGAGAGATGAAGCTTTACCTTTTAGGCCATAAACACCTGTTTTATAACTTTGAATTCAAGTTATATAGAAAAAGAATAGTGCTTGTGAAGAACTTGAAATGTATAAATTAATATAGACTATGAATTTATTTCTTTCAGTTTGTTGTACAAGAGGCCTTAACATTTATAGAGCTCTTCCTCCTCTGACCTTTGAGAGTTTAGGAATCCTATTGTCTATTTTTCATTTATTGTAAAACAGTAAACTTAAACTTCAGTGGAAACCAGGGATTATTCAGAGAATAATAAAGATCTGAAAGGCCAGGTCCACTTGGAGGCCAGTGGGTGACTGGTAACTGGTTACTGGTTCCTGACACCATCAGCCAGTGACTCTCCTGGCCTCCTCCTGATCAGCCCAAGGGATCCAGGGCTCAACACGACTGCAGGCCATCTGCTATCCACAGGGACTCTGAAATATTTAAAGCTAGCAATGTGAAACATACAGATGCCAAAGGACTTCTGTGTGGGCTTTTACAGGCTCTGTTATCAGTGAAACAGGAAAAAGAGATCCAGATGAAGATGGTGGTGACCAGAGGGGAATCTGTCCTTCAGCACGCCTCCCCAGAAGGCATGCCTGCCATTCAGCTGCAGCTGGCAAGTGTGAAGGATACGTGGGCCTCCCTTTGGTCTGCAGCAGTTCGCTGTAAAAGGTGAGTGAGGCCGAAGGGCTGCTGCCAAGTCATGGCTGAAAGATCTATAGAATGGCTCCGAAACACACTGTCCAGGCTTTCCCCCATCCTCTCTTTGTGTCTCTTTCTTTCTCTCTATTGCCCTGCTCCCTTGTTTTTTGCCTCCTCCCTTCCTTCGTTCCCTCCTTCCTTTCTTTTCTTTTTTCTTCTTGGAAGAAAAGAAAGTGCCAGGTGCAACCTTGCATTTACGTTGACCTACAGTACTATGTCTGTGTTTTTATGTAATTATAACTACATGTTTCTTCAGGTTGGTGTTCACTACTTAAAAAGCCACAGGATAAATAAATGTTTAATCATGTGAAGATGTATTGGTTAAAACTCGAAACATGTATATTATCTAGGGTGAAACAGATCACCAGCCCAGGTTGGATGCATGAGACAAGTGCTCGGGCCTGGTGCACTGGGAAGACCCAGAGGGATCGGGTGGAGAGTGAGGTGGGAGGGGGGACCGGGATGGGGAATACATGTAAATCCATGGCTGATTCATGTCAATGTATGACAAAACCACTGCAATGATGTAAAGGTCCAATCATGAAAAAAAAAAAAAAACTAAACCGTTTACTTAGGAAGTAGCCCCAGAAAACACCAGTGGGTGGTGGGAAAGAGCCATGAGAAAGACAGGGCAACCAGTAAAGGGTGGGGGCTGGAATTTACCCCCCACCCCCCACCCCGAAAAGCACTTCTGGGAGCCAGAGTAAGACAGAGCTTCTCTGGAAATTACCCATGGAGAGCAAAGGTGGGGAGCGGTGAAACAGGAATGTTTGTAAACAAACTGCCTTGAGTCAGTTTCCTGTCTTTTATTCCTTTTTTGTTTCTCTCCTCTAGCGGAGTTAAATATAAATTCTCTTATTGCCTTGAGTCTTGGCTCCAGGAAAACCTTGCTCGGGGCATCTCTCCTTTTGCCTTCAAACCTCTTCCAGTGTCTCACGTGACTTGGTTACTGACTCCAGGCTTTATACCCTGTCCCATTTCTCCACCTGTCAGCCTGGACTTCACCACCCTTTGCTTCTCAAAGCTGTGCTTTCCAGAGACCCAGGCTTGGCTTTGATGAGCTGTGACCATTCAGCCCCCCCTCAAGCCTGCCCTGACCTGATCTGTGGGCTTCCTGCCGGGGAAGTGGACAGAGCAGACGCGGTGATAAGAGATCAGATAGACTGCATGTAGATGGCTTCTCAGTGTAGATTACTGTCCTTTCAATTACCTTTCAGTCAACTTGAAGGAGCTCTTTCTAAGTGGACAAGTTACCAGGATGATGTTCGACAGTTCTCCAGTTGGATGGACGGCGTGGAGGCCAGCCTGAACGAGTCCGAGAGGCAGCTCGCGGAACTGCGGGAGAAAACAGCAGCTCTCGGGAAGGCCAAGGTGGGGCTGGGTTTCACATTCGATTTGTCCTCTGCCTCTGCTTCAGCATTGCCACGGCTATACAAAAACATTCTGGAGAAGGAAATGGCAACCCACTCCAGTATTCTTGTCTGGAGAATCCCCATGGACAGAGGTGCCTGGTGGGCTACCGTCCATGGGGTCGCAGAGAGTCAGACATGACTTAGCAACTAAGCACGTACGAAAACATGCCCATCTATAGGCTAGGGCCGTCCACATAGCTGAGCTCTGTTGGGAGAGTTTACTGTAATTTCTAATGGCTTCTTAAACAAACTTGTGTTTGTGGTTATTTTATTAGTGAGTGAAAATGTCCCTTTCCAGGAAAACTTCATAGACCTATGTTTTATGAAGTTTGGCAACTTGTAGTATGTTTTAATCGGGCTTGCCTAGTGACTTAGTGGTGAAGTGCTAATGCAGGAGATGTGTATTCGATCCCTGGGTTGGGAAGATCCCCTGGAGAAGGAAATGGCACCCACTCCTGTATTATTGCTTGGAAAATCCCACGGACAGATGTGCCTGGTGACCTCCACTCCATGGGGACGCTAAAGAGTCAGACATGACTTAGCGACTAGACAACAACTACAAATAACTTTTGATATCTTCATCCTGTTCATCCTTAGGAAGTAAAACTTTTTTTCTGTCACATCTTCCTTAGCTCTACCCTTGTACCTGGCCACCTTGTACTTACCTTTCTGAATTAGTTCAGAAGCCCCCATCTTTGCTCTGAACCACCACCACTGGAGGCTTAATTAGTTCTTCTGCTCTCCGTCTTTCTCATCTCTTGATGAATGTTATAGACTCTATACTTACATTGCTTGCTCTCTCAGTGGGTAAAGTTGCTTAGTTTTCTTCTTATCCTATGCACATGGCTCTCTCACACAGAACAAATGCTGAGTAAAAGTTAGCTGAATAACTAAATGGCCTTGCATGACCTATGCCAAGCCACTTAACATTTCTGGGTCTGCTGTTTGCATCTGAAAATTCTCATAATTATAATTCTTGACTTCATTGTATTATTATGATGATTTATTACTTAATTTATTATATTATTCATCTGGTCAACATATACTTACAGAGAACTTGCTACATGCAGGCATTGTGCTTGATTCTAGGTAAATTAAACAGACCAAGGTTGCACTCTGGAGGTTGCACGTGGACTCATTCGAGAATGATTGAATAAGTAAATGATTATAACTGGTGCTGAGTGAGATGAAGAAAACACTGTGTGATGAGACGGAGTCATTGGGATAGCGTGGATATGGGCATCGTGGAGTTGGGGGTGGGGGGGGTTGCGGAGCGGACAGGAAAGGCTTCTTGAAAGAGGAGATGGAGATGATGGGGGGGGGGGTGGGGGGGGTTGCGGAGCGGACAGGAAAGGCTTCTTGAAAGAGGAGATGGAGATGATGCCCTAAGGAATTCAGTGCAGGGAAATCAGTTTGGGGAGGAGGTGGGAAAGAAGCATTTCAGATGGGATAATCCACATGTCCATAGCCCCTGGGGAGGAGAGAACCTGGGTCGGATAAAAGGGAGCTGTAAGAAACAGCCAGTCTCTGTTGCTGGAGCAGAGACTCAATGGGTGGGTGTTGCCAGATGACATGGTGGAGGTGGCAGGGACCTGATCTCACGCTGTCATGAGGATCCAAGCCTGTGGATTTCAAACTTGATCCTGACAGCCTGGGGAGGATAATCAGTGTTTTGAACTGGAGAGGAAAACGATCCCCTTTAGAATCTTAAAGCCTTTTATCACTCAAGCTGCTGTGTGAAAGGTGGACAAAGGAACAGGGCAGGAACCGGGAGCAGGGAATCTGCCTGGCAGAATATTACAAAAGTCCAGGGAAAAGATGATAGCAACAGGGGCTAGGGGGCTTGCAGGAGACAGGAGGACACATGTCAGGATACAGTGAAGAGATAGAACTAACAGGATCTCATCATGGATGGAAGGACAAAGGGTGACTCCAGTGTTCTCACCTGACCATCTGGGTGAGACTGGTAGCATTTTACTGTTTGACAAAAAGACCGAGGGGAGGGAGGTTTGGTGGTGGCTGGGCATGGATGGAAATGGAGTAGTGCTCAGGAGCCAATTTTTGGACAAATTAAAATTGAGGTTTCCAAGTCTACTCAGATGAAGTTCTGGGCCGGATATCAAATACACACACCGTTCATATAGATATTCATATATCTATATAGAGATAGATGGTGGATAGAGTGTAGACTAACAGATAGATAACCTGAGATCACTTGTCAGCTATGCAGTTAAAATATCCTAACTTTACAAGTTAACATCGATTTGATGATATACGCAGTAACTCCTTTATTTTTTAAAAAAATGTTCTCTAGTTATTAAACGAGGAAGTGCTGAGTCACGGCAGCTTACTGGAGACCATTGAAGTCAAGGGGGCTGGCATGACGGAGCACTACGTCACCCAGTTAGAATTCCAGGACCTGCAGGAACGATATGGCGCCATCAGAGAGCGGACGAAGGTACGGCTCACCGTGTTCCATGCAGACCCGCTGGAAGAGCGGTGTTTGGAGCTGTGCTTATTTAAAGATTCATCTGTTTGGGGGCATGACAGGCTTGTGAAAGCAAATAGGACACACACAAAAAAACAAAATGAATTTTAATACTTAGACTACTCTACTGGCAAAGCAAACAAAAACCCTAAACTAATGTTAAGATATGAAAGTTATTGGAGGAAAATAGTTCTCAACTAAAAAGTCCTCCAAATGTACCTATTGAAAAAAAATTGGGGGGAGCTTCATAAGGCAGAATCATAAATATCTTCATGTGTCTGGTGATAAAAATTTTCTAAAGCAGGAAATAATCGCTGATAATATTTATCATTCTTTGCTTAAATCTCACAAAGAAAATAAAAAGAACTTTCCAGAGCACAGCCTATTTTATTAGAGTAGATGGAAAACTGAATCTACAGTGAATCCAAATTCTCACTCAGGGCACAATATGAAAGTTTCAGTTTTATTCATTAGCAAAAATGTATCTTTATGACAAAGTTAATTCACTTTTTGGAATATCCATTTTACATTTCATAAGGAATTCAGAGATCAAGAAGTTAACTCAATGAAATGATCTTTAAGACCCCCTCTGGTGGTTCAGTTGGTAAGGAATCTGCCTGCAATGCAGGAGACTCGGGTTCGACCCCTGGTCAGGAAGATCTCCTGATGAAGGAAATGGCAACCCACACCAGTACTCTTGCCTGGAGAATCCCGTGGACAGAGGAGCCAGGCAGGCTACAGTTATGGGATGGCAAAGAGTCAGAAATGACTGTGTGACTTTCACTTTCACTTTTTACTCATATGATGTTGGTTTTTTTGTTTTTCTTACATAAATCTTGACATTTTATTCTTCTAGGAAATGATTCATGTTTTGATGATTTAATAATCATGCTTTTCTAATTTTCCAAAAGTGAATTCTTAAGTCTGTGTAGACTGCATGTAGTAACGTTTTCCCACCTCAATCATCTTAAATGCTAACAATAGGAAGCAGTAACCAAGTCGGAAAAACTAGTTCGCCTGCACCAAGAGTATCAGAGAGACTTGAAGGCATTTGAAGCTTGGCTGGAGAAAGAGCAAGAAAAGCTTGATCGATACTCAGTTCTTGAAGGTGATGCACACACTCATGAGACAGCACTGCGGGACCTTCAGGTAAAGTCTGCTTCATCGTAAAACAAAGGACTTTTCATTCTGAATATGGAACCATTATTTTAAGTGAGAAGTCACTATGACCTTAAAGCCTATAAATAGCTGATATATATTAAGTGACATCCTAGTAAGGTCTGATCTAGAGTGTTCTGGGACCTCAGTAGTGTATGCTAGTCGAAATCATTTGGTAGGTAGTTCAGACTGAGCAGGACTAGGACTTGAGCACTTTGTCCAGCTACAGGGTGGCCTCTGATAGGAATGGCTAGTGGTCTAATTTATGGTGTTAACAGGCCCACCTGCCTGTTGCTCCCTAAAGGACTGAATTAGATGTGGGACACAGCTGCAGGAGTCAGTAGCATGTGACACTTCTCAAATTCAAATTGGTGGCACCATCATAGGCCCTTTGGTTTTAACCCAAATCACCCACATTGCTGAAAATACAGGCCTAGAGTCAGGGACCTAGAAGAAGGAATTCAAGGAGGTAAGAAAAGTACCAGTACTCGGGCAAGCAGGCTGTGATTCAGGGCGAGATGGTAAACCTCATGGGCAAAGTGGTCCTAACCCATTGACTTATTGCTACTGCAGGTAAAGGTAATTAAAATATTATTCCTGCTTTCAAAGAACTTGCATTTTAAAGAAGTTCAGACCCATTGATGGATCATTACAAACAATGTGATGAGGACAATAATAGAATGACTCTATTATTGGGGATCTTATGGGAGTGTCAGAGAGAGCCCGTAATCCTACCTAAAGCAGTAGGCAACCATCAGGGGGTTCCCAAGAAGAGGAGACCAGACACATAATAGAGAATGGAGAGAAAGGCCGACAAGACAGCTCCATGTTAGAACTTACTGACCGCTGTCAGCCCTCACTGGAAGTGGTTCAGGATTCGGCAAGATCTACCCAGTGTTTGCATACGGTGGAAAAGCAGGACTGAGATGGTCATTGACATATAACATTTCTGCCTATTTCAGTGGCTTTCAGGAAGAACTGAATAATGGCAGGAGTGCAGGGTTGGGATTAGGAAGTTCAGACTCTGATTCATGGTAAGACCTGGTCCTGGATGACTTTGAGCAGAGAAGATCTTCCCTGACTCAGTTTTCTCTCCAGCACTGTTCTGAGGAAGGATTAAATGAGATGGGAGAAAAATCTTACTTGAACAGTAGTCCACTCGTGAAGTAAATATATAATAAAAGTTGGAAGGCTCATAGTTTCATTAGCTTCTTTAAGGATCTCATCCATTTTATTTTTAATAATAGCATATCCAGGTCTCTTAGGTTTAGCTGTTATAATTTATCTTAGCCGAATGGGCTTTCTTTTCTGTCTATGACCTCTTCCAGCATTCACTGCAGACTTTCTTGGCAAGCAAATACCAAGCTCTCCAGGCTTCTGTGGAGGAACTGGGCCAAGAAGTCACTTGTCATCAGCAGATATTTCTCCTGTCCCAGAAGAAAATATCTCACTTCCGTCAATGTTATTCTGGCTCAAACCTAAACCGGACTCCAACCTCTCATTTCACTGTGTATTAATTCTTATTGACACTGTCTTGTATTGGGTCACCACAACTTTTATAAAGGAGGGGAGACACTAGAGGCCAAAGCTGGTGGTGGAGAATGGTGATATTCCCACTGCACACCAGAACTCCTTCACTGTCCTAATGCCTCACCACTGGCTTAGTGATCTGGGGGTCTGCCAGCAGTGTGCACCACATTTAAAATTATTTTGTATTTGGGCTTCTCAGGATGCACTAGTGGTAAAAAGAACCCGCCTGCCAATGCAGGAGACATAAGAGACATAGGTTCAGTCCCTGGGTCAGGAAGATGCCCTGGAGAAGGAAATGGCAACCCACTCCAGTATTCTTGCCTGGAGAATTCTATGGATAGAGGAGCCTGGCAGGCTATAGTCCACCAGGCTCCTTTTGTATTCATTGACAGTTTAATTTTGGGTCATAGAACATACAGATTTTTAAAATATTGAAACCAGATTCTAAGCTAGTGCCTTTGGGGACTTCCCTGGTGGTCCAGTGGTTAAGACTCCACGCTTCCACTGCAGGGGCTGTGGGTTCGATCCCTGGTCAGGGAACTAAGATCCCCTCTGCTGCACATAACAGCCAAAACATAAAACTAAATACATTTTTAAAAAAATATTGGACCATATTTCCCCCTCAGAATAAATCCTTGAAGTGTGAGATATATAAGAATTTCTCTAATACAGTAGTGATTTGTAGAATAGTGAAAACTGCTATAAAATAGGGAAAGGGTGATATATGAGGTTAACTAGGGCACAGATCAGTACACTGCATCTCGGAATCTGTTCTTTAAATAAACTTTTGTTGAAATGTAGACACACCTGCTCATCCATGTAGCATCTCTGGCTACTTTGATGCCACAGATGGCAAGGTTACATAGTTAAGTAGCTTCAGCAGAGATTGTATGGCCCACAAAGTCTAAAATATTTACTATCCAGCCCTTTACATAAAAAGTTTGTCAACTCCTGAATTAAGGAAAGAGATTGTATAAAATTAGCTTTAAATTTTTTTTTAAATTTTGGAATAAAATTTCTGTTTGTGGTTATTTTGATTAATATTTTACCATATAAATTGTCCTTCTTTTCCAATTACAACATTCTTATAGTGCTATCATAGCTGAGGAAAGTGTATCTATAGTCTGAACTATAGAAGATCGCTATTTCTGTAGGTAAAAGTTGTCAGATATCAGCAATTTCATTAGTATTAAAGATTTTTAAAATAATATCGTATTCTAAATAAATGTGATGGTACTTTTAACACTTTGGTGGGATTTGACTTGGCCCCTTTCAACCTTGGGTGATCAGATCAAGTAACACAAGGATATAGTGTTTTGCCAACACCTTTAGGGGTATGATTTTCCTATCAAAAATAGCTGATGCTCTTAAAAACTTGGTTTATACAGAATTTTTAGGGTGCATTTCTGGGACTAGGCTTTGGTGGAGGGAAATATGTTTGTACCTAGGAGTACCTGATGGGCAGGGGCTTCCCAGGGCCTGCTAGTGGTAAAGAACCGTCCTGCCAATTCAGGACATATAAAAGACATGAATCCCATCCCTGGGTTGGGAAGATCCCCTGAAGGAGGGCATTACAACCCACTCTAGTATTCTTTCCTGGAGAATCCCAAGAACAGAAGAGCCTGGTGGACTGCAGTCCATGGGGTTGCAAAGAGTCAGGCACCACTGAAGTGACTTAGCATGCATGCACGTAACTGATGGGCAGGTGCGATAATTCAGCCTTGCAGGTTTATATGCCCTGTGCCCTCCAGGGCCAACTTCTCTTAGCAATCACATTCCCTAGAACAGCTTCAATAAAGAATAAGAATCCCTCCTTAGCAGAAAAAAGGTCTATCGTTCTTTTCTCAGCCAAAAGTGGAGCTCTGATCCCATTCAGTATCAAATTCAATGTCACAGCAAGAAGACTTAGGCTCTTTAAGCAGATTAGGGGCCACAAAACTCTTAGGTTATTAGACTAAACAATAATCCTTTAATCACCATGCTTTTGCCTCCAAGCTAAAAAGCCAGATTTCAGAGGTTGCCTCTAACATGATTGAGAAAAACACTTCTCGCTATGTGTGTATCTGTGTGTGTGTGTGTGTGTGTGTGTGTGTGTGTGTGTGCAGTTTGACTATTTTAACTGGAAACATTTCAGAATCTCTCTCCTGACTTGGGAAACAGTGTTCAGTGTTAGGTACACATTTTTGTCGGAATCACCTTGTTCTTTCCTAACGTGAAGTTCAACAGGGCACGGTTGGCTTGAGTGAGACATGATCACCTGTGCGGGTGTGAAATGTGAACGAGGTGTATGACAGCCACGCCTTTCCCCTGCAGGAGCTCCAGGTACGCTGCGCAGAGGGGCAGGCCCTGTTGAATTCAGCACTTCACGCCAGGGAGGAGGTGATACCGTCAGGCATCCCACAGACAGAGGACCGGGTTCTCGAGTCCCTCCGGCAGGACTGGCAGGCTTACCAGCAGAGGCTGTCGGAGACCCGAACGCAGTTCAATAATGTGGTCAACAAACTGAGACTGATGGAACAAAAGTTTCAGCAAGTAGATGAGTGGCTGAAAACAACGGAGGAGAAAGTGAATCTCAGAACTGGACGTCAGTCTAGCCGGGCTGCCAAGGAGATACAGTTACATCAGATGAAGGTACTATTGGTGTGAATTCCTGATGTTTGTCAAAGTAGCAGTTGCCTTGCATAGTTCATTTCTTTAACTATTTAATAAATTTTGGTCCAAGGTTTAGATTTTGCAAAATCTCTTTTTACTTGCAAGAAATTTGATATAAATTACAATGGAGCAATCTTCTATGAGAAATTATTTATTAGAATCCTAAGGTAGTCTATTTTGTTGATAATAGAATATAGTTTAATGAAGTATTTTATATTTTTCCCACACTTTATTACCTTGCTTGGTAAAGATACATGAATACTAGTGTTGGCGATAATTTAAGTTTATGGTTGTGTCTTGAAATTGCTCTAATGTACTAAATTTTTATGAAAATTCAGTGCACATGATCAAAATTATGCTTAGGCCTTTGGAATTCATTTTCCTTATTCATCTGTTTTAAAATTTATCTAAGTACAACAGAAGATATAAAAACATATGTAATACAGACAGAAAAGCATTTAAACTCATGTGCAGTTTTATCATGTTGTTATAATTTTTTATGAAGGTTTTACATGATGTGTTTTCAAAATTATACACAGAATAAATATATTCTAAGTATTCATAGAAATCATTTTCTAGTAAGAAGATATGTATATACATATTTGTCAATAGGGCTTCACAGGTGGCACAGTGGTACAGAACCTGCCTGCCAATGCAGGAGACATGGGTTCAATCCCTGGGTCGAGAAGATCCCCTGGAGAAGGAAATGGCAACCCACTCCAGTATTCTTGCCTGGAAGATTCCATGAGGAGCCTAGTGGGCTACAGTCCATGGGGTTGTGACTTAGGGACCTAGGGACTAAACAGAATATTTGTCTCACTTAAGGATCCCTCAGACTTAACTTTCCGCTCCCACACGGTGTCATTTCAGAAGTGGCATGAAGAAATCACCGCATACAGGGATGAAGTGGAGGAAGTGGGAGCCAGAGCCCAGGAGATCCTGGACGAGAGGCACGCGAGCCGCCGGATGGGCTGCCAGGCCACGCAGCTGACGTCCAGATACCAAGCGCTGCTCCTCCAAGTGTTGGTGAGCGGGCCACCCCGGCTCAGCGTGGGCCAGCAGACTTCACGAGCCAGGCGTTCTTACTTCCCTAACTTCCAGTGAAGGCGCGTGTTGATCAAGAGAGGCGCAGACACAGGTCTTTAATTCGCTTATTCCATGTTGTCTCTTCTTTCAAAGGAACAAATAAAATTCCTGGAAGAAGAGATCCAGAGTCTGGAGGAATCAGAGTTATCCCTAAGTTCCTGTTCTGATTGGTACAACTCTACTCATAAAAACTTCAAGAATGTGGCCGCCAAAATTGATAAAGTAGATAAAGCGATGATGGGGAAGAAAATGAAGGCGCTGGAGGTAGGCACGCAAATATCAAACTTGTCTGCCGACTGTTCGTTCTTCTTTCACTAACATGTTCCCATCTCCCGCGTAGAACTGGGAGGATGTATATTCCTCCCTGCCCAGTCTGGTTGGTGACCCCTGGTTCCTCACTTCATTCTAAATTCCAAGTTAAGATCGCTTTAAGCCAAAGATTGCCTTCCATTTACCTACGATGTGATGTCATCCCAATGACGTACACACGACTGTGCACAAAATTCTTAACTTAATTCCAGTTTGACACTAAATATTGGGGAAAAAAAATCTAGAACTCATGACACCATGCATTAGTCCTGTTTTAACTCAGATCTCTAGGAGCTCTGTTAGGGATGAGAAAAGCACCAAGTTCTTCCGTTAAGTCTCTGATTTGGAAATGATGTGCTGATCAAGACTTTAACAAGACCTATATTGAAGTAAAGAGGCTTCTCTTTGCTGGTGGGCCAAATCTGATTATAAACTTCAAATCTGATTATAATCTTCCATCCTGATTGCTGGTGGGCCAAATCTGATTATAAACTTCAAAAACATATGGTAAGGGGAAATTGGTGAACTCCAGAATGGGACTTGCAAGGCTTTTCTTTAAAAGAAAGGACATAATGCCAACCAATTTGAATTTGTTTGTCTGTTTGTATTACATTTCTTCCCATTCTTTCTCAGGGTTTGCTAAAAGACATGGAGAAAGGCCAGAGTTTGCTCAAATCAGCCCGAGAGAAAGGAGAGAGAGCTCTTAAGTACTTGGAAGATGATGAGGCAGAGACTTTAAGAAAAGAAATCCACGACCACGTGGAGCGGTTGAAGGAACTGACCAGCACTGTGCGGAAGGAGCACATGACCCTGGAGAAAGGCCTTCATTTGACGAAGGAATTCTCGGATAAATACAAAGCCCTGACTCAGTGGATAGCAGAATACCGAGATATCCTACATGGTCCTGAAGAACCCAAAATGGAGTTATATGAGAAAAAAGCTCAGTTATCTAAATACAAGGTAGTGTGTTGTTACTGACAGATGCGTGGGGAAGTCATGTAGGACTGAACTGGAGGGATGTGATTTCTGTGTGTGTCACCCTTAGTGGGTGCTGGGAGAAGAGAGGTCTTTAGCATGCCTGTTCTACTGGTAGGGGGCGTGCAGATTTATAAGGACCCTGCCTGCCAATGCAGGAGACATAAAGACATGCATTCAATCCCTGGGTGGGGAAGATCCCCTGGAGAAGGGCATGACAACCCACTCCAGTGTTCTTGCCTGGAGAATCCCCTGGACAGAGGAGCCTGACAGGCTACAGTCCGTAGGGTCACAAAGAGTTGGACACGACTGAAGCAACTAAGCACATACACTACACCAGCCTTATTTTTCCATTCAGGTAGTATGTTTGTCTGATATTCAAAGGTTGTATCAGTGGTTGGAGATCTATTCTGACAGTGTGATCCAGGTACATGGATCCTTCAGATAAACTTTCCTGGCATCAGGATCTCACACCTCTAGATTTTCTCTGTTTCATCTAGAGTCTCTCCTTCATCTTTTGGTACAGAAAGCCTATAAGCAGATCTATGGTAAATTCCAAATGAGACTTCATACTCCTAAGAAAATAAATTCTAATTAACCAACTATATGCAAAACATTTTAGAAATTAATTTTTGAAAGAATATATGGTGATATAGATATTGCTATACATGCTATAGATACAAATATTTCACCTGCTCAAATTTGTGAAACAGTTATTAAAGCTTATATATGGAATAGTCTGCTTTTAAAATTTGACCCAAATTATTTAGTGATAGTCTTTAAGAATTACAGTGTGATGTCTTACCTCAAAGCTTTTCCTGGTGGAAGCTATTTCCTCCTCCTCCAGCCAATATGTCTATTCCTGTCCTTCGTTTTTCTGCCAGGCCGGATAGTGTATCTTTGAAAGTGTAATATAAGAATCACAACTGCTTCTCCTTTTTTTCTTCTCCCTGAGTTCTTGATATTGATATATTTAAATAGCACTTTAAGGCTGTCACAGCAATGTTGCAACTGGAATTTGTCTCCCAAACCTCACATCCAACTCAAGGGGCAATTGACTTCACGATTCAAAATCAAAAGATAACACCTCTCTCCCTTCATATAACATGAAGATTTATTTCTCTGCTGAAAGGAATGAGGTGGAAGCCAGCAATATGCATTATGTTGAATTCAGCCAAATACAATTCTTCACTATACTTCTCTCTGCGTGTGTGAGGGCTATTTGATGTGTTACTTTTACTCTGTACTGAAAGTCAAAAAAGTCATAAAAGTCATTTTCTCTTTATTGCTTTACATGTATTAATTTATAAAATATATATCAGATCTTTGTTTGAGACAGATCATCTTATATATGGCAGCGCATGTCTGTATTCTCCTTGATCACATGAATGAGCTGGCTCTTGTTTTTTTCTTTGTAATTCAAGTCTCTTCAACAAACAGTGCTGTCCCATGAACCATCAGTAAAATCGGTAAGAGAGAAAGGCGAAGCCCTCTTGGAGCTGGTGCAAGATGTTACTTTAAAGGACAAAATCGATCAGCTTCAAAGCGATTACCAGGATCTCTGCAGGGCAGCAAAGGTATGGAGACATCAGAAGTACAATAAAACTGTGGTGTTTGCCCCAAAGGGCATCTTGACTCCATTTTATCTGTCAGAAAATTGAGGACTGTGGCTCAGACGGTAAAGCATCTGCCTACAATACAGGAGACCCCGGTTTGATCCCTGGGTGGGGAAGATCCTCTGGAGAAGGAAATGGCAACCCACTCCAGTACTCTTGCCTGGAAAATTCCATGGAAGGAACCTGTTAAGCTACAGTCCATGGGGTCGCAAAAGAGTCGGACATGACTGAGCAGCTTAACTAACTTTATGGGTCAGTATTTTTCCTTTTCATTCAGGTGGGCCTCTTTAAATGATGTAGCAACTCTGTGTGTGTGTATGTTTTCCGTCCCTAGTAACTTTCTGATGTGTGTAAGTCTACCTACTCGCTGAGTTGCCCTGGGATTTTAAAAATGTTAAAGTTTTGAGTAGATTTTTGGCTGGAAAGTCACTTCTAACAGGCACCTGGCTTCACAGGAGCATGTCTGCAGTCTTGAGGCGAAAGTCAGAGACCATGAAGATTACAACAGTGAGCTCCAGGAAGTGGAAAAGTGGTTGCTGCAAATGTCGGGGAGGCTGGTGGCGCCCGACCTCATGGAGACAAGCAGCCTTGAGACGGTTACCCAGCAGCTGGCCCGCCACAAGGTGGGCCTGGTCTCTCAGGAGTTGAGGAGCACACGGCGGCTTGGACAGGCATGCCGTGTGTGTTAGGGGGCGGGGGTAATCTCTGGATCATAATGACTGTACCGAAAGACTCAGGTCTGAGTCCCGAGAGTGCCTGATAGTTGAGAACAGTTCAATTTAATATTTAAGTGACTGGGCAACAGCTGAATCCTGGTATTCAACTTCTGAACACATTGTAGCATATTTCCTAGCTAATAGTTTTATCTTTTAATTGCAGAATATAATCTATATGGAGTAATTTATCAGAGAAATTATCTTTATTTTAGAAAAGTACAGCCAAAAATAGGATACAGACATAGTGGTCAAAGAGTCTAAATTCTAGTCAAAGTCTCTTCTTGCTTGTTAGGGGAACTTAGCCTCTCTGGGCCTCCTTTTTCTCCTCTGTAAAGGATGATAATGACATCAGTCCCATTACATAACCACTGTGCTCATCAGAGAAGATAACATATGTGAAAGTCTTTTGTAGACCACAAAGTACAGTACCAATATGTGATGTTCATATCTTTATTAATATGTATTTTTTTAGTAATCATATGTGCCAAATGACAGATATCATATGCTCACAACTTTATGAAGCTATTTTGGTAAGCTTAATGGGAAACTGAATTTTGGTTGTAATTTGGTCAACATCTACTACTGTGTCTTAGAAAAACCAGTTAACCATCCCAGGTTTCAAGATCTGTAGGAGAAAATTTTATTTAGCAAATGTGAACAGAAAATTAATGACATGGTATAGTCTATTTGGCACTGAGTAAACAGCCTCAGTAACCTCATGATGTGGTGGTTCATTCCAGCTTGAAGAAAAATGCTTCCTTTCAATATGGCATGTATAATAACTGTTAACTCAGCACCACTGGGAAAAAAGCGGTGAACCTCCACTGCTGGAGGACTGTGGTTTCCCTTAGATATATTGATGTGTTAGCCTAGGAAGCTTCGCAATGTGTCACTTGTCACTAGCATTGTATTGCAGTAAGGAAGTTAGAACCTGGCTTGAAAAAGTTGGGTCCCCCTCTCTAAGTGACCTCTGAGAAAGCTCAGTAGAGAATGGTCAGGCATAGTGCATGAGCTGGAGTCAGGCAGAGACAGGTCCAAAGCCAGGGCTCTGCCCTTTACTACTTGTGTGACCTTGAACATGTTTTATAATCTCTCTATGCTTAAACAATAATAATAAATATTTAGCAGGGCTCATATGCAGTCCCAGGGCTGTAGGTGCTTAAGAAATGTTAAGTGGTAAATGTTATTTTTATTTTTATCAACATAAATATTAGATGTAAATTAGATCTTACAGTTTAGACATTAAGCTATTACATAAATCAGGTATATTATTAGATAAATTAGACATTAGTTAATTAAATTAAATTGTGATTAGGCTATTTTAGATATAAATCAGGGCTTCCTTGGTGACTCAGACAGTAAAGAATCTTCCTGCTTGCTGAAGAACTGGTTTCAATTCCTGGGTTGGGAAAAGCCCCTGGAGGAGGGCATGGCAGCCCACTCTAGTATTCTTGCCTGGAAAATCCCCATGGACAGGGGAGCCCAGTGGGCTGCAGTCCATGGGGTCGCAAAGAGTGAGACACGAGCGAGCTACTAAGCACAGCACAGAGATATAATTTATACCAGAATTGCAATGTCTAGAGTTGAGAAATGTATGGACGTCTGTTTCACTGGTAATATTACCATGGAGCAGATCTCTAACTGAGGTCAGTCTTATGAATTCACTCTTAAAGCTTATCTCATCATTCTGTATAACTTAATCCATTAAACTCCTTAAACCTTCTCATTGGAGAATCTCTGAAAGCATACATTTTTTATTTCATGTGTTGATAGGAAGACACCAAGACATTTATTTTATTGTGTTGATACCAAGACAAATTGCAAAACCCTTTTAAAAGCACATTAAACAGTGAAATGATTGATCTTAAACTTTCTGTTTGGTGAATAGAATATTTAAAGACTAAAAATGGAATAATGAGAACTGCCTATTTGTTTCATCTTTGAAGGCAATGATGGAAGAAATTGCTGGTTTTGAAGACCGTTTGAATGACCTTAAAACCAAAGGGGACAATTTGATCAGCCAATGTGTAGATCACCTTCAAGCGAAACTTAAACAAAATATACACGCTCACCTGCAGGGCACAAGGGACAGTTACTCAGCCATCTGCAGTACAGCCCAGAGGGTGAGTGCCGCTGGAACGTTCTAGAATGATGAGGAATTAAGGAGAAAGGCTGTAGGTTTTTCTAATAGTTTTTATGCTTCACCCTTTGGATAGATTTCCCAGTTCATGTGTACACAGAGATAACATGTTATATATTTGATTAATGTGATGAAGTGGTGAATTTCAGACATTTGGTTTCACTCAATACCTTTATTCCATGAATTAATTATGAAAAAAAATTTAATTTTGTTTGTTTTTATTCACACACCATCAATACTTCTAATTTGCCATTTATTTTATAACACCAAAATAAGTTTATTCTGTAATTCTCACAGTACTTTTTTTGCTTTTAACCCTCTGTAACCAGGTTCTACTCTAATTCAGTATTTCTGTATATTCATATAGAAATTGAGAAAAGAAGCAAGCACCAATTTCAAAGTATGCTTCAGTGGGTATTCTTCCAATAAAATGGAATCATTAATGTTATAGATATAAGTCTAAGATAAATAAGAATTGCTTTTTAAAATAGCAATTAGGTAAAATTAGTGGATTACTTTTTATTATTCTAGAATTTAAAAATGACACTGAGAAAAGTGCATGTATTTTTGTTGCTGGGTTATTGAGTCAAGAACTGGAAAAATATAAGTGACACAGGGAAGATTATTTGTGTTCATTATGATAATTAAAAAATGCTGGCTATTAGTTAATTCCTAAACTTGGAAAATTCACTTTCAAACTGTTTATTTAAAAAAAGAAGGATAAAGGAATCTAACAAATAGCTACAGGAGATGATGAAGGGGAAAAGGGGAATGGACAAGAAAAATGCAGCATGAAACTTTCTGATCAGCTTATTCATTCACTCACTCAACAGAAATATACTGAACACCATCTTTGTAGTGGGCTTTTTCTGTGCAGTTACTGCTTCTGTTGTCTCAATAACCAAAGAAAAGTCAGTCTAACCTCATATTCTTTTTTTCTGTTTTTTATGAGTAATTTGCTCAAAAAACCATCATAGGTATATTTACCTTGGTTTCAAGGAAACATGTAATAGTTTCTCAACAAGTCTTTATGGATAAAATGATAATTGTTTGACTGGTTGAGGAACTATTAATTGAAATGACATATTAGAAAATGTTGGATTTTTCTGGATATATAATTTTGGATTATTCTGGATTATTGTTGTCCTGGAATATTGCTTCTGAATGAAATGAGGGCATCAAACTCTTCCCTCCCCTGTGTTATAATTTAGTTCCAATTTACCTACCCCTGAAGAGGAAGCGTTTAAGCTGAGAGACATTGGTTATCTTTTCATAAACTGGCAGTTTATTTTACTTTTAGTTTCTCATTTAAACAAACAGGACAATTTTATACAATCGGGAGAAGCTGAAAAAGCTTTTGGTTTAGGTTTGACCAATTTACTTCAAAGATTCTATACATTCTAACGCATTTCTACTGTTATATTAACCCTTCCCACCTTCTCTTTCCATAATCAGGATATTAGTGTTGTAATGCATGGATTGAGAAGTTAGAAACTGGGGCATGGCCCACGTGCTTTGCAACGTTTTGGAACATATGCAGACTCCATCAATGTGTGTCTGATGTCAGGGAGCGTGGCGAAGGGGGATCCATTTATGGTGGATTTGTTTCATTTGCTTCTGTGATATTTACAGCGACATAAAACAGCTCTCACAACTGCTGCATGATTATTCTGTCTCAGGTGTACCAGAGTTTGGAACACGAACTTCAGAAGCACGTTAGTCGACAAGACACCCTTCAGCAGTGCCAGGCCTGGCTTTCTGCCGTTCAGCCGGATTTAAAGCCAGGCGCGAATCCCCCTCTTAGCAGGGCAGAAGCTGTCAAGCAGGTAGTTTGTGATTCCTGAAAGTTTATATTACACTGTGATTCATTCATTTGATGGAAACATGTTAAGTACTTGTTATGTGCAAATTGTGCTGAATATCAAAATATAAATAAGATCTGAGCTCGATCCTATTCAAATTCACATTCTAGCCAGGAAGATGAACACACAACTAAGGATCAATCTGGTAGAATAAATAAAGCATGGGCGCTGTGGCCAAAAGATTGCCTTTACTACCTACTCAATAGGGTCACCATGGATAAACCATTGAATTTCTCTGTGCCTTAATGTCCTAAGTGATTATAGGACTGAACGTTGTGAAGAAATTCAAATGCCATGCCATAATGTACCCGATTTGCTAACAGAAAAGCAAAATTAGCCTCTTCCACCTTTTTTGGTACAGAACAAATTGCTTGTTAAATAATTATTGAATGAATGCTGAATGAAATATTGTCATGTAATGGATTCTGTGGCATATTAATTTGACATCTACATGCTTAAAATGTTGCTGCTGAGATTTCATCAGAATATTTGAGATATATTTCTAAAGCTTTTGAACTAAGCAACTTTTCTATGCGGTTCAAAGAAAATATTCCAAAGGAATTTAATTGTAAAGCTTATTGCTGCCAGATATAAAATAATAGTAAAAATTCAATTTTTTACCTCAAGCTGAGATTAAAATAATATGCTTGTTCATTTAGTCCACAAAGAGAATGTGTTCAGTTTATATGCCCCCCAAAGTATGCCTTTTGGCTTAAATGATTTACATTATTTAAGTCATGAAATGATTCACATTATTTAAGTCATGAAATGATTCACAGAAGTGCACCTATTATACCTTATAAAGAATAGAATCTGGACAAATCAAACATGACTTTCCTCGAATCAAGAAATGAATTAAAGATTGTCTGCATTCTGCTTTTTCATTAGATTGTCAGTTACTTAGGCCATTTATTGTCTTATGGCTATTTGTTTCCAATGTAGTTTATTCAGAACAATCCAGACCAAAACTTGATTTTTCTCCTTTGTTCCCAAAAGTAGAATTAAAAGAGAGGGGGAAAAATAATATTAATCCAATGACCCTTTACTAGAACAAGAAGTTTCTATGTCTCCCTGCATTAGCCATGGTTTTAGGAAGACGCTGATCCTTCTAGTCACCCAGATTTCAATGACTGTATAGTTTGGTTTTTGCTTCCTGCCCTTACTGCACTATATCTCAAAATAGACTGCCCTCTTCAGAAAACAGCCAGAGAAGAGAATGAAAAGTATTGAAAACACCAAATCAACTGCTTTGATGGTCTGCAGTTGACTTTGGTCATAGTCCCAGGGTCCACTGGTACCCCCTGGGGCCTCTCACATGAAAAACACTCAATACATATGTAATGATAACATAGTCCCCACTACCACTAGTCAATGACAGACTGATTTGATTCCATAAGAACGTCATTTGTCTTTATAAGGCATGACATGTGAATTTGAAGGAATAAGAAAAAGTCCTATCAGATTTGGCTTTCCAGGTAGCTCAAATGGTAAAGAGTCTTCCTGCAATGCAAGAGACCTGGGTTCGATCCCTGGGTTGGGAAGATCCCCTGTAGAAGGGAATGGCAACCCACTCCAGTAGTCTTGCCTGGAGAAATCCATGGCCAGAGGAGCCTGGTGGGCTACAGTCCATGGGGTCACAAAGAGTCAGGCACAATGGAGCTACTAACATTTTCTCTATCAGATTTGCCCTTGAAGTTGGTTTTAGCAAAAATCTTCTAAAACTGTTTTGTCATTTACAATCAACAAGTTGCTCCCAATACTTTTGGAATCAGGCCAACTCTAAATTTTAAAATAAGTCACTATTCCTTCTAAAGTAAATACATTTATAAAATAAAAATTCTAATATCTTATTCTCTTCTTATTCCCAAAAGCTGTTTGGGATAGTTAATGTTCTCTGAGGCACAGGTACATGGTGGGGTGATTTGAGTTAGAGGCTAATGATGCTAATGGGAAGTGAAATACCAGTCAGTTTGTACAACCAATTAAACTTTAGGTACTGTTTCTAACTTAATGGGAAATTGATCTCTACTTATTACATCTGCATGAGAATGATGTGTCTGGGCAATCCACACAGAGAAAAAGACACTGAAGTAAGGGTCAAAAAGTTAGGCTGCCTTATAAACTATGATTTTGGAAAATCACCTAATATTTCTGTATGTCAGCTTTATCCTATACAACTTGCAGGCTATACCTCCTTCCCCATTTATCACAAAGATGTCGTAAGAACCACTTTTCACCACTTCTGCTATCCACCACTTTCCATCAGACCATCATCAAGTTTCGTCTGACTCCTGAAGTAGCCTAAAAACTGGTCACCTACTTCCACTGTTCCTGTCACCCCTTTTTTAAAACCTATATTGAGTCATTTATCCCAATACCTTCCAATCACATGCGTGCATGAATGCATGTTCAGTTGCTTCGATTGTGTCCAGCTCTTTGAGACCCTGTGGACTGTAATCAGCCAGGCTCCTCTGTCCATGGGATTCTCCAGGCAAGAATACTGGAGTAGCTTGCCTCGCCCTCCTCCAGGGGATCTTCCTGACCCAGGAAAGGTTACCAATGTAAAAATGTGAACTCGCATCTCCTGCATTGGCAAGCAGATTCTTTACCCACTGAGCCACCTGGGAAGCCCACCTTTCAATCACACTTAGAATAAATTCCAAATTTCTTACTACAGTCAATGGATACTCTGGTTGAATAATTTGTTTTCCAAAACTGAATATTCGCTAATAAGGAGGCCACCTTTCATAATTGCAGTTGAGATTAGACTGATGGTTCTCAGCCAAAAAAGAGAGATGATTTTGTTGCCCAGGGGAAATTTGAAACAGTCTTCAAAACAGTCTCTGAAGACAATTTTGGTTGTCACAACTATGACTGGTGGGGATGTTCCTGGTATCAGCCAGGGATGCTGTTGAACATCTTGCCATGCGCAGGACAGTCCCACGGCAAAGAATGGTTTGTCTTCAAATGTCAATAGTGCCGCGGTTGAGAAGGCCTAAAAATATACACTCTGCAAATTGGGAAGTATGGTCAGTGTCCCCATGAGGTCCTCCAAGCTTTGGCCCTTGCTCACCTTTTAGACTCTCCTCCTACCTAGCTCCCTCTGCTTTAGCCTGAAGCTTTGCACTTGCTGTCCACTGTCACACCCGCCTGCCTGGAACGCCCTTACCCCGTGGCGTGACTTGCTCCCTCTACGACTCAAGGCTCTTTCTCAGAGAGGTCTTGGGGGTACATTCATCCCAAAGTAACAGTGCTTCTTCATTATATTAATACTTCCCCACGCTTACCTTGCTCCGTGGTGTTTATCACTACCAAACATTGCATTGCATATTTGTTTCTGTGTTTATGTATTATACGTCTTTCTCATGGAAGCTCCACTGGAGAAACAGTTTTGTTTTGGGGACTGCTGTATTCCCAGTATCTAAAACAGAGCCTGCAGGGCCTCTGAACAGCTTCAAAAAAACACATTTCTCTGTGCTTCTGTGTGTAAATCAAGGATTCACCTGGAGATGCCTTTCTTGGGCTTATGGAAAGGGAAGACACTATGTGAATTTTCTGCAGAGAAAAAGAGCCCAGCCATGTGCATTTTTACCAAACTCCAGTGAAACCTACAAATGCACAATAGCCTTTTATGTCTAAAGAATATGCAAAAACATGTTAAGAAACAGGCCAGAGTAGTCTATCGATTCTTTCTCTGAAATTGAAAACAACCTAGAATGTGAACAGAGAATCTGGAACAATTGTGGACATTTGTTGGGTGTTCCCCTTTCCCAGAACTTACAGATTAATTAAAATAAGAAATGGCTAGTGGACAAATGGCTCGCTGCCATTGTGCTTTGAAAGATTTCTTTTGAATACTTAATACGTGTCATTTATAACAATGGTATGATAAAAACACTGAGTATAGCAAGATTATTTTTGAAATGTCAACAAAATACTGCAAATGTACAAATATTTGCTATCTAAATATAGCATCCCTCTCTTGCACTCTAACAATTTTTTTAATTTTTTTGAGGTCAAACACTTCAGAGCTTTGCAAGAACAAGCAAGGACCTACCTAGATCTTCTCTGCTCCATGTGTGACCTGTCAAACTCTTCAGTGAAAACTACTGCAAAAGATATTCAACAAACAGAACAAATGGTAAAAAAAAGTGTTTAAAAAAGTGACATTGGATATGTCTGTTTGATCATATTCTCTTGCTTGCATGTTGCTGCTGCTGCTGCTAAGTTACATGTGAAAAAAAAAATTCTCCTTGGATTATTCTTGCTATAATGTTCCTTCAGGCATTATAATAAGTATGTATTGAATTTCAACTGAGTCACAGAAAAGTAGGCACACTCTGATACGCCTCTGAAATGGAACTGAAATATTTAGTCCCATTGAACTGCTGAACATTTGTGCCTCTTTCCTCTTCTCTTTTCAATTAGCGTTCTTCTTCTTTTCCTATATTTTTCTGATCATTTTTGTTGTTGTTCTTTTCCATCCTTTTCTTTAGGTCATACTTAGTAAAAGAATGTATGAAAGGGACTTACTATGAAAGGGTCCTATAAAGTGCGTATGAAAGGGTCATACTTAGTATGAAAGGGACTCCTGACCCTTAAATTCTCTTAGGATAGCAAACATCCGTCATGACTCTTCTAATTCATCAGCAGTGGCTGAGGGTGGTGTTGATAAGGATCCTAAAGCTGTATTTGGGGTTTTTGGACAGGGTTGTGATGAATCAGCAGTACCTCTGCACAGCGGATAGATGGCACCATAGAGGTCATGTGCCTTCTACTGCTGCCTTAAACTCTGCAATGTGTTTGGACTAAAAAAAAAAAAAAAAAAGACCTGGTTTTGGTATTTAATTGATTAAATGTTCCAGAAGAGTAAAATGTTCTAAAAGAAAAAAGAAATTAAGATAAATAATTATAATATAAATATTAAAATAACATTTTTTTACTTTTATATTTTACTATATTACCAGAGCAAGTCTGTTTTTAAATCTTTAAGAAAGATGATATTAAAAAAAAGAAAGATGATATAGCGTCTATATTTTTTACAGAAATGGATTATTGAAAAAAGTTCAAAAACCAGTGAAGCAGATCTAAACATATATCCAAAACATTAATAACTCAGTGTTCTATAAGAGGTATCAGCAAATGTGTGATAGAGAACAATATAAGTCTTTTCTAGTTAACCCCAAGACCACATTGTTGAGTCTGTCAAACAGATGTGTCTACTGAAATGCCCCGTGTTAAAAAAAAAACCATCAGGGCAGCTTCTGACTTAATGAATTGGTAGAACTTCTAAAGCCTCACAGTACTGATTGAAATCGTATGGCATAAGTCTTTGACACTTGAAGTCTTTAGAAAACTGAAACATAAAATCCGTTTTTCTTGGAGCAAATAATTTGGGGGGGATTTATCACTGTGTGTGTGTGTTTGTGTGTGTACCCAAGTGTTGGCCTGTGTACATGGACAGGCTGATTTACTGAACATAAGTGTTTCTGTCTATTGCTGCTGACTTTTGCCTCTATGTTTTCTCCAGATCGAACAAAGGCTTGCCCAGGCACAGAACCTAACTCAGGGCTGGGAGGAGATCAAGCACATGAAGGCTGAACTCTGGATTTACCTCCAGGATGCCGATCAGCAGCTGCAGAATATGAAGAGGAGGCACTCAGAACTGGAGCTAAACATCGCACAGAACATGGTATCTCAAGTAAAGGTAGGAATTCACGTGTCTCCAGGGGAGACAGAGGCAACCAGCATGGGTATGTGTCGGCCAGTCCTTACACATAGTTAGTTAAAGAATAAGATAGAATCAGAACCACGTTCATTTGGTGCCAGAAAGGGTACAGATCAGAAAGTCAACATTCAGATATTTTCTGGGAGCTCCCGTTGGCTACTTGCATTGAAGGACATTCACTCTGTAGCTTGTTTATGAACAAAGCAACTGTGGTTCAGCTGGCGGAACCAGAAGGCTGTGTCTCTAAACAAACACAGAGCCTTACTATTTATTAGCTTCTCATCACAGAAATTGCTAAAGCTGTAGGAATGTAAATGTATCAATTTATTAAACATATATTTAGGCACTCCAGTGGTTAGGACTCGGCCCTTTTACCGCTGGGTCCTGGATTCAGTCCTTGGTTGGGAAACAAAGATCTTGCAAGCCACATGGCATAGCCAAAAAGTAAATAATAAATAAATATAATATGTAATATATATATATATTTATTAACATAGCTAGCTTAAATGTAATACAATATTTATATACTTAAAATGCAATAGAAAACTATTAAATTAACCTGATTGGAAGTTGTACCAGATTTTTAACAAACTTTAAGGTTTATATTTTCCCTGTGATAATCAGTCATTTATATTTTCTGCTGGAATGTTGTCTGCATATAGAGAAAGAAAAATAGAGAGGAGATAAATTAGATTTTTTTTTCAAAACCATGATCCTTAAAATTTTTTAGAAAGCTAAGGATACACTTTAAGATAAAATGTTAACTTTTTCTCTTGGTGACTACAATATTGTTCCACATTTATCAGTTTTTACTTTCCAAAGTAACACAAGAAGATACCGCAGTTTCCCTTTGACTCTTATATACTTGGAAATTTGTATTCATAAGAAAGCATGATGGCTTTCTCTGTCCCTCAGTATACATTCTTCAGTTACTTAAAGTGTTCAGAGGTACTTATCTGTGCTCCAACCTGTATTTATTTGAGGAGTGGGTTGTAATATATTGTGTATTTTATTGTTGTTATCCTTTAGGATTTTGTTAAGAAGCTACAGTGCAAACAGGCATCAGTGAACACTATTACAGAGAAGGTGGATGAGTTAACCAAGAAGCAAGAGTCCCCTGAACACAAGGAAATAAGTCATTTAAATGACCAGTGGCTGGATCTGTGCCTTCAGTCCAACAATCTGTGCTTGCAAAGAGAAGAAGATCTCCAGAGAACACGAGATTACCACGACCGTATGAACGTCGTCGAAGGGTTCTTAGAAAAATTTACCACAGAATGGGATAACTTAGCCAGGTAACAGCAGTTCTCTAGTGGGCCACCAAAATGCTAAGCCAGAAATTTCTTAATGTCTATAAAAATCAAAAATATCTTTCTTACATTTTAAACATCCATTTTCTATCATGGATGCATAAATCAAATTTAAATACTGATAAAACATTATTAAGAGTCTAGTGTGATTGTATGCATACAGAATCATGATTTTCCTCACACAATATTAATTTAAGTAGTGGATAAAAGGAAAATGTTTGAAAACAGTACTGATTCTACCTGTGACATCAGGAATATTTCAGAGCTGTTACACTTTAACTTTAAAGTACATCCCAAGAATATTTCTAGTTTTAATTACGTGTTACCAGGCTCTTATCTGTAAATTGAGGACATGAATCCTTCCTGAAACAAGTTCCATAGTTTTCTTGCCGATTCTGTGAAATAAGACATTCTATGTAATTCAGTCTAGTTTTTTCTTGTACTTCTGGTATTTGAGAACTTAGTGAACAATCTGAATTCAATTAATGTGTATCTTATGGCTTTCCTGATGGCTTAGATGGTCAAGAGTCTGCCTGCAATACAGAAGACCCAGGTTTAATCCCTGGGCAGGGAAGATCCCCTGGAGAAGGAAATGGCTACCCACTCCAGTATTCTTGCCTGGCGAATTCCGTGGACAGAGGAGCCTGGAAAGCTACAGTATTCAGAATCACAGAATCAGACATGACTAAGTGACAAACATATTTGATTTTATAGCAACTGAACTCCTCTTTACTTTTTCTTTGAAAAGGATTCCCTCACCCCCCACATACAGAAAGTCATCATATAGAAATCTTTCTGTAATTCTGATCACTATGATGTATTAAAATCTGTGCTTTTTCTGCCCGGATTTATTCATTTTTGGCAATTAAAACTGAAAACATATTTTAGGTGCAATTCAATCATGGGCTTTTTGTTTATGTGGATTTCTGTTTTAGAGGAGGTACACTACTTTCTGATGTGTTTACTTTTTCTTGATGCTCAACATTTTACTAGTCTTTGGGATAAATCCAGTGTCAGCAAAAACCTGTATTTCAGGCTGACAGTAGCACCTGGGTCTGATTAACCCACAAACACAACAGACTTAATATGTCCATGGCAACCCACTCCAGTATTCTTGCCTGGAGAATCCCTATGGACAGAGGAGCCTGGCGGGCTACAGTCCATAGGGTTGCAAAGTGTCGGACACAGCTGAGTGACTAAGAACAGTACAATATGTCTCAAACAGAAGTTATCATATAGACTCCCAACACGCCTTCTCATACTTCAGAACTAATTGTTTTGTAAGTGAAAAAGACTCTAAGATTCAATTTTTCCCATGTGTGTCTTATAGTCAGAGGAATGAGAATTCTTTGCATCTCACACTTACTTTTAAAACTTCTAATGATACACAGAAAATGTCTGAGTTATCCCAATGAGCAGCTGTTACAGTCATTGGTTATACCTTACACATGGCATACTGTCTTCCATGGGGTTTTTGCTGGAACTTCTCTCAGGAAAGCACAGAAATCACACATCACTTAATTCCTTTAAGTGCCATTGTCAAGAATGCAGTAGATCAGTGTTTCTCAGTATTTTGTGTTTCCACACATCATCAAGGGGTCTTGTTAACATGCCATGCAGATGCTGTTCTGTTGATGAGAGCCAGAGGAAGAAGCCACAAGTGCATGTCAGATGTGATGGGAGGGCAACCTTAGCTAACAAGAGCAGAGGTTGAGAGCAGAGAAGTTTCTAGGCAAACTATCTTGGTTCAACTTCTGCTATGGAAATATATGGGACTTATATTCTATAGTGGAGAATGAAATGGCAACCCACTCCAGGATTCTTACCTGGAGAATCCCATGAATAGAGGAGCCTGGTGGGCTACAGTCCACGGGGAAAGAGTTGGACACGCAACGAGTTGGACATGACTGAACGACTAACACTATATTCCATAGTAACTACAGAATCTCTGTCAATAAGCCGTGAATTGAGTAACTCTAAGCTAAGAACACCCACTTAAAGAAGATGGTAATGTGCAATTTAACATGATACAAACAAGCACAGATATGGACTAAAGTTAACTTGACTTTATGTGCTTTAATACAGATCTGATGCAGAGAGTACAGCCGCTCACCTGGAAGCTTTGAAAAAGTTGGCCCTGGCATTGCAGGAGAGAAAGAAGGCCATTGAAGACCTGAAAGAGCAAAAGCAGAAAATGATAGAACATCTGAATTTAGATGACAAAGAACTAGTCAAAGAACAGACGAGTCACCTTGAACAACGCTGGTTTCAACTAGAAGACCTCGTTAAAAGAAAAATCCAAGTGTCCATCACCAACCTGGAGGAGCTCAGTGTGGTTCGGTCCAGGTTTCAGGAGCTGATGGAGTGGGCGGAAGAGCAACAGCCCAACATCGCCGAGGCCCTGAAGCAGAGCCCCCCGCCTGACATGGCTCAGAACCTGCTCATGGATCACCTTGCCATTTGCAGTGAACTGGAGGCCAAGCAGATGCTCCTGAAATCTCTCACAAAGGATGCTGACAGGGTGATGGCTGATCTTGGCCTCAATGAGAGGCAGATAATCCAGAAGGCACTGTCTGATGCACAAAGGCACGTGAGTAGTCTCAGCGACTTAGTGGGCCAGAGACGGAAGTACTTAAACAAGGCTTTGTCCGAGAAAACCCAGTTTCTCATGGCAGTGTTCCAGGCGACCAGCCAGATTCAGCAACACGAGCGCAAGATAATGTTCCGTGAACATATCTGCCTGCTACCGGATGACGTGAGCAAACAGGTGAAAACATGTAAAAGTGCACAAGCCAGCCTTAAGACTTACCAAAACGAGGTCACTGGACTTTGGGCCCAGGGTCGCGAGTTGATGAAAGGAGTCACAGAGCAGGAAAAGAGTGAGGTACTGGGGAAGCTCCAGGAATTGCAGAGCGTCTATGACAGCGTGCTACAAAAGTGCAGCCATCGGCTGCAAGAGTTGGAGAAAAATCTGGTTTCTAGGAAGCATTTTAAGGAAGACTTTGATAAAGCCTGTCACTGGCTCAAACAAGCAGATATCGTTACCTTTCCTGAGATCAACCTAATGAATGAAACTGCCGAGCTGCACACACAGATGGCCGAATACCAACACATTCTCGAACAGTCTCCGGAATATGAAAACCTCCTACTTTCGCTGCAGAGAACTGGACAGGCCATCCTGCCCACGCTGAATGAAGTGGACCATTCCTACCTCAACGAAAAGCTCCACGCGCTGCCCCTGCAGTTTAACGTGATCATCGACCTGGCTAAAGACAAGTTCTATAAAGTCCAAGAGGCGATGCTGGCTCGGAAAGAATACGCCTCCTTGATCGAGTTGACAAGCCAGTCTCTACATGACCTTGAAGACCAGTTCTCCAGGATGAGCCACATCCCCGGCCACCTGAGTGTCGAAGAGGCTCTGTCTCTTCAGGATGGCTGGCAAGCTCTGGGGGGTGAGGTGGCAGGCCTCGCCAAAGCCGTGGACGAACTGAACCAGAAGAAAGAAAGTTTTCGCAGCACCGGGCAGCCATGGCAACCAGACAAGATGCCACAGCTCATCACCCTGTACCACAGGCTGAAGCGACAGACAGAACAGAGAGTGAGCTTCTTAGAAGACACCACCAGTGCTTACCAGGAACACGAAAGGATGTGCCACCAGCTAGAGAAACAGCTAGAGAGTGTGAGGATGGAGCAGTCCAAGGTGAACGAGGAGACGCTGCCCGCGGAGGAGAAGCTCAAAGTGTATCACTCCCTGGCGGGAAGCCTCCAGAATTCTGGAATTCTCCTAAAACGTGTGACCAGGCATCTCGAAGATCTCGTTTCGCATCTCGACCCCGCGGCTTATGAGAAAGCCAAGCATCAGCTCCAGGCCTGGCAAGAGGAGTTAAAACTGCTCACCTCTGCCATTGGCGCGACGGTGACGGAGTGTGAGAGCCGCATGGTGCAGAGTAGAGACTTCCAGACAGAACTGAGCCGCTCCCTGGACTGGCTGCGGAGCGTGGAGGCGGCCCTGAGCGGACCGCTGTGCCTGGACCCAAACCTGCGGGACATCCAGGAGGAGATCAGAAAAGTCCAGATCCATCAGGAAGAGGTGCGGTCCAGCCTGAGGATCATGAATGCACTGAGTGACAAGGAGAAGGAGAAATTCACGAGAGCCAAGGAGCTGATCTCCGCCGACCTACAGCGCACGCTGGCTGAGCTCTCAGAGCTGGACGGGGCACTGCAGGAAGCGCTCCGCACCAGACAGGTGGGTGCCACGGGGCTTCTGCTCCATTTTTCTCACTTCGCTTCTTTGTAAACAAGTGTGGGGCTTCCCTGGCAGATCAGCTGGTAAAGAATCTGCCTGCAACATGGGAGACCTGGGTTCGATCCCTGGGTTGGAAAGATCCCCTAGAGGAGGGCATGCCAACCCACTCCAGCATTCTTGCCTGGAGAATCCCCATGGACAGAGGAGCCTGGAGAGCTATGGTCCATGGGGCTGCAAAGAGTCAGGAATGAAGCGAGCAACTAAGCATAGTAGCAAACAGATATGAGTTGTTTTTTTTACTTTGAATTGCTTCCCTTAATATTTTTCTTTTCTCTTCTTTTCTTTTGCTACTTCATGGAATCATCTTCAATCACAACTTAAAAGGATGTTTTTACTGTTTATGCTCATGGTGTTCATTTCATGTGGTTTCCATGTTGATAAGACTTTTGTTTTAACGCAAGAACATCTTGGTTCTCTCTCTCCGTTTGGAGAGGTAGTAAACAATATAGTGGATGCTAAGTTGCTTCAGTCAGGTCCAACTCTGTGCGACCCTGTGGACCTTAGCCTGACCAGAAGTTTACTTGCTTTAATACCTTGGCCCATTTTCCCCACATCTGTTCTCAGTCCTTCTGATTCTATGGAATTTCAACCAGCCATAATATTCCAAGATGTGTATTTTTTAAAATTCATTCACCTGTGGATGGGCACTTTGGTTATTTCTATACCTTGACTATTGTAAATAACACTGGTACAAACATGAAAGTACAGATTTCTCTTTGAGGTAATGATTTTGTTTTCTTTGGATAAGTACCCAAGAGTGAGATTGCTGGATCATATTGGTGGTTAATTTCTTGAGGAGTTTCCATGCTGTTTTCCATAGTGGTTATACATTCCCAAGTTTACATTCCCACTGGCATTATTATACTCCTTCCTACCTGAGGAACTGGGTTTTCCCAGGTGGCACAGAGGTAAAGAATCTGCCTGCCATTGCAAGGAGATGCTGGAGATGTGGGTCCACTCCCTGGGTCAGGAAGAGCCCCTGGAGAAGGAAATGGCAACCCACTCAGTATTCTTGTCTGGAAAATTACATGGGCAGAAGAGCTCGGTGGGCTACAGTCCATGGGAGTGCAAAGAGTCAAATGTGACAGAACACACACACTCCCTAAGGCATTATTTCACTTTAGTGAATATTCATTCTGCCACATATTGCTAATCATTATATTTTTTCTTTAGAGAGAGGACATTTCAGAACCATCATAAATTTCTATTCTATCTATGTCCTTGCTTGTTTAACTGAGATAATAAAATTATAAGAAGAAGAGCTGAAGGAAAAGTACAGGATAATACTGAGATGTACCAAAAAAAACAAAAAAAAACAAATGTCACCAGCTCGTCAATTCACTTGCAGACATACCACCATGAGACTGAGACCTGAAAAGAAATGGAAGGTGTAAACAATCTTCGGGAAACATATCGCAAATGAGAGTTGATTGTGTTTGCTTTGCTGTTTTTCAGACTACCTTGACTCAAATATACAGTCAGTGTCAAAGGTACTATCAAGTGTTTCAAGCTGCTAACGACTGGCTTGAGGACGCTCATGAGATGTTACAGCTAACAGGCAACGGCCTAGATGTGGAGAGTGCAGAGGAGAGTCTCAAAAGCCACAGGGAATTTTTTAGTGCAGAGGATCAGTTCCACAGCAATCTGGAGGAGCTCCAAAGCCTGGTAGCCAACCTGGACCCACTCATCAAGCCGACTGGAAAAGAGGACCTAGCACAGAAAATGGCCTCCCTGAAAGAGAAGAGCCAGATGATAATACAGGATTCACATGCCCAGTTAGATCTCTTGCAGAGGTACAGAAATTACTTTGTTCTTTATATTCTAGTGAAATGGGTTTTCACATGGAAAATAGAAAAATATTAAGGATGTACATGGGCTTCCCTGGTGGCTCAAATGGTAAAGAATCTGCCTGCAATTCAAGAGACTGGGGTTCAATCCCTGGGTTGGAAAGACCCCTGGAGAAGGGAATGGTAACTCACTGCAGTATTCTTGCCTGGGACATCCCACAGACAGAGGAGCCTGGTGGGTTACAGTCCATGGGGTCGCCAAGAGTCAGACATGACTGAGCAACTAAGCAGAAGCAGGAGCTCAAGGATGCAGATTATCATGTCAATTCATTCTTTTGAGTATCCCTAGACGTATTGACCTCAGAGCTCTTGCATAGAAATGTGTGACTTTAAGTTGTCTCTTGACTTTTGTTGGATTTCGTTCAAGATGTGCAGCTCAGTGGCAGGACTATCAGAAAGCAAGGGAAGAGGTTATAGCATTGATGAATGAAGCTGAAAAGAAATTGTCTGAGTTTTCTTTATTGAAGACTTCTTCCAGTCACGAAGCAGAAGAAAAATTGTCAGAACATAAGGTTAGTTTGCCGTTGTTTTTAATACTCTTGTCATTGTAGCTGTAATGGGTCTTTGCACTATGAGAGTTCAAGAAGCAAGTCAATAAATCCTCATTTCCACGAGGGCTGCTTAAGCACAAAAAAGGATATGTTTAACCACATTTCATAGCAGTTTTAACTTAATTAAGTGCTGTCACTCATTTAGCATTCCAATGGAAATGCATAGCTAGGTTTAAAAAGATATCTTCAGAGAAATTTGCTTCTGATAATATGTGACATAGTAGATTTCAGTAAATACCTTCTGATGTAACTTAGATTACTTCAGTTGAAATTCAAAAGTTAACAACTTGAGTCTCACTCATGTATCACAGCAATATAAGGTAGAATGTGACATACTTAAATATTAAATTCTGTTTACTTATACTTTTGATAATTTTAAAAAATGGGATAATGTCATTCAGACAGATTGCATGTCAACTTTTTACTAAATATTCACCTTACTGCTTTAGAAAACTCAAGCCTAACTCAATTACAAATTAAATGTAAAAGTAAGAATTACCAGAGGAAAATAAGTGTATGTAGGAACATTTTCTTTTGCAGGTAATTTTGGACTTTACCAAAATCCATAGAGTTTTTGAAAAAATTATCTCTCCCTTCAACCTCTCTACTCCTCTTCCCATTCCAGGCTTTAGTGTCAGTAATAAACTCCTTCCATGAGAAAATCGTAGCTTTAGAGGGTGAAGCTTCAGAACTGGAAAGAACCGGAAATGATGCAAGCAAAGCAGCCATAAGCAGGTCAACAACAGCTGTCTGGCAGCGTTGGACGCGTCTCCGCGCTGTGGCCCAGGACCAGGAGAAGTTACTGGAAGATGCAGTGGATGAGTGGACGAACTTTAACAATAAGGTAATCACCATTACTGATGGGCTCAAAGTAATGTCTCCTCGCTGATGAGAATGTATCTCAAAAGCAATGTTTTGTCCCTCTTTTGAAATTGGCCTTATGAAAGTAAAAAGCCTTTTTAAAAAATCTCTATCTCCATGACTGGAAAACCAAATCATGAAATAAAATACATAATACAATGTGCAATTTGGTCCCAAGTCCAGGCCCATTTATTTTAATAAGAGAGAAAGAAACCAAGCAATTGCATTTTGAGAGGAGAGCAAGCCAATTTTGCCCCATTTGTGGGGCTCTTAGTGAAACTTTCTTTCCTGGCCCTGAAAAAGTGCAAAATACTTTGTCTTTCCATGAAATAAGGAAGGAATTTGACTCATTTTTCAAATCATGTTTAATATCTTCTATTTTTTAAACAGGGTTCAGTGTTTTAAGCCACATCTTCCTTTGTGACTCAAAGGCACATATTCATGTTAACATAAATCCCCCTTTTCTATGTTATGAAGTCCCTCATTGCCCTAACATTATTTTGAGATTTAAATCTTGAAACCCAGAATAATAGAAGTGGCCTTTTCTTCCATGTTAAGAGAATTGTTCATGATTTAGCTTCCCAAGATTTAGAGTTGACACCATCATCTCTACCGTGCTTCAACGTTTTAGTGTCAAATGTGGCGTTTGTTGGAATAGTCCTCTCTTTTTCATTTTATTTACTTTTGAACTTCATAGTGTGTGCATTTGTCATCAGGTTAAAAAAGCCACTGAAATGATTGATCAGCTGCAAGATAAATTACCCGGAAGCTCAGCGGAGAAGGCCTCAAAAGCAGAACTTGTAACATTTCTTGAATATCATGACACATTCATCCTGGAGTTGGAACGGCAACAGTCGGCCTTAGGGATGCTGCGACAACAAGCGCTGAGCATGGTCCAGGATGGAGTCACACCATCCCCTGGAGGAGAGACACCCACGGTGCAGGAGATCACAGCCATGCAGGACCGGTGCCTGAAGTAACTATACGCCTGCCCTCTTTCTCTGTTTCTAAACTTGGCCATGACCAAAAGGGACAAATGGGGTATTAAGAGTCTTGGGGGAGCTCCACCATGCCACCTTAAAAACATGGGCATCTATTCCTATCATCCTTGCTACCCAGTACATGTCTAGTCATACTAGAAATGTAGTGATGAAGCAAGCAGATTCAATCTCTTACCTTCAGACAGTTTGCAGTCAAGCAGCAGAGGTAGACAACTAAAGATGCATTTAGGTGGAACATTTGAAGGAGGCTAAGAGAAATCAGAGCAGAGGCAACTAACCTAGGAGAGGAGTCAAGTAAGGCTTCCCCTCAGAAGGGATATTTAAGTTGAAAACTAAGCAGGCTTGAACTAGCCAATGAGGTAGGAGGAGAGTTCTGAAGACAAGGGAACAGCAAGTAAGCAAGCTTGGAAGTAGGTACATCACTTTCAAGAGACCCACGGGTGATGGGGCAATTCATGAGAAATGAAGCTTGAAAGGTTAACAGTTGGGAGCTGCTGAGAATTAGGTTTTGATAACTCTTGATTCCTCTTTGGCTAAATTGGATGACAGAGAGGTTAGAGCAAGGATGATACCAAAGTCCAGGGAAATAGGAGTCATTTACTGATAGTGAACGTAGAGAAAGTTAATCTTAGTGATATATAACCAGCTTGATTTACTTATTAGTCCAAAGAGGATATGTCACTATTTGGTTTAACTCCTGAATTGACTAATATTAGGTGGGCCTAGTTGCTCAGTCTTGTCTGACTCTTCACGACACCATGGACAGCAGCTCCCCAGGCTCCTCTGGGCATGGGGTTTCTCCAGGCAAGAATGCTGAAGGGGGTTGCCATGCCCTAGTCATATATCACTCATACATATCCTACATTCACCCCTTCAATTATAGATGAATTCAGGATAATCTGACTCCACGTACTTAAACTTTGTGACCAAATTATGTCAATTTAAATAAAGACATAATTTGGATGCTGAACACTATTAATCATAAAATATCCAAAATTTGATTATTTAAAGGCTAGTTTCTAATAGGCACAAATATTCCAATTATACGCTAATTTTTAAGGTTGATGATTCTATACCATATAAGTAGATTTCCAAAGAGGAAATTAAAAAAAAATCAGTCTCCAGGTTATTTTAGACAGGAAAATGGATTGCAGTGTAGTGGCATGGGAGTATGTCAGCTCTCCATTTTCCGGGGATAAATCATTCACTTCACATTAAGTGTATTCTTGTTGTATTTAAAGTAAGTTTAAATGTTACTGAAAATTATCTGGCAGTTTGCGGGAAGTGTCTTGACTTGGAAAAAAATAGAAGGTTTCACTTTTTAATGTCTGTTTTTGACAATGTGATGGCATGCATTGGGGGCTTCCTTTCATTCCATGCCTGCTTTCCCCCCTTAACGTTCCTGAAGCATGCAGGAGAAAGTCAAGAAGAATGGAAAGATAGTAAAGCAAGAGCTCAAGGAGCGAGAAGTGGTGGAGACGCAAATCAGTTCAGTAAAATCTTGGGTTCAGGAAACGAAGGAATACTTGGGGAATCCAACCATAGAAATAGATGCTCAACTTGAAGAACTTAAGGTACAAAACTCATTCCCTAGGCTCATCATTTAAAAAAAACCGTGCTAATTTTAATCAGATATTCTTGTTTATATTCAATGATATATTGAAGTGAAATCTTTTAGAAATGTTTTACTTGAAAAGCTCTTAGTGTTAGTTCATTGGACATTCTTTTATTCCATATAAAGTGGACGTGCTTCTTATTTAGAGACTAAAGAAAAGCTTGCTTTTTGTAAATGTGTTTCTCTAATTCCACACATAATCCAATTTTGAGGAACAATACATATCCTTGTCTCTGTACCTGTAAAAATCAATTTCCTTATCTGGCTCCTAGAAATTTCTTATGTTGATCTTTCCTTCAGATCCTCCTAACAGAAGCCACAAATCACCGACAGAATGTTGAAAAAATGGCTGAAGAACAGAAGAATAAGTACCTTGGTCTTTCTACTATATTACCTTCTGAACTCTCCCTTCAACTAGCTGAAGTGGCCTTGGACTTAGGAGCTATCCATGATCAGGTAAACCTACAGTCAAGAAAGAGCAGCTTTCCATTCTTTATCGGTTCAGTGCTCTTATATAATGGTGCCAGATTTTCACAGTCATGGAAACAGAGCTTAAAAACAGATCAGTATTAAACAATAATATTAAATGAGAGGTTTTATTCATAGGCAAGAAGCATATGAAATGATATTAAATGTAAGCAATGATGTCAAACATTGAAGATAATTTATATGATTTCCCTAACCTTTCCCCCAAAAATCAATTACTCAAAGAAACAAAGAAAGCAAGATATATTTCATGTATTCAACAAATATTTATTGAGTACCCAGAGTCTGCCAGGCACTCTTCTATTTGTTATTTTAGTTCAGTGGTTCAGCATGATGTAGTAGGTGAAGATATTTGAATAAAAGGAAAACAGTTAAAAATGAAGTAGAATCAGGAATGAGATTTTTATCGAAAATTCATGCTGTAGGGTCCTGTATTTTATCTAGAGGAAGGTCTATCAGTCTAACTTCAAAACAACCAAGTAAAGGAGTGAAACATAATACGTGTGTGTGTGTGTATATATATATATATAGTTAAATCTTTTCTTTTTAAGGAAAGTGTTACATAGCCATTCATAATACTTAGAACACGGGGAGATTTTTATATTAGACTTCATAAGGAGGACAACTTCCATGTATTTTATGAAAATAGCTTCAGTAACATCTGTATGCAAGCATAATTGGTTTTAGCACCTTCTTGGTGGTCTAATGCTAAAGCAATTTAGTTAAAACTGGTCAATAGAACAAAGAGAGGATAGTTCTAAAATGCTGCATGAGTAAATCCATGGCTAATTCATGTCAATGTATGACAAAAACACTACAATATTGTAAAGTAATTAGCCTCCAACTAATAAAAATAAATGAAAAAAAATAAAATGCTACATGAAATGCAAAGTAGTATTGCACTATAATATTCATGCAAGTATGCTGTCCCTTTTGAACTTGCCAGTGTATGATGCAATGTGTTTAAAAATTCTCATCAAAATCCAATTTTACTGCATCATGCGTTTGACCTAAATTAAAATGCTATTTTCTATTTTAAATATTTAATTTACTTATTTGTTTTTCTTAGACATTGGAGGTTTCGTCAGGAAGGATGACTTGTCAAGTTCAGATCTTAAAAAAAGAAGTTCAAATCTCATTTTTTTTTAATCCCCTCTGGATAAATTTCCCTATTATAAAAGTATTCATATGCATTCCATTTATGTCAGCACTCAACTGAAAATAATGAAATTTTTAAAAAGTATTCATTTCTTGATATATTTCCCCACTGCTGAGGAGATTTTATTCTGGCCATGTTATGTGAAGAGCCAACTCACTGGAAAAGACCCTGATGCTAGGAAAGATTAAGGGCAGAAAGAGAAGGGGGCGACAGAGGGCGAGATGGTTGAATGGTGTCACCAACTCGATGGACATGAGTTTGAGCAACCTCCAGGAGACGGTGAATGACAGGGAAGTCTGGCGTGATGCAGTCCATGGGGTCACAAAGAGTCAGACAGGATTTCACAACTGAACAACAGCAACAAAGGAGATCTGATTTGACAAAACATCTACTTCTGCTTCACTGACTGTGCTAAAGCCTTTGACTGTGTGCATCACAGCAAACTGTGGACAATTCTTAAAAAGATGGGAATACCAGACCACCTTACCTGCCTTCTGAAAAATCTGTATGCAGGTTAAGAAGCAACAGTTAGAACTGGACATGGAACAACAAACTGGTTCCAAATTGGGAAAGGAGTAGACTTGCTTATTTAACTTATATGCTGAGTACATCATGTGAAAAGGTGGGCTGGATGAAGCACAAGCTGGAATCAAGGTTGCTGGGAAAGGCATCAATAACCTCAGATATGCAGATAGTACCATCCTTATGGCAGAAAGAGGAATTAAAGAGCCTCTTGATGAAGGTGAAAGAGGACAGTGAAAGAGCTGGCTTAAAACTCAACATTCAAAAAACAAAGATCATGGCATCTGGTCCCATCACTTCATGGCAAATAGATGGGGAAAGAATAGAAACAGTGAGAGACTTTATTTTCTTGGGCTCCAAAATCACTGCAGATGGTGACTGCAGCCATGAAATTAAAAGACGCTTGTTCCTTGGAAGAAAAGCTGAGAGAGTCAATTCCTAGGCAGATTGATAAGAAGTCTGGGGTCCCAGAGGAGGAGAAAGGGGTCTGCAGTTCTCAAGGAGGACGAGGAGGAAAGGACAAACCTTTTTTCTTTTCTCTACATTCCTTAGTCTTAGTCACATAAAATGTTGTTGTTGTTGTTGTTTTTTCTTTAAGCCTAGAACTGATGATTACACAACAAACAACTCAGTTTGTTGTTATACGGATTATACAACAACAAAGTATCCTGCTTGAGGACAGTCCCTCCTTCCTAAAAACCTACTGACTAATCCTGATATCTTAAAATGTAAATTGTGGGAGTGGGTCTAGTAGGATCTTTCTATTGTTAAATTCTAATCCTGTTATCCTAAAATTTAAATTGTTGGAGTGGATCTGGTAAAGTTTTTAAACCTCCAGACATTCTTTTGATTTATTGTAATAAATAATTTAAAAAGTATATAACTCCCTTGCTAACACTAGCGAGGGGGGCACTCTCCGTCCCCCTTCTGATCTCTATGTCAGAATCTTTCTCTGTCCCTTTTTACTTTAATAAAACTCTGCTCTTGAGTGATCAAGCCTGGTCTCTGGTTCTGAAGTTAATTCTTCTTCTTCGGAGATCAGGAATTCGATACTATTCACCGTAAGCTGTCAAAGCTATGACCAACCTAGATAGGATATTAAAAAGTGGAGACATTACTTTGCCAACAAAAGTCCATCTAGTCAAAGCTATGGTTTTTCCAGTAGTCATGTATGGATGTGAGAGTTAGACTAAAATAAAAATCGATGCTTTTGTACCGTGGTATTGAAGAAGACTCTTGAGAGTCCCTTGGACTGAGGAAATCATTCCTGAATATTCATTGGAAGGACTGATGCTGAAGCTAAAGCTCCAATATTTTGGTCACCTGAGGCAAAGAACTGACTCGTTGGAAAAGAACCTGATTCTGGGAAAGATTGAAGGCCACAATGGAGGACGAGATGGTTGGATGGCATCACCAAGTCAATGGACATGAGTTTGAGTAAGCTCCAGGAGTTGGTGATAGACAGGGAAGCCTGGCGTGCTGCAGTCCATGGGGTTGCAAAAAATCAGACACAACTAAGCGACTGAACAACTACAATATATTACAAAATGATCAGCACAATAAATTTAGTTAGTATTCAAAACTACATATAGTTATAAAATTTTTTCATGTGATGAAAACTTTTAAGAACTACTCTCTTAACAACCTTCAAGTATACAGCATAGGAATGTTAACTGTAGTCACCATGCTACTATATATTACACCCCCAAGACTTAAAGATATTTTTAAAGGCCTTTCATTTATGTAAAGGAAATATTTCTTTACCACGTTCTCATCACCATTTTATTATAAGCAAAATATAAATGTTTGCTATCACATCAAATTAAAGCCATTGGAAATGTGTAAATATTAACTGTTATTTTTTCATTTTCCTTTCCACTGGATGCGCTCAGTGCTTTTTAGTCATACTGTAAGATGGTAATTGGAAGTTAGAGAAAGTGTTAACAGGCCATTAACAGCTACTTATGAAAAGGTGCACAGAAACAAATATGTGTGCCTTCAGTTATCTGGAAGTGGTTTCCATTTTATGAAGAAAAAGGCTTAGAGTGTGTGTGTTTAAGGTCACACAGTAAATGGAGAAGACAGAATTGAAACTCAGCTATCTACACTGCTATCTGTAAACAGTTGATGAGTGAATCATTGTGCATGTGTTGCTTGTTCCTTTGCTGAAATAGCAGCAGAAAGTGCAGTAAATACATAAAAATGTCAGGAGGTAAGGCTGCAAGGAACACCAGGAGAGCTTGTAACTGCACGTGGCTGGTTTCAGGAGGTACATGGACGCCAAAGCAGTACTGACGACCTACAATGCCTTTTGGCAACATCTGAAAATTGAGGTTATTAGTATTAATTATTCAGTTTTAACCATGATTGGTTTTCCTGTTTTTATTGACTGTTTAGATCCAGGACAAAGTAAAAGAAGTTGAACAGAGCAAGGCCATGAGTCAGGAATTCAGCCAGCAAATTCAGAAGATAGCCAGAGATCTCACAACTATTCTCACCAAGCTGAGAGCAAAGACAGATAATTTAGTTCAAGCTAAAACTGACCAAAAGGTAAAGAAGGGGAAGTGGAAACATAAGGGGTGCTATTCAATGCCTTAAATATTTTGGATGCATTAGTTTATTTTGAAGATATTTAAAAAATAAACAAAAACTTTCTTATCAGGCTTCATCAAAACCAGACAATAAAGGCAGGTAGTTTGTAGTTCAGCTTGTGAAGAATTTGCCTGCAATGCGGGAGACCCCAGTTCAATTCCTGGGTTGGGAAAATTTCCTGGAAAAGGGATAGGCTACATGCTCCAGTATTCTTGGGCTTCCCTGGTGTCTGTCAGTAAAGAATTCACTTGGCAATGCAGGAGACCTGGGTTTGATCCCTGGGTTGGGAAGGTGCCCTGGGGGAGGGCATGGCAATCCACTCCAGTATTCTTGCCTGGAGAATCCCCATGGAAAGAGGAGTCTGGCGGGCTATAGTCTATGGGATGTCAAAGAGTTGGACACGACTGAGTGACTAAGCACAGCACAAAGAAATTTTATAAGTACAATAGTATAATTTATTATTATAGTAAAACGAAACTCATAAAGATATATGTATATGTAGGTAAGAGGGAAGAGTGTCAAAGGCCTAAATGATGGTTGAGTAACTTAAGTACATCTATACATTTCAAAATGAAGGAAGTTCTTGTAGTTAAATCTGTGTTCTCACTCTGCCAATGAGTGAAGTGACTAATCCTTTTTGGGTGGGACAGAAGGAAAATTTTAGCTCTCTGAGCCTCATAGGAAATAAACACCAGAGTTACAAAACATCCTGCTCTCCCTTTCCAACCAAAGAAACAGAAATGAGCAGATCATAGTAGAATTATTCTTTATAATGTTTTACTTTTATAAAAATCATTTAAAATACAATCCTTCTGATTCTGGAAAATCTGGGAAAATTTGTTTTCAATAGTCTAATGTTCTTTCCTCTTGATGACTGTCCAGGTGCTAGGAGAGGAATTAGATGACTGTCACTTAAAATTAATGGAACTGGATAATGCAGTGCAAAAATTCTCCGAACAGAACGGCCAGCTAGGTAAACCACTGGCCAAGAAGATAGGAAAACTGACTGAACTTCACCAGCAGACCATTAGACAGGCCGAGAACCAGCTCTCTAAGCTCAACCAGGTATGTTTTCCAGGCTGGTAATCAACATTCTCTATGGCCGAAATTCAGTTTTGTTTTTTGCTTTTAACAATAAACAAAAAAAATAATATCAACAATAAGAGTAATTTGAGTGTAGCTTATCTCATATCATGCCTGTATTTCTAATATTTATTTATACATGTAAACCTGACTTCATATCAAACCATATTATAAATTCATTCACAAAGGTTTTCATATAAATGGACTTTTTAATAAATATATATATGTTTATCTTTACTTTAATCTTTACTTAATTGGTTCAGGTCACACATCATCATAATTGCTGAGTATAGACTGAACTTTTGCAAATTGAGTATGTTGTTTTTTTTGCCATCAAATATGAGTTAAATCAGAATTTGCAACCAGTAAATTATAATATTGAAAGTTATAATCCCCACCTACCATACCTCCTTACTCAGTGAAGGTAGAGTATGAGAAAGGGGAGAGAGAAGAGCTATATGGAGGAATAAGAGATGAGAGTAGAGATTTTTTTTTAAAAGACATATTAGTCAAGCATATTAGGAAATTGGACTTCATCTTAATGTCACTGGGAAGTCTTTTTTTTTTGGAAGTCTTTAATAGGTTTTCAATAAGGAAATTATTTTTCATGATACCTTTAGATATCATAGATATTATAATGATCAATGCCCAGGATTATTGTGTCCAAAGAAAAATAGAAGACTGATTTCTAGCTCAAGAAGCAGAGTATACATTTTTTATCTGAATGGTAATGATTTATTTTTCAGGCAGCATCCCGTCTAGAAGAATACAATGAAATGCTTGAGTTAATTTTAAGGTGGATTGAGAAAACTAAAATCTTGATACATGGAAAGATTGCATGGAATTCTGCAAGCCAGCTTCGAGAACAATACATTTCACATCAGGTAACTTTAGGAAAAATAGTTTTCAAAAGGTAACTAAGAGGGTAATTTTATTTAACTGGCTAGATTGACAGAGAATTTGGAGGAACGTGATGAAAAATTATTGAAGATGCCAAGAAAAATGAAAGCCAAGGTAGCTTTAACAACTTGTCATGGGGATTTAAAAAAAAAAAAGGCAGCTTCCCATAAGATTTCATAAGACTGAATAAGTAAATAAATATCCTTTATTGCCTCTAAATTTTCCATTCCATAAGACCAAAAATAATCATCCATATAGTATCTTTTTTTTTTCTTGGCAGCTTCTTTGAAACAATAGTACACAGGGATATGGTGGGAAATTCTACCCTGAGGGAGAGATGTAGGGACACGTGGAAAGATCACAGGCTCTAGACTCAGACTGATGGGAAAACCAAGTCCGGCCACTTAGGGCTGTGTACTTTGGAGCAAACTACTTTGCCCTTCAGAATCCAGTCTTCTCATCAGTAAGATGGAGATGTAAATGATGTGCATATTGCAGAGCTGTCACGAGGATCAAATGGTTTAACATATGTGCAGTCATCAGGAACAACACCTGGCACCTGTGGGCTCGGTCAGAGCCTGAATCTCCTGCCTCCTCCTTCCAGCGCTTCCGCCTGGTCACAGTGGGCTGACCTCCTGCAGGAAGTAGGGGCCAGCTGGAATGAGTCCACACCACATAGGGGCTGCATGACTTCACTTCCTCTGAAGTTTTCTCTTGGCCATATCATCCAGGAAATTATTTCATCTTTTTAAATTTAGGTTTGAGTTAGATACAAATATCTAGTAGCCCAGTTATCTGGCCATCAAATACAAAATAGTCCTTATTTAAGTTACATGGATATCCTCAAGTATGTTAGATTTTCTTAGTATGTTCTGATTTTTGTATACTCATGTCTTTTAAATACATCCTCTTTTCCACTCCTGTTGACAGGATTCTAGATCAAAACCTCATTTTCCCCTTCTGGGAATGCTTTAGCAGGCTCCTAATTGGTTTCCCTGTATTTATCCTTCTTTTTTTTTTATCATGATTATCCTTCTTTTCTAATCAATCTTGCACTCTCCTCTCAAGAAATCTTTCTTAAACAACTGCAGAGTTGTTCTGCTTGAGGATCTGCATTATGCATTAACAGACAAGACTTAAGTTACAACTGATTGTAGACAATGGAAAATTACTCATTAGAAACCTAGAATGCAAACTTAAAAGAAAGCATTTTCATTGTCAAGTTAACACTATTATTTAAAAGCTCATATTTAAGGAAGCGAGAGCTCTCAGACACTGTTGGTAACTTGGTAAAATCTCTTTGAAAAATAGTTGGAAAATGTATCATGCTCATCGAAACATTACTACTCTGTAATCCAAAATGTAGGAAATTTTTTACATGAGTATTAATAACTATACTGAAATTTTAAAGAAAACTTAATATTAAAAAAGGTTTTCTGAATAAATTTTTGGATTTAATCAGATATAATGTAGACCATGAAGGTTTAATTGACCGTGAAGGTTTTAATTGACCATGAAGGTTTTCTTCTTTTTAGTTTTTAAAAATAGCCCCTATTCTCGTTCATTTATTTATTCAGTAAACATTTATAGAGTGCTTTCCAAAGCTAGGAATTTTGTTAGGCGTTTGAAATACAAAGAATATTCCCTGCCCCGCCCCAGGAAGTTGAAAACTGAAGGGAGAAAGGAGACAGAGGGGGTTCCCAGGTGGTGCAGTGATTAAGAGTCCGCCTGCCAATGCAGGAGACTAAGGAGACACAGATGTGCCCCCTGGGTTGGAAAGGCCCCCTGGCATAGGAAATGGCACCCAACTCTAGTATTCTTGCCTGGGAAATCTCACGGACAGAGGAGCCTGGTGGGCTACAGTCCAGCGGGCCGCAGAGAGTCAGGCATGGCTGAGTGACGAAGCACCAGGAGATAGGTTAGATTAAGGAAGGAAAGAAAAAACCCACCTGCCAGTGCAGGAGATGCAAGAGATGCGGGTTCAAGTCCTGGGCTGGGAAGATGACCTGGAGGAGAGCATAGCAACCCACTCCAATATTCTTGCCTGGAGAACCCCACGAACAGCAGAGCCTAGTGAGCTACAGTCCATGGGGTCACAAAGAGCCAGACACGACTGAAACGACTTAGCACAGATCAGCAGCACAAGGGAGGAAAAGGTGATTCTGAGCTGAGTCCTAAAAGACACACAGCCTGAAACGCCGAAAATCCCGGCAGAAAGAGGGAGGGATGCTTGGTGCACTGAGGAGGAGCTTTGCTGAGAGCTGGAAAGAGGTCTGAGAGGTAAGAGAAGACAAAGACAGGTCTTGAGAGCCTGTGAAGACCTTGACCTTTCTCCTGAAGTCATGGTAAGCCTTTGACAAACATTCTGCAGGCAAGTGACAAGCTCAGACTTACAGTTTCAGAGAGGTGACTTAGAAGCCTGTGGAAACAGATTGATGGAGGTAAGACAACATAGACAGTGGTTTCAGAATTCCAATAGACAGTGACAAAGCCTCTCTTAGGAGGCTGAGAGGACAAAATCAAGGGGCTTTACCAAGTGAGAATTCTGGACTTGGAGGCTTCTGGATGTGGGTAAAAGAGAAAGAGGTGCCCAGGATAGTTGCCAGGTTTTTCTGACTTGGGCAGGTGGCTGGGTTGAGTGCATCGAGGGCATGGGGGGACAGAGGTCAGGTGTTGGCGGTGACCTCACACAGGTGCTCAGGAGAGAACTCAGCCTGCACACAGCGTTCCAGGGAGTTCTTTCATGCCTGCCTGCCTTAAGAATGAATGAAAACTGCCTGAGTTTATCCAAAAACAGTGCACAGAAAATGCATGTGTTTTAATGCCAGGCGAAAAAGATAGGAAATTGTAGGTGTCTTATGATCTCAATCACCTAAAATTATACCCAAATTGAACAGCAGTTATCCCTTACTTAAAGTCATCCCTGGGGTATGGGATTGTGGAGTATTTTATCTTCTTTATTTTTCAATATATTCTAAGCTTTATAATATATGCTATATAACACATGTATATGATATTGTGAGAGAAAACGATATACTTTACTTTTTAAAAAAGGGATCTATTGCAAAAGAGTAATGTCCCACCTCCTGTTTTTCCTCTTTACACATCGCATGCCCCAGGAACTGCACATTTTGTCCCCACTCACCTATGTGCCTTTGCTTATGCTGTCCCTTCAGCATAAAAGGTCTTTCCTCTTCCTCTCCATCTGTACAAATACAAACATTCTCTGACTTAGCTCAGATGTGACTTTTCCAGGAAGCCTTCTCCCAACTATCCTACAGGTAATAGCACCTCTCATTTCCGGCATCCCTAACCCTTTCTTCTCTTTCACTCTACTCATACAACACATATTATATGCTTATTATTGCACATTATTCATATGATTGTTAGTCTCAATAGATGCTGCTGTCCTGAATGACAAGGGATTTGTTTTATCCCAAATAGTTTCTACCCCTTTGTCTCACTTCAATCGTTTGTGTCTTATTTTCGTATCTTAGATTCATATATGCTTAGAGCTTAGCTATAGAATATGAGAGCTGAAATGCCTCTCTTTAGTTGAATATGAGAAAAGAGAGGCCAGTGAGCTGATGAAGACACCCAATGCCTCAGAGCATCACCACTGCTAGAATATCCGTGCCCTGATTCTCACCAGGGAGCAGCTTGGGGTGGCAGATGGTTCAAAACATGTGGCCTCAACAGATTGTTTACAGGTCCTAAACTTTGATTTCTTTTTCTCTGAAAAGAGGGTGACAGGAAGTGGGAAGCAGGCACAGGGCTGTGAAGTTTAAGCACAATAAAATACACAACCTACACAGTGTATACAGGCAATGTAAATTAAATCTCTTTATCCCTTTCCCAATCTAATGGTCTTTACACCATACTGTACTGATTACCTCTTTACCTGCTTATCAATGTCCTGGATGTTGATAATTCACTCTAGACCATGCTAGAAGAATCGGAAGATATTCACAATGATCTGGAAGCAATGACCGAGATATTACAGTACCTCGATAGTGTGTACCATACAGAAACAATGTCTCAGCAAGTGGCAGACCTGGGGCGGGAGACTGAGGAGCTGCGACAGGTGATCAAAATTCGCTTACAGAGTCTCCACGATGCTGCCAAGGTAAAAAAAAAAAAAAAAGTTATTTAAATGGAAAAGTCTATCATTATGGGCTTCCCAGATGGCACAGTGGTAAAGAATCCTCCTGGCAATGCAGGAGACACAAGAGATGCAGTTTTGATCCTTGGGTTGGGAAGATTCCCTGAAATAAGTGGCAACCTGCTTCAGTATTCTTGCCTGGAAAATTCCATGGACAGAGGAGTCTGGCAGACTATAGTCCAGGGGGTCGCAAAGAGTCCGATATGACTGAGCGACTGAGCACACACATCATTAAAAACAACAATGATGGGACATCCTTAGCAGTCCAGGGGTTAAGACTCTGTGCTGCCAATGCAAAGGACGTGGGTTTGATCCCTGGCGGGGGAGCCAAGATCCCACATGCTGTGACCATAAAATAAAATACACAGATACATTTTTAAAGTAAAAACAAATGGTGGCAGAAAGTGCAGGTAGAGTGCTCACCTCTAATGAGCCTTCTTGTATGAATGTTACCCTCTTATGCCTGAGGCATGGTGAGGTCACACAGTACCATACCGTTGGAGTTTGAAGCAGACAAAGGTTTATTTCAGGGCAGATGACTCATGTTCAAAAAACCCATGACATCTCGAAGGGTTTCAGAGTTTTGAAGCATCTGTGATCAGCTCATGCACAGTTCTCTGATTGGCTGATGGTGAGGTGACAGGGTGGTGGCTTAACATTATCAGCCCTTAAGCTCCAGGATGCCTGGAGCTGTGTGCTCTTGGTCTTCAAGTAGTTAACACCATCCCTTTGGTGGGGGATTTTAACATCTGTAAAACAAGTCAGGAAATGTACATCAGATACTATTATCTGGGTGTTTCAAAGAGGAGCTAAAATAGAGGGTATTGGGGAAGGGTCTGCCCCAGAAGGCCCTGTAGGGGGTCATGCTGTTCCTGGTGAATCTGAGGTTCTTGGACGTCTTCAGGCAGAAAGACTTCAGTGAGAGATAAAGTTATAGGTAAGAAGTGGATTTATTTAGACAGAAACACACTGCACAGAATGTGGGCCATCTTAAAAGGTGAGAGAGAGCCCTGAAATATCGTGGTTCATTTTTATGGGNAAGGTGAGAGAGAGCCCTGAAATATCGTGGTTCATTTTTATGGGCTGGGAAGTTTCATAGGCTAATGAGTGGGAGGATTATTCCAATTATTTGGGGAGAAAAAGGGAATTTCCAGGACCTTGGCCACCACCCAGTTTTTGACTTATGATTGGCCTCAAAACTGTTCTGGTGCTGGTGCCTGTGTCATTTAGACGCTAATGTATTACCAATAGGATATAAGGAGGCTCAAGGTCTACTGGAAGTCAGATCTTCTGCCATCTTGGACCTAGTTGGTTCTAACCAGTTTTTATCTTGTCCCATGGCTATGTCATTGTTTTAATGGTTGTACCCCGCCCCCTTCCCTCTTGTTTCACTGCCTGATTACGTGTAACTAGTCTCCACCTATGAGTTTGAACCTCACGTTCTTGTATATCAACATTGATGTCACTCTTTACTCTGCAGGATATGAAAAAATTTGAAGCAGAGCTCAGAAACTTGCAAGTTGCTTTGGAGCAAGCCCAGACGACCCTGACTTCTCCAGAAGTTGGACGTCTAAGTCTCAAGGAGCAGCTCTCCCACCGACAGGCAAGCAAAAATAATTCAGGGGAAATGAGTGGGGAGCTATATTTTTGAAAAAGAAATGATAGTTAGGAAAAGTGATTTCTAAACTTATCATCTAAGCAGTGTATACAGGATTAAAAAAAAAAATTCCTGGAAAAGTTTTTATAACTTTGGACAGACCTGTCATTTAGTTAATATCTCTTGCTTTTGAAATAAACTATTAAAGTGTAAAATTTTAAAATATTTTAAAATATATCTTTTAAATGGGTAAAAATGTATTTTTTTTTTCTTTTTGGCTGTGCTGGGTCTTTGTTGTGGTGTGTGGGCCTCTCTTATTATAGAGCACAGACTCTAGAGCACATGGGCTCAGAAATTGAGGCACATGGGCTTCTCGAGTTGTGGCGTGTGGGCACAGTTGCCCCACAGCATGTGGGATCCTGGTTCCCCGACCAGGGATCGAACCTGAGTCTGCTGCTATTGGAAGGTGGATTCTTAACCACTGGACCACCAGGAAAGTCCCAGGAAAAAAAAATGTATATTTTATATTTTATATAAAATGTATATTTTATCCATATAAATAAATTGATATCAAATTGTATACGTAAAGACTTTTTAAATTTAAAATGCAAACTTGCACTTTCAGCATTTGCTGTCTGAGATGGAGTCACTCAAACCAAAAGTCCACGCGGTGCAGGTCTGTCAGAGCGCGCTTCGGATCCCCGAGGACGTGGTCACCAGCCTGCCGCTCTGCCACGCGGCCCTGCACCTGCAGGAGGAGGCCAGCCGGCTCCAGCACACGGCCATCCAGCAGTGCAACATCATGCAGGCACGTGCAGCTGGGCCCGCCAGCGTCTGCAGGTGGTCCCCACACCGCCGGCAGAGCGGCAGCAAATGAGTCATGGGCTGCTTTTCTTAGCGCTGCGTGGGTTCAGCCATCAGAACACATCCAGAGTGTTAACTCTGACAGCTTGTTGTGATTATATAAAATAGGGACATGAAATGCTATCATTTAGATCACCCACAAATGCCTGGGGCAAGATCTATTAAAAATATCTTTTGGTGAAAACTATCTTTTAGCAGCATATATATATATGTATATATTTTATAAAAAACAACTTGTAAAGGTTAATTTTATATTCAATCATATAGTTTTATAGTATTATTCATCTGAAAATCATCTAGAACTTTGTAATAAGACTTTACTGCTAAGGCATACTACAGAAATTTTTTTTTCATATTTCAGCTTATGATGTATTTTATTGCCTGAGAAGTACACCCGGCTATAACTGGGTGTACTAGAGACCAGTTACTTACTAGGAAGAAATGAAACCATCTCATATCTGCTTTCAACTAATATTTCACCTACTTTATTCAAAATTTTTATACATGCCCTCTCATTAAACCACTAATGGTTTATTTGGTCAACTCTTCTTGCATTATCTTATGATTTGTTAGACAGTAAATTCCTGAGTGTAGAAGTCAAACTTCATTCATTTTTTATAAATTTGTATTAGAGTATAGTTGATTTACAATGTTGTGTTAGTTTTAGGTGTATAGTAAAGTGAATCAGTTTTCCAGTAGTCATGTATGGATGTGAGAGTTGGACTATAAAGAAAGCTGAGCGCAGAAGAATAGATGCTTTTGAACTGTGGTGTTGGAAAAGACTCTTGAGAATCCCTTGGACTGCAAGGAGATCCAACCAGTCCATCCTAAAGGAAATCAGTCCTGGGTGTTCATTGGAAGGACTGATGTTGAAGCTGAAACTCCAATATTTTGGCCACCTGATGAGAAGAGCTAACTCATGTGAAAAGACCCTTATGTTGGGAAAGATTGAAGGCAGGAGGAGAAGGGGACGACAGAGGATGAGATGGTTGGATGGCATCACCGACTCAATGGACATGAGTTTGGGTAAACTCCCGGAGTTGGTGATGGACAGGGAGGCCTGGCATGTTGCAGTTCATGGGGTCGCAGAGAGTCAGACACGACTGAGCGACTGAAATGAACTGAACTGAAAGTGAATCAGTAATACATATAAATATATCCACACTTTTTTAGATTCCTTTTCCATACAGGTCATTATAGAGTATTGAGTAGAGTTCCCTGTGCTATACAGTAGGTCCTTGTGTGAAAGTGAAAGTGTTCGTTGCTCAGTCATGTCCAACTCTTGTGACCCCAGGGACTTTGGCCCAACAGGCTCCTCTGTCCATAGGATTCTCCAGGCAAGAATACTGGAGTGGGTAGCCATTCTCTTCTCCAGGGGATCTTTCCAACCCAGGGATCAAACCTGGGTCTCCTGCATTGAGTGGAGATTCTTTACCATCTGAGCCACCAAGGAAGCCCCAGGTCCTTATTAATTATCTATTTTATAAATGGGCTTCAAAGAATCTGCAATCCCAGTCTCCCAATTTATCCCCCATCTTTCCCTCCTTGATCACCACAGGTTTATTTTCTACATTTGTGGCTCTCTGCTTTATAAATAAGTTCAGTATTTGTACCATGTTTTAAGATACCACATATAAGTGATCTCATGTAATATTTGTTTTTGTCTGACTGACTTCATTCAGTATGACAAACTCTAGACAATCTCCACCTTTTTTGCTACAAATGACGTACTTCATTCATTTTTTTTTTATCTCCTATTCCAGCACTTAGCTGAGTCCCTCACAGAATTTCCTTGACAGAAAAATGAAGTAATCATGTTTTTCGTACTACTTTTCTACCATGTTCTGGGCCATAACATCATCATCTTTAGGACAATAAGGAGAAAGAAGGAGGATCTAATCACTTCAGTTCCGTTCACTTCAGTTGCTCAGTCGTGTCCGGCTCTTTGCCACCCCATGGACTGCAGCATGCCAGTCTTCCCTGTCCATCACCAACTCCTGGAGCCTGCTCAGAATCATGTCCATCAAGTTGGTTATGCCATCCAACCATCTTATCCTCTGTTGTCCCCTTCTCCTCCTGCCTTCAATCTTTCCCAGCATCAGGGTCTTTTCCAATGAGTCAGTTCTTCGCATCAGGTGGTCAAAGTATTTGGAGCTTCAGCTTCAGCTTCAGTCCTTCCAATGAATAGTCAAGACTTATTTCCTTTTAAGATTAACTGGTTTGATCTCCTTGCTGTCCAAGGGACTCTCAGGAGTCTTCTCCCACACCACTATGTTCAGTCCATCAATAATCTTGACAAAATGTTTTAGAGAGAAGGCTCTGAAATATCAGCAGAAAACTGGGAATTTGAATCATTTAGGAATTTTCCCCATCATTTTTTTGTTCCCTTGACTCATGGGTAAATAGACATTAACACCAGAGTTTGTCAGACGGCAGCACAGGCACACACATAGAGTTATTGATATCAATAGATAATTGTCTATGCTTTTGTTTTTTCCTTCAAAGGAGGCTGTGGTGCAGTATGAACAATATGAGCAAGAAATGCAGCACCTCCAGGAACTCATAGAAGGAGCTCACAGAGAGATTGAGGATAAGCCTGTGGCCACCAGCAACATCCAAGAACTGCAAGCCCAGATTTCTCGGCATGAGGTAAGGCAAGCCAAGTTCAAGGGCAGGACCCTGGCTTGGTGAGAATATGTGATTGGTTTTTAGCAGATGAAGTGGAAAGTTTTTCCTTGTCCAGAGCATATGTGTTAGGTTCTTGGAGAGCCTCTTTGGCTGTCTTTGCATTTTGAGTGCTATTTTTGCTGATGTTCTCTAAGACCTAGGAGCATGAGTCCTCCGCTTAACTCCAAAACCTTTTGACACGACATTCATGACATGTCTGTCTCCACCACGACCCACTGACTGCTTCCAGCAGAATTCTCACAATTCATACACCAAAACACAGTGTACTCCCTGTCTTCTTTCTTTCTTTATTTATTCATTTGGCCTCTTATGCTGTGTATGGGATCTTAATTCCCCGGCCAGAGATTGAACCTGTGTCTCCCGCACTGGAAATGTGGCATCTTAACCACTAGACTGCCAGGGAAGTGCCTGTGCTCCCTGTCTTCACAGATTATAAGGAACAGCAAGCTCAAAGCCTTGTTGCTTTCATGGCCTTCATTAAAAAGAAGGGATATTTCATGTTAAAGAGAAAACCATTTGCTCTTTTACGTATAGGTCATTTCACCTCCTTTTACCAAAATCAGTGAATGGCTCATATTGTTGGTTTTGATGATTACCGTATTATGCCTGTTAGCAGCTTTTCCATTTTCAGATAAGCCTCCTTCCTTGTATCTTTGGCATCATTATGATCTTAGGACTTGAATACCCTTTGTGCAAACCTGGTCTCAAAGATCATATACCTCGAGTGTTTCACTTCCTTCAGGAGAGCAGTGACCTTCCTTTCCTGACCTGTTAAATCCTGTATAGGTCATATTTATTCTTTCCTTGGTGGCTGACTACAGCATCATGAATTTTGGAAAGTTACTAGGGGAGGGCGTGTCTTCTTTCTCTGTGCCAAGGATAGACATTTAGCTTATCCTTCCATCTGCTCTATTTTAACTGTGTTCTCATAAGAGCAACAAAATTTTCCAAACCCAATAAAGGTTCTCATAAGATTCAATTGTTGAATTTTTAACAATTGTTGTTAAACAATTGTTGGAAAATCTCACTCCCCCATTCCCCACCTTGGCAAATGCAGTTCTTTAATTTCTTGTCACATCCAATGCATCACATTCATGTATGATTTATAAAATAATGTAAATAAATATCCCACTCTATTTACTCCTATACTGAAGCTAATCATCCATGTTAACTATTCATTTCTCTTCTGTCACTGGTTAAATGAAAAGATGTTTTGCAAATACTTAAAAACTATATATAAGGCATACATTAGACTTCATAATACACATTTATTCTGAAACTACTTTTAATCCCACATTGTAAGATCCAGAATTTTGTTGCAACAACTTTTCAATCACAGCACAGAAAATATTTTTTTTAATCTATCTGGAATGACAATAAATATCATTACTATAGATTTTTTTTTCTTTCATGTGTTTTAAGACAGTTTACAGTATTTTCAGATTATCTTTCACAAACACCCAATGAGCTTAAGATTTTCTGTGGGTGTGAATTGTCTCCATTTTACTGATAAGAAAACAGATATTAATTTTTTAGAATGACTTCCTGAGCTTTCAGATATAGTAACTGATAGAAAGCAGATTCTAATCTGATATGTTTGGGGACTTCCCTGGTGGTCCAGTGGTTAAGACTCAGAACTTCCACTGCCAGGGGGCACGAGTTCAATCCCTGATCAGGGAACTAAGATTGAAAAAACAAAAAGAATGATGGTCTAGGAGAATAAATGACTTGCCAGCTCTCAGCAGAGTTAGCCATAGACTGTCCTCTGGCTCCTGTTCAATTATCTGTTTATTTTGTTACATCTTCTCCCAGTTCTAAACATTAGTGCAGACTTGTGTTAGTTTTGGCGTGTGATTTAGAGTGTATTTGCATGTTTATAATGACATAGTCCTGCATCAGGTTCATTGTTTGTGTAAAACAAATACAGGAAGGAAAGTGCTGTGGAGGGCTGTAGGTGGGGGGCGTGTTGGGGAACCTGATTTATAACAGAGAATTCTGGGAGAATGTTTTTTCCTGTTTTTTCTGTCTGTTTTTAATGGATTTTCATCTTGAGGTGAGGCTAGTTTCCATATACTTAGTTTTAACTCATAAAGATAACTAATCATTTGTTCATTGCTAGGGAATTCACATTTTTTTCCTGTAATTTTTCAAATGTTACATTTAATTTGAAAACAAAGTGATCCTGTCACTTTAAATCATAGGAGAGACTCTCAGACCTGCTTTCCACATGATACAGAAGGCATACTCCTGGGCGCAGGTGGTTGCCCAGAGGGCACCTTCCCTTAGAGCAGCCCCTGTACCCGAGTTCCGACCTGTACACTCATCCCTTGTCGTGATCTTCAGAAACACTCAGTTAAAACTACACATGCATATTCTTCCCGAGCATGGAGAACACATTAACTCATCCATGCTCCAGTTTAATTTAGCAAATTTGACCCCAACCCACAAAGCTCCTGAGATATTGGCAGGTTTCTTCTTACAGAAGAAAGTTCTAGAGACCTATTTCTTCAAGGGAGTCTCATGGACTAATGATAAAAGGTAGACTTTTATAAATAAATAAATCAAAACCTTTTGGAGCCTAGACCAGAACTGCATTGCCAACAAGCAACTCAGATGAGTCTTATACCCAATAATTTGAGAACATTGATTTAGAAAACGGGCATTTGCTCTCAGCTTGCTGAGCAGGGTTCTGCCACAGGGGACGTGACCATCCCTGTGGGCACCAATGGTGGAAGGACTGAGACTAACTCTGCTTCTCCCAGAGTCGGTTCTACCAGATACACAGCCATGCTATGAAGGCTCAGTGGAGTATATGAGGGAAATTTTCATGAATGTACAAAATTTTAGCTGAAAACAGAATTCAAGGAGTCCAGTAAGCTGGTAGATGACTTTCAAACCAACATGTTTACTAGTTATTATAGAGTATTTGTATGTTAGGTACTAAAGCAGATGTGATAAATAGCTATTTAATCATTATTTTAAAAATCCTATTAGGGGAATTTCCTGGCAGTCTGGTGGCTAGGACTTGGTGCTTTCAATGCGGCCTGGGTTCAGTCCAGGGAACTAAGATCCATCAAGTTGTGTGGCTTGGCAAAAAAAAAAAAAAAATCCTATTAGGTTTAACTAAGTATCTGCAACCCTGAAAGGTAAAGAAGTGATGATTTCTACTTTTTAAATCATAGATTAAAAAATTCCTGTACTTCCTACTAGAAGTCAAGAAAACAGGCTGCTAGCTGAATTCTGGATTGTTTTCCCTTACACCGACACAGTCGGTTTTGGTTGCGAAGGGAAACGCAAAATGACAGCCATCAGAAAATGGTGTGTTTGTGTGTTCATATCCATATACACATGTATGTATATACACATGTATCATTTTGTGTTATTTTGTTTCTGAACTTCAAGTTCAAAGCTCTGGTTTGAATGTCAAGTTCAAAGTTCTCATTTGAGTGTATACACATACTGTGTCAGTTTAAAGACTCACAAAATGTGTACTGTACAAACACTAAATGACAGCTTTTCAAGTGAAGAAGCCAAATAAAAGGAAGAGAAAAAAAGCAGAGATTTTGTACTTTTAAGATTAATATTTTTGTTTACATGACTGTAAAAAAAATGAATGCTTACATGTTCATTTTTTAATCTTTGAAGTAAAGAAAGTATAAAGTTAACATTTTAGGATTACCATTTTAGATTATTAATACTATAATATTAGTTTTTTAAGAGCTATGTGCTATTCAGAATATATTTTCAATTAGCTCCTTGTAAAAATTTTAAAACCTCTATCTCTCAAAACAATTTTTTTGACCAAGGAAGGAAATCAAAAGACATTAAAATTGAACAGAACTTCAAGTTCAAAGCTCTAGTTTGAGGCATCAGAAACATTACAGGCATAATGGAGTGCATGAGGGAAAATTTCATGAATGCACAAAATTTTCTTTGGGGAGTAAGATGCATCAAAAATACGGGTTTCCTAAGTAGTCTTTAGCTTATCTGCAAAAAACAACTCGCCAGGGTCACAGGAGTTCAGGAGCAGTTTACTTTATGACTCGTCTGTCACAAGTGACTGCTCTGTTTGACATATTCGAGATGGTAAGAACCGAGCATTGCATTTTTGGCAGTTTTAGTCATCACATGACCTAATTTCCATGGCATGAACCATCTGGCAATTTCAGATTCCTCAGGCATTTCAAAGAAAGTTGCCCGTCCTTAACGTTACCAAATGCCAGTCCAGCCCCGAGCATCTCCGGGATTAGAATCCTGGCCGCCGGGCTCCGCGCCTCCTGCCGCGCGGTCCCCACCGCCCCTCCCGGCCCCGCCGCGCTGTGGGCTGGCTCGGGGCGCGCGGCAGGCAGGCTCCGCGCTCGCAGCGTCCACATCCTGCCTCCCCGCCGCTCGGTCTGGCGCGGCTCTGATTTCATTGGCCAGCCCCGGAGGAAGATGAACGCTACTAGCTCGGTTTCCTTCTGATGCTGCTGTGACACCCGGAGGCGGGGGGAAATGTTTCCTCAGGAGCTGGCTCAGAAAATCAAGGGCTACCAGGAGCAGATCGCCTCTTTGAACTCCAAGTGCAAGATGCTGACCATGAAAGCCAAGCACGCCACCATGCTGCTGACGGTGACCGAGGTGGAGGGGCTGGCGGAGGGCACGGAGGACTTGGACCGGGAGCTCCTCCCCGCCACCTCGGCCCACCCCTCTGTGGTCATGGTGAGTAAGGGTCAAGGCCGGCTTGCCAGGGCGCTCCCTTCCTACAGTCTCCTGGCTCGTGGCTCAGGCTCCGCTCGGGGGCTTGGTGCTAGGGATCTTGCAGATAAGAACTGAGGAACAGTCCCCTTAACTCTCTGACTGCATTTGGGCCGAGGCCAGTTTTTGACACTGTAAACAGTGGCAGTTGAAACGAAGCTGTTTATTTGAGACTCCTGAATTACTTAACGTGCTGAAGGTCAGCCCTGCATTTGTTTATAATTTAGCAATAATGCTCAGAGGCTCTGAGCGTCAAAAAAAATTCCTTTGCACAGTTTTTTAGTTTTCTGGGGGAATGGGAGAATCACGCTACACATATTTTGTGTGTGTGTGTGTGTGTGTGTGTGTGTGTTTCCTGCTAATGCGCTGGGTGACTAGGTGTGTTTGCCTGTTCTGTTGTATAAATGTTTCATAACATATTGAAAAAAAGCTGTTATTAGAAGAATAAGATAATAGAAAATCCAATGGTTAACTTTAGATTAAGATAAATTCCATTCACTTTCTTTTTTTTAAATTCCATTTACTTCTATCTGCAATGTTATTTCCCCCATCACTGTGCATTAAAATGAGTTCATTATCTTCTTAATTCATTGTTTTCCAGCACTTATATTTTCACACATATGTACCGTGTCTACAGTAGTGTATAACCAAACCTGACCTCTTTTTGTGATATATTACTTTGGGTGCATTTATCTCACTGGAATACTGGGAATTTGAAATACCTACAAAAGACCAAGCTTTAATTCATAGACCCTTCCCTCATTTGTATGATTTGTGATTTTTAATAGCTATGTATAAAGATACAGACAGTCAAGAAAAGGAACATAAGTTAAAGAAATATTTAATCGACAGTGAAACTCCATAATGTGACGTGTATCCCCTACCCATGTCTGTTTTACAGTGGCCCCTAGTGTCATAGTCACTTGCGGACAAAACTTGCAAATAGTAACACGGAATGTGTGTGTAAATTGAGATCTCAGTAACTCTGACTTCTGTTGTGTGGTCATCTCTGTTTTGACCGGTGCCTGGGCAGGTGTTTTGCTAACGTAACTAACCGATTTCCTTTGGGCCGCGTTCTGTGTGACAGATGACTGCAGGTCGCTGTCACACTTTGCTGTCACCTGTCACTGAGGAGTCTGGGGAGGAGGGAACCAACAGTGAGATCTCTTCTCCGCCGGCTTGCCGTTCCCCTTCACCTGTGGCTCATACAGACGCCTCTGTTAACCAGGTACTGCCCCCTTGGCGTTCCTCTAGCTCAGGTCTCTGAACGGATGCAGGACTCCATTCTCTGTTCTTATCGACTGTGGGTATGAATCGTAGACTTTGAGAATCACACCATCGGGTGTGACACTTGAATAAACTGTGATTATCATGTGAGACTCATGCTGGCTTAACCTACCATCTCTCCTGGGCTACTGAGATGAGATGAGCAAAAATTAGGTCACAGAAACAAGAGCTGCAGAGGGGCCTGTTTTAAGGCATTATGGCTTTAGCATCTAACAGCTGTTTATAATGGAGTACTGCATCCTAATGGAAAATGAAATGTTCATGTCACCTTTGTAAAATAACATGATTTTATTGCTGTTGTTAACATTCATTGAGCAAAGTTTTGACACTTGCCAGCTCGGATTTTGAAGATGGAAAATTTATCTTCACTATATAATATAACAAAGACTTCTTCATTATTTACTAATTGCCAACCAATTTAAAGGCCGTCTGTCAGTATACACATTAGTGCCTAACTAGATATGTGTTTTGAGTTTTCTTATCTGTCGATAACCTTAAGTTTTATTTTCTATAAGATGGGGACAACAGCTTCTCGTTATGAGGTGTCTTTTTAGTGTACATTCCATTTAATATAGATTATACTAAATTAAATATCTCAAAATTTTTTCATGAAAAATATTACATAGAAATCAAAAGGATGTTTTTACAATAATCAAAATTGCTTAATGCATATTGAATAATGCTTTCTTTTTTTCTTTAGCCAAAGAACCAAAAAAAATTTTTAATTGCTTTACTACGAAATTACTTGTGTTCAAAAAAGCTGAAATTTACTCTCAAGGAAGAAGCATTGACCAGAGCAAATGTTCTGTAAGCTGTATTACAAACCAATCATATTATTTTATTTTAAAGCAGAAGCATTCAGAATAGGATTTCTGTGATATAGAGAGCCCGCCTCCTTCCAAACAAGGAAAATAAAGCAATGAAATCTTTCAATAAAACAATTCTCTTGGTAAAAATCTCTGGAGCTCTGAGAAAGATATCAGTTCATTCATTATCAGCTAGCTAGCTTGCTTGGCGTGAAATCTTGTGCTAGGATTCAGAGATATAACAAAGGGCAAATCAGCCGTGGCCCCTGCTTTCAAGTGCCTTATAATTGAGTGAGAAAAGTGGCCTTAGGTTGAATAATAACAAAAGTGTTAGGGGAAATTCTAAAAAAGGAGAAGTTCACAGTGTTCAGGAGGATTTCAGAAACTGTTTTCCAAATTCTGATTTTAAAATATGAATTACTCATTCTTTGATGATGTGTTCTGAATCATAGAAATATGGCTAGAGTCAGCTTTTTATTGTGTAAGAAAATGTATCCTATACGATGGACTTAATGTTCTTAAAATTTTCAAATTGAACAATGAACACTGACCGTTGGACTAACACTATGGAAAGAATATCCCTTTTCTAAAATTATACATCTCAGTGCTACACCTTATGAAGTGTCTTTCCTTGGACATGTGAAAGTGTTCTGTAAATGATATAATATGCAAGCATTCTCACTACAGTTGCTTTACCTGTCAAGCTCAATCAGATCTCCAAATTATGAGCAAAATTGTGCTTTGTCTTAATCCCATTTTGACCCCCCTCCCAAATCACAGGAAAACTTTAATTTAAACTTTAATATTAACCTGACATAGTATTATATGGTCTTGCAAATTAGGGGAAAAAGATCTTTATTTCATTCATGTCAGACAACTTTACTCACAGGAAGTTGTTAAAAAGCAAGAGTTATGCTTGGTGTTATTCAAACAAATTGACCCCATCATTCCAGCCACATGCAATTCTCGTCGAGTGATGTAAGTCAGAGGAAAATGAACAAATACTGCAACATGGCCAATGATGCCTGCATTTACAAAACTTTCTCTTGAAGCTGAGGAAAGCATTTAGAATTCCCATAAGTTCCAGTTTGCAGACTCAAAACACTGCACAGAATGTACACAGCTGTTTCAAAGGAGGGCCAAATATAACTGCTTTCTAAAATCACAGCTGTTAACAAAAAGACTGTGTGCTTGCTACTTCTGTAAGTAGATCTCCATTATATAACTAACTGGTCTCCTCACCGTCAGGGTGTTCTGTCTCTGGCAGTAGTTATTAGCTGAAATGTGATAGCGGTTTAGTTTACTTGAGGAGAGAAATAATGAGGCATCCCCAGACTTTGCTGCAGGATTCTTGATCCTATTAAAAGCAAGCCAAGACCTGGGCTCCTCCTCGGAAGAGTTGGGGGAAGTAGAAGTTTGAAAAGAGCAGTGTTGTAGTGGGTAGAACCCCTGTCTCCAGTTTAAAAGCTGGGGATGGATCCCACCTCTTCTGCTAAGCAGCATGAACCTGGAAAATCCCTCATTTGTAATGGGAAGCAGTGCTACTTAATTCACCACATTGTGAAAGTTAAATGCAATGTGGATTCTGAAAGCACGTTTTAGACTGGAAAAGGAATCAAAATGTAGCAGTTTCCAATTTTAGAAATCTAAGATACCTTAGGAATCTGCTAGATAATAACTCCTTTAATGTAGACACGTAACCAACAAGAGATACTTCTAGGGGTGATTCCTTACTATAACAAATATTTAGTAGTTACTTATAGAACTGATCAATTTATTTTATTAAATCTATGTAGTCCTCAAATAGATGCAAATTATTAATCTATAAAAGGTGATATTTTCAAATTATTTTAAGAAATTTGAGACACAGAAGCCAGAAGACAGATTTTTTTGGTAACAAATTTATTTTATTTTATTTCTTTGGGCCTTCATTATTTATAATAGAGTATTTAAAATTTTTACATCAACACAACTTTTTGCTTTTCCTTGTGGGAACTCATAATACTATTAATACCATCCATGTAAGCAAAATAGTAGAGTTTAAAGAAGTGGTTTTAGAGAACATCCCTTGTGGTCAGTGGTTAACACTCTGCATTTCCAATGCAGAGGGTACAGCTTTGATCCCTGGTTGAGGAGGTAAGAAGATCCTATATGCCATGCAATGCAGCAAAAAAAAAAAAAAAAGTGCTTTTACCTATATAATTTTTTATGAATGTATATGTTATTGTTGTATAGTTGCTAAGAAGTGTCCCTTTGCGACCCCATGGACTGTGGCCCACCAGGCTCCTCTGTCCGTGGGATTCTCTACTGGAGTGGCTTGCCATTTTCTTCTGCAGGGAATCTTCCTGACCCAGGGATTGAACCCGAGTCTCCTGCATTCCAGGCAGATTCTTTATCACTGAGCCACCTAGGAAGTCCAATGACTTTATATACCTGCCTGTTATTTGCAAAAACACTCCATGGTATGCTCAGATTCAGACACGTCCACAGTTTTTAAGGAGCTCATAGTCTGTGTGAGAGCAGACACATGGTGACCATGCAGTGGGACAAGTGCTGTGAGGGTGGGAAGCAGAATGTAAAGGAAGGACACAGGGTAAGTACCGAAACAAGGCTGGAGTTCAGGGGGTCGGGGACTCCCCCCTTTAGTTTAACCAGGTACAGGTGGAGTGCTCTAGAGTGAGAAGTCGTTCAGACAGAAAGAGGCACGCATAGGAAGTTTTTTCAGGCAGCAGGAAGGAAAATGGCCCAGCAAGGCAACTGCAAATAACATCAGTATAATGGGAGAAGCATAGATATGGAGAAGGAGGTGGGGGGAGAAATGAAGCTGGGATGGGGGGCGGATATAGGAAACACACCCTGATGCCACAGGAAAGAATCTACTTTGCTAATAGTTAACCACTGAAGGAATTAAACTAGCTCTGCACAGAAGTGAGTTTTAGAACAGATTCTTCAGTATCGGTGTAGACAGCAGAATGGTAATGGACAAATCTGGAGCCAGGGAAGCGAGTGAGGGACAAAAGTTTACACACGCTGGTGTCTGGTCCAGTCATTTAGACTGATGACTGATCACCAGTCATTTACTGGTGATGTAAATGACAGAAACAGCCGGGGGACTGTGGGGCCCTGACAGAGCCTCCCCACGTGAACTAGGCAGACTTTTCTCTCTTAGAATTACTGTAGGCGTGTGAACGCGTCTGTCTTACCTGTCTTCTGGTTTGCAGGGGAATCCATGAATCAGCGTTCTTACCAGAGCTCCCTTTCTGGTTGAAGAGAAATTCGAAACAATTTAAAACACTGTAAATATATGCAGGCTAGAGGCAACCTGCAGGCTGCCAGTTTGCAACCTGAGAGTTAGGAAGTTGTCACTGTAACATGAACTTGAACCTGTGCTGTGGCAAAGGTATAGAACTTCATCCTCACATGTGCAGTGGTGGTCAGGGAGAGAAGGAATGGAGAATAAATCCCAAGTAAGGTGATTAGAAAGATGGATAAAACTTCATCCATTCATTGAAAGATGGACGAAATGTCATCATTTTTCCTAAATCCATTTCTTATCCTCCATGTGGTTTTTTGGTTTGTCTGTTTTGTTTTTTCAAGTATTGAGTTTTAAGAGACTATGGGATCAGCTTGTACAACTCATTATGTGAATCTGGAGCTTGTAAATACAACAATGTTAAGAATGAGTGCAGAAAACAAAAGAGAAAGACCGAATGATGAGAGAGATAGAGGAGAACAGAGAGGTTAAAAGGAAAGTATTTTCCAAGAAGGGATGATCAGTGGTACTGAATTCCAGTGAGAAACCAGGCAAGAGAAGATTCAAAAAATAATCATTTTATATTACAGAAAACAGCCACTGATGATTATGGCCAGAGCACTTTTAGTGGAGTCACTAGAATTAAGGCTCAGTTGGGTATTTAGAAGTGGACAGGAGAACATACCAAGTGTAAACTACCATCTTCAGAAACTGAATTATGAAGCAAAAGGGAGAAAGCGAAGGTTACAAACATGTGCAAATTGTATTTGTGTGTAATGAGTCATTATGTTATGGTTTGTAGAACTTTCTAATATATGATACCCTAAAAGAAAAAAAAAAAGAAGGCTGTGTGTAGGTGTTTTCAGACATAAAGGACTTATTTATATGCTAAGGGGAAAGAAAGTCAGTGGAGATGGAGTAGATATTAATGAACCAAAATCCTTGAGAAAGGGAAGGTGGATGAGGTTGTAGGGATAGGTAAGAGGATTATCTTTACTCAAGAGGACTAGAAAGAGTGAAATAGAGGTGAGTCTGAATATAGACAGACCTTTGAAATTTTGAGAAGTTGCAGAAATATCCCAGTTTGTGTGTGTGTGCACACACACATGCATTCTGAAAGGAAAAGTTGGATTGAGTCATAGTTGGGGTTTTCCAAGTGGTCGAAGCAGAAGTTAAAGGGGCAAAGAAAACACAGCTGTTGGCAAGAGAAGGGTTTACATCACTTAGTCAGAAATATACTCAGGATGAATCAGGTCAGTGATGACAGCCTATCATGTTCAAGGAGGGTAAGTGGGCAAGGATGGATGGATATAAGGTTGTCAGGGACTGGAAAATACCAAGATGATCTGCTGAAGATGAGTGATAGGGTTAGGGATGAAGAGGAACTAGTCTCCATGCTTCAGTCTCATCAATAAATGTGGAGGACTTACCTGAGGCCTCAGCAATAAGAAGAAGGTGGTAGAAGGTCTCATGGCCACTCAGGTATCACTTTATTTAATCCTCGAATCCACCCAGGGTTGTGCAGATGAGGGAGTCCATGCGCAAGATGTGAGTGACTTGCTCTAATTCTATGGTGGTGGTGGTGGCTTAGTGGCTCAGTTGCGTCAGATTCTTGTGACCCCGTGGACTGTAGCCCACCAGGCTCCTCCGTCCATGGGATTCTCCAGGCAGGAATACTGGAGTGGGTTGCCAGTTCCTTCTCCGGAGATCCCCCTGACCCAGGAATCGAACCTGAGTCTCCTACATTGCATGCAGATGATTTACTAACTGAGCTATGAGGTTCCAATTCTCTAGCTGCTTAGGAGGTGAATTTCACCTGGGGTCTCAGGTGTCCTGACTCCTCCAGTGTCAGACTCCTGTCTGAACTCATTCTACTATACGGCCCTGCTTCTGCCCTAGTATTGACCGCAAGACACCAGGCTCCTTCCTGCTGTTGCCTTGGTTCTTCCCAGGTATCTGGGGCCTTCAGTACTTTTTACCAAGACATTATCATCAATAAGGCTCAGGTTTTTAATCTTAAACAGTGCAACTGTGAAATAGTAAACTTTATAATAGCATTTTTCATGATATAAACAGTACTCCCCACTTCAATTTCTATAAATATATACACAACCATGAAAACAATTAAAAGCATATGAATTATATATATTGATAGTAAATTCTATTATCAATACTAATAAAATATTTCATGTTACTTATTGCCCAAGAAATAAAAAATTCAAAAGCCTCCTATTTCAGCATCCACTTTGTTTCTTGTGTTCTTCCAGGAATTGAATAGAAGAAAACCTCTTTATTATTTGTCTGTTAGAGTAGTTTTAACCTCCCCATTACATTTTCCCTTATTAAATATTAATATATTTATAATTTAAGTAACATATTTATTAACGTGTTTAATTAAGACATATTTAAATAACATATCTAACATTTAAATTAATATCTGTGAATAAAGAACTCAAATATTGAAAATCTGGCTATACCTGAGAAACAACTTTTCAGAGATTTAAAGGTATTTAAATCAAAGGTTTTTAAAAATTATTCAAAACTGATCAACATATTACTCAACATTTCAGGAAATATATCATTTAGATTCTCCTTTTTTTCTGATTGATCCGTCTTGAAGTGTGTATACCAGTTACCTTCTTTGTGTTTTAATTTTGCCAAATATAAAATAGGAATGAGTTTTGGCAACTTGAAATATTGGTAAATTGCTTTTTATATGAATCAAAATTCGAAAGCAACTACCGTGTGCTTTGATATGACCTTCTTATCACAGGCGTTTACTAACTTTGATAGTTGTAGCCTGCGGGGCCAGGTATGAATCCTGAAGCTTCCCTCTGCGTGACCAGCACAGTGACGCAGGTGTTGTCTTCCTCTTGAATCTAACACTGCGCCTTGCTCCCACAGGACATCGCTTATTACCAAGCCTTGTCTCCCGAGAGGTTACAGACCGATGCTGCCAAGCTTCCCCCCAGCACGTTGCCACCCCAAGAGCTGTATGAACCGGGACTAGAGCCTTCTGCCACTGCAAAGCTGGACGATTTGCAGCGCTCTTGGGAAACCTTAAAGAACGTGGTAAGCCTGCCAAATGTGGGGTTATTTAGCCCACGAGACAGAGGAGCCTGGCAGGCTGCAGGCCTAGGGCCGCAAAGAGTCGGACACAACTGAGCACACACGCAAGACACCAGATTTCCTTAGAGATTGTCTTATGAAATAAATGCCTCATGTTTACACATCCCATGTACAGTTGAATAGCCTCTGTTGAGTCACAGAGGTAAAGCGGTGAGGAAAGAAATGTCGTAATCTAGAAGATAAGGGATGGGAAACGTTTGGTAATATCCCTTTTCTTCTTTAGATCAGCGAGAAGCAGCGCACACTCTATGAAGCCTTGGAACGCCAGCAGAAGTACCAGGACTCCCTCCAGTCCATCTCCACGAAAATGGAGGCCATCGAGATGAAACTCAGTGAGAGTCTGGAGCAGAGCAGGAGTCCATGTTCCCTGGAGGAGGGCATGGCCATGCACTTCAGTGTTCTTGCCTGGAGAATCCTATGGACAGAGAAGCCTGGCAGGCTACAGTCTTTGGGGTTGCAAAGAGTCAGACATGACTGAGCAACTGAGTGCATACCCAGTACCTTCTTATCACTTAGAATAGCTCTGAGACTTCAGTGGGCAAAGAAGCAGTTGAAGAGAAAGGGGTTCCAAGTTATAATCCTGCCGTTGTCCCAGACTTGAATCATTTATTAAAAGGTACACTGGGAAAAAAATAAAAAGGTACACTGGACGATGCTTCTGCTTTAGGTGAGAAACAGGTGATTACGTTAACCTAGCTCAACTGCTATTAGAAATGCACCACTTTAAAATGCCTGCTAAGTGCATAGGTTACGGTCTGGTTAATGCTTTAGCAACATTATCGGGTTACTATTAATGCACAAGCAGGTGTAACTGGGTTCAAGATACTGAGGCGTGCAGTCACCTAAATATCCAATCACTATGGTACAGGAAACTGCTGCCTGCCCCTGACTAGATCTCAGAAGCATATGACAGCCCTGTCAAAGGCAGAGGAAGAGAGAGCTCCTTTTAGATGCTAATTTAGAGCTATGAAAGCATGATATATGTGTCTATCAAATAATGACTGGGAAAGTTGTCAGCTCTAAGAATGAAATTTTGTACTCTGTCTTTACTTAATATCTTTATAGTTTTGGAACCCACAGTAACCTTGGAATACATTGCCTGTTTATATGTATAGTCCAAGATAAAATTGTACTATTTTACAATAAAGGGTCTTGAAATATTAACACAAAAGTGAAAACATTTCATCTAGAGACAGCATTGAGAAATAGTGGTTTCAGGATTTTGACACTCTTGTAGCTTCTTAAGATAGACATCAGAGTGTACAGCATCCATTTTTATAGGCCTTGTTTTGGTAAAATGATGGTCTGTGGGTCTTCCTGCTATCTTAAAGTCACCCACAGTCCATTTGGCTTGGGGAGGGTGCTATAAAAATATGAAATTAAAACTAACCTTTGTTTACTTGAATGAAGCTGATCACAAGGACAGTCAGGGACTGAGGTCTCTGTTACTACCATGCTGCGGTCCCCTGAGCACCACAGTCCTTTTTAACTGATACCTCGGTTTTGTAATTGGGAACATCCACTTCATTGTCACCGGAGGGGGCTCTCCAGGTGGCCCCAGTGTGCTTCCCGGGGCTCTGCCCCCCACCCCCAACCCTTCACTGTGCCTGTAGTAGCAGGTACAGCAGAGAACACCCATGCATTTGATCACGGCTTCTTTTAAGCAACCAAAAAGGATTGGGGAGTTTTCCAAGTGGCGCTAGTGGTAAAGAACCTGATTGCCAATGCAGGTAGGCGTAAGAGACATGGGTTCCATCCCTGGGTCAGGAAGATCCCTTGGAGGATGGCGTGGCAACCCATTCTAGTATTCTTGCCTGGAGAATCCCATGGACAGAGGAGCCTGGAAGGCTGCAATCCATAGGGTTGCACAGAGTCAGACATGACTGAAGCAACTTAGCAGGCACGCACAAAAAGGATGGGGGATAAGTTGTCCAAAGGCTTGATTAGAGTGAATCTAAGTGTCACAGGCTTAGCGTCCCAGAAGAGGGTTTACAAAATTTGACTCTCTACTTTCAGGTACTTTCTGATCACTGTGTTTTTTTAGGGCTCATCCTTCTTGTGTCCCAGGTGACAGAGCACAGCTCCCAAATACCCTTTACTGGGTCCCACAATATTTAGTAACTGAAAGTAGGATCCTGGTGGTTTGCCTTGACCTTCCAGAGTTCATAATTAAGATGCTAATTAACTCCCAATCACCAGCATCACCCCACCTCTCAGGCATTAGTATGCAAACACACACAAACTGAATGTACAGCAGAATTATTATTTTGTTTAAAGGATCTAATGGCAAAAACTCAAAATTGCACATTAATGCTAAGTATTATAAATTAGAAACTATCCTGCATCTTTTCTTGTCATTAAGGCCAGCCACATGATTTTCATCCCTTTCTAAATTGAGAGTGGTGATGCTAACAATTATAGCACTGAGGAGATGTAATTCTAATTCAGTGCTTACCCATCATTTGAACTTAACAAGTATATTAATGTTCTAAGGAGAGGGAAAGAAACATAAATAATGTATGATTTCTTGTATCACCACAAATCTAACATTTTCCATCTGACCCACTTTTGCTAACTTTTGCTGTCTGTGCCTAAATTCTGCAAATTCTGGGACAGTGCTGCCCACATGGAAAGCTAATGGTATCATAATATCTAAATTGGTTTTTGGCTTCTGAAATGATACTTTAAGAATCCCAAGATACGATAGAATTACTCTTTCTTTTCTTGATGCTGCAAAAAAGCTTTATTGTTCCCATTTGGTCCGAAGCTTGAGAGAGGGCTCCAGAGTGTTAAAAAGCTGCCCAGTGACTGCAGAGGGTTTTCAGGCAGCCCTGACTTCAGGGGGACTCCTCAATGGCCACTGGTCTCCAGAAGCTCCTAGTCATGCTCGACGGTGAGCCTTTCGAAGACACATTTGCCCAACCCAGCCTGGGGACCAGCCAGCCCGCGGAGGTGGGTCAGGTGGTCACCCGTCTTCTTGTTGAGTTTCACCTCCCCATCTAGAAAGTGGTTCTCTGGGAAGTCACAGATGTGGGGGTCTGAGCAGGCAGAACCCAGGCCAGGCAGATCCAAAAGGGCCTGGCTCAAGTTCTTCTCTATGAGAAGGGCAGCTTCCAAGCATCCTGGGTTTTACCCCACTCATCTCGAGATGGCTTCCGCACGTCCAGAAAGAGGTCACGACTGCCATACTGGTTTTGCATTTTCAAGAGATGGTTTGAACCCTCGCCCTTCTCCTTGGCCAGTTCACAGAAAAAGATGGCCCACACCCTCCAGAGCCACATCCTCATGGTTGAAATAGAAACCCAGAAAGAGGGAGGTGTAGGAGACCTGCAGATGCATGTTAACCAGGCAGTTGATGGCGGCCTCCACCTTAGTGGAGTAATTCTGATGAATCTGGGAGCTCATGGTTGATCAGTAATAAGGAGTTAAGCTCAAAAAATGGTGGCTGGTCCTGGTGATCGCGGACAGCTGAGTGGCTGATGCCAGAGGTTGCAACTGGAAAAAAAGTTGGAGGGTGGTCAGAGGCTGGGGCAAGGGGCATCCCTGGGTCTGTTCCATCCAAGTGCTGTTGAAGCAAGAGACAGATCTGTGGAACTGTTGAGTACACTTCGAGAATTACTCTTTTTAAATAAAGTCTGACGGAATGTGGGTAAGAGGGGCCAATATGATTTCAGTACTTTCTAAAAGTTAATAAAAACACTTCAATTTTTTTCTTTTACCCAACACACTCTTGAAAGCAATGTTTCTTTAAAGAGCTACTCTAATTCCTATGTTTTTCCTTTAAACACCTGTCTAAATCTACTGAATTTGGGTGGAGTCTTGTGCCTTTCCTGTTACTCTCTTGAAATTGCACAATAGGTTTAATTTGAAGACATCAATGCAGTTCTTATGCTGACTTGTGGCTGTTCTGCATGTTATGGGACCTTCATTATCATGGGCAGCTAATGCTTCGTGAATGTATGTTATCTTTGCCACCCGAACCCAGTGGTGGTTTAGAGGCAGAGCTCTGAGGTTATTTTGGTTCTGTTTCTTTAATATATATAACCTCTCAAAGTTTGAGATGGACTGAGCTGATGAAGATAGTTATGAAATTCACAATGAAATTCATGTTCACCTTTCTTGTTGAACCAAACGTGCACTCCATGTTCTCCCCAGAGTCAGTTTAGAAAAGATCAAGGTACTTTAAGCCACAGACTGGTCATACACATGCCCTCCTTGTAAACACAAGTTAGAAACACAAAGAGGAACATTTCATCTCCTCTCCTTAGTTTTGAGTCAGGTGCTGTAGGGAAGGAAACAGCTGGCCACCAGTTGAAA